CAATCACTGGTTCCTCCATTTTATAGGCATGTCTCTGTTTGTAGGACCCTCGGAGGCTCCATTCTATAGAGATGGGGTTCCATTTTTTAGAGATTTGTTATGATTTGGTCGTGCAGGCCCTCCATTCTAGAGAGCTTGGGGTTCCATTCCATAGATGTCCCACTTCTAGCCCCCCACCGGTTCACTAAAGAATCGTGACACCCACCCTTTTTACTTATATAATTCAAAGGATGATATTTGTTCTGTCTCTTCCAACTGGTAACTCAGTTTCTTTTCCTCCGTTGGCCACCGCCACCTTCTACTGGCTTGAGCGCGGTTTGCGCCAGAGCTGGTAACACTACAAGGAGTTGGTTTGCAGTGTGGCCTACAAATATGGACAATTGGATTTGAACCTCTGAATGGCAATGAATTGCGCAGCAACCAATATCACAAAGTTGAAGGAAGTCAAAATAAAACGCCAAAAGGAAGCAAAACAAGTTACAAGAGGATCTGTTGCAAAGTTGGTCTGGCATGTGGCCAGAAATTGGCAACTAGACTAAGAGCATCGATGGCAACATGGGAAAACCCACCCATCGAAGTGAAAAGGGGCGGCTCAGCTACGCTGTAGCTCTCAGCAGCAGTGCTTGCAAGGCGGGCATTGGTTGCTAAGGACTCTGCCAGTTCAGTCAGCGCAGTTCTGGCCAACCTCAAACTCTCCAAAATCCCTGAGACACATTCAGCCGAAGCATGCAAAGGCACAGGCCCGACAGAAAGGCTAAGCGGCAGAGTTGGAAAAGGCATGCCCAAATCAAATTTTCCACAGCTGCTGACATCCAACCGGCTAGCCGATGTAGTCACTCAGACCGGCCTGGCTTAGTCTTCGGGCCTGGCTTGGCAAGGGAGCCGGCACGCACACGGCGCCCAGTCTTGCTCACCTTTGCTTTGCCTGCTGCAGGTCGTTTGGCTTTCTGCTTTGGGGCTGCAGCGTCGAAGGGGCACTTGCTGGGGTTGACGCCTTCTGTCGGCTCTTGCTCCGAGCGGGCACAGGGGCTCGGAAGTTCTGCGCAAGGCTGCTGGGAGGAGAAGATTGCGCTTCTTGGAGACGCAAGAGCTGCTGCTGGAGAATGGTCTGCTGCTGCATCTGTTGCTTTTGCATCTCAAGCACAGACAACATGAGCTGGTCAGGCCCTGGGTTGTCCGCAGGCACTGCGGGCTTTGGGGCAGGAGCACTCATTTGCGCTGGCGGGGGGTCTGCAGCGCTACCTGCCAAACAAGCCATGATGCTTTGCGCACCTTGGTCAACAGTCTGCTTGCCATCCTTGTTGAAGAAGGCGCCTGCAGTATGTTCAACGGCTTTCAAGGCCGCAGCAGTCACTCCAGAGCAAACACTATCCCAAGCAGATGTCAGCATTCCACCAGCCAACCTGCCGAGTGAAGAGTCATGGTGCTGACTCTCGGGCTGCCAAGCCGGCTTGCGCCATCCATGGTAGTAGTTGCCATCTTGCCACTGGGAGCTACGGTGCCAGGATCTACCTCGGGACCAACCCTTTCCGTAGCCACCTTTCCCCATGGCCGCGTAGACCTCTCGCTTACGGTGTAGGCAGGCCCCGAGCTGAGCCGGTATTTCTGCAATGTTTGGCTATTGCATTGTTTTTTTTTTTGGGGGGGGGTTTAGGGGTAAGTATTTTTCAGGAAGTGAACAACAAACAACTCTTAAGATTTTGGCTGAATTATAGCCCACAAGCAACAATTTCAGCATGACATTGGAACACACGCGGTTGGTCCACAGTTTCGAATAGCGTGTTCCAATACTTCCCGGCCATGCGTGATTGCAGCAGGGAAACGTTTGCCACGTCGCCAAATGTGTAAAATCGTTTGAAGTGGATATCCATGCAACAACCAAATTTGGAGTTCACACTCTACAGCTCTTTTCATGTCGTTCGCGGGCAAATCAAGGGACAGCAGCCGGTTAAGCTTTCCATTGAGAATCGCACTGAGCAAGCTCACATCTAACATGGCATGCCCTTGGAAAGGCATCAAGCGGAACTTGGTCGGCAAGCTGACCCTACCAAGCGCTGCTTCGTTCCGCCATGCATGCTCCATGCCATGTGCATGTACATTCAAATCACCTCCGCTGCACGTGAGCCATACATCCAACCAGGGCAAGCCAAGTTCAGATGGCTTGGTTTCGTCAAATGAAACAGGTTGGTCATAAATATGGCCGGGCAACTCACCGAGGCAAGCAGAGCACAAGGTTGTCGAAACAAGTGCAAGGTCATCAACATATCTTGTGGCAGCAACCGTGTTTTGAAAAGAGAAACCAGGGGGACACCACCCATTGTTTTCATCACGCGCAAGTTTTTCTACAAAAGCTTGTTCAGACACACCGAGGAAAATGGACGCACACTGTTTTGAAAGAAAGCCACCGATAGGAACTCCTCTGCACTGCTCATACACACATGGCCCAACTTGAACGCATGTTTGGCCAAGGGCAAGATCCGTAATGGTGATTATATCGTCCCAGCGGTGGAGCGTTGCACCCTGAGATGGTCTGAAGTTGTTTCTGGCAAACCAAAAATGTAGCTTACGACTCTTCTTTGTGACAACCCCAAAAGCATTTGAAGTATTCTGGAGTTCAGTTATCAACTTTCGCAGGCGATGGAGGACTTCATGTCTGGAAATTTCTTCAAAGAGTTGGGCCGCGTCACCAACCCACGCGCACAGCGGCTGCTTAGGGGCACCGCAGCGAAAGCAAGCACATGTGAAAGAGTGTTAGTGTTCGAGTTGGGCGACAGCACCCCGCAAGTCTTTCACCGCCGAAAACAAATCAGCAGTTTCAAACCCTTTGCCCCAAAGCCGAACAATAGCCTCAAGTGATTTTGCATTCTGTTTATACATCCAACGGCACGGGTGAGCAGCCCAACTAACAACACGGCGGCAGCATGCATGCGAAGGTTTAATACAAACACGTCCTACACCACTCTGAAAACATTTGGTTTTGATATTGATGTACATGTATGGAAGCTGCCACTTTCGCCAACGGCTGCGCAAAGCAAACGGTTGGAGGTGTGGCGGCAGCCGCTGTTCGTGCTGCGCTCTATAGGTTTCAATAATATCACAAATGAGACCTTTGTGGGGAAGCCAGTGATGTTTATCTTGGTTAACCATGAGGACAAGCAGCTTGTGATAAACGGTCACAGGCATGATCCAGCAAGCAGCTTTGTCTTTGTCTTCTTGAACGGCAACGTGGCCTTGTGGCACTGCCAATTTCTCGGCATAAGCCAAGTGCTGGGTAAAATCATTGCATTCACTTTTCGCACGTGACCACAGCCAGCCTTGAATATGTCTTTTCCAAGTGGCTCCACCAGGGCGCGGAAGCGCTTGCAACCATTTGTTGACACTAAGCATGGCATGCACGGCAGCAACCCTGGGGGGTTCTAACATGGGGGTTTTCCAATACAACTTACAAAGCTTCATTTGTCTAGCGTCAGAGGGGGTCAGTTGCAACGCTTTCAGCGGCATGTGAAACAACCCGGCATCCCTCATGTTACGACATGCTTGAATGTGCTTCCACCTCGACGTGTAAGCTTTTCGCCGTGGCACTACAGCTTGCACATTCTGGGTCCACCAACTGGACAGTAAGGGGGAAGTCACACTCCTCAAGTTTCTGCGAACATCTTCCAAACATGCTTTGAACACACAACGAGGCAAGGCTGAAGGCCATCTGATTTTTACTCTTTTGCTTCCTGGCAAACCATGTTGCCTCAGCCAGGCATCGCACGCCTTCACGCCTTTGGCCCGCAAGCGGGATGATGGTTGCGCAAGCAAAGTACGGAGAGCAACCACAGCTTCACAGCCAGCTGGTTCTGAACCCAGCCCCCAGCGCTGCCGGATAGAATCCCACGACACATCTTTGGTATTGCAAAGGTAACAAGCAAAAAGCGGTTTGAGGCATGCAGCTCGCAAATCAAGTGACCCAGACTGGCCAAAGGTTGCGCGACGATGCGCCAAAACGTGTTGGTAAGCTTTGTGGAAAGGCATGAAGAAGGCTTGTTGCAAGTATTTGGCATCCTGCAATGAATCCTTGCAATCAACTGCAATTCTTACAATTTTTTGTGCTTGGTTGTGGACTACATGCAAGTGCCGGGCTGCCTGTTGCCCGAGTTCAGTAGTTCGCCGGAACCGTGGTAACGGACGTCTATTTCGCTCACGACTAGCTACACTATGTCTTGTTGGCTTTTGGGAGGGGGCCTGTGTAGATTGGCTGTTTGCTGGCCAATGGCCGATCCGCAAATGGCACTGTTCCAAGGCACGGACCCTTTGCAAATCCGACACCGCTACGACCCATACTGCCAAATCACCTAGATGTATGTTGTGGAATATCTTAGTCTTCCGCAAATGTTTAGCATAACTAGCTGACCGTCTCACTAGCTGAATGTCATGCAAGTGCTCATAAAACCGTGGCATGGGCGCCGACATGGAGCAACGCCAGGCGCGACGATCACCAGATGTGCTTCCAAGGTAACAGCCACGCAAAGAGCACAGCAAGTACAAGCAACCATGGTCAAGGGGAACGCCTTGCTTACACTCAAGTTGGGTGGACAAGAAAACAACACAAGAGCGCACATTAGCTGTTGTCAGCTGCCCTGGTTGGAACATGGCGGCTGTCACGTCAGGGTGGACGCATTGCAGCCTTTTTTTTGCCCATCTTGTTCTTTTGCAACCAGCAGTAGCCTGCCAACGTGTGTGCAAGAACAACCGAACGCAACCGCACATGTGAAGCAAGTGGTCAAACTCCAAGCTGGTCTGTTTTTTAGTTTTCATGTCATGCGGCAACATCCAAGCAACCATGGCACGGGTCACCAAGCCTAGCTGGTGGGAAAGCATCTTTGCCAGGCTTGGGTCACCGCAAGCAACGACACAAATAACGCAACAACGCAACACACATTGGCTGACAGCACTGTTCTCAGACAACGAAAGCCTGTCTGAAAACTGGCTCGCCAACGTGTCCCAAACATGTGGAGGCATGTGCACCTGGTCACCCCATGTATACAAAGCACCAACAATGCGATCGACTAGCTCCTTTTCTGACAATGTCAAGACATCAACACCGGACATGTCAGGGAGGCATGGTCGACCACGAGGCTTAGCCATAGGCAGAGGCAACTTACAGTCAGCAGATATGTCAGCAGCGCACGTAGTCTGCGACGTGAATAACCACATGGATAGAGAGGCCAAGCATGTGAAGACACAACTTACAATTCGTTGCAACAAGAAGCTACACCAAGCAGTCATGCAATTCAACTTGCGATAGAAAGATCTGCGCACTCTGCGCTTCCAAGATCGACGCAGAGGTCGTTTGCCTCTGTGCGCTGTCATCTGAGAAAATTAGACAAACTATTTTTTCCTTAAGGAAAGTATCAGTAAGGTGTGTAGGGCCAGGCTGCGAGCCTAGCGCTCTAAACAAGACAAGGTTCGATTCCGGGTTTTTCTTGTCTGGACTCACTGGTGTCCTTGGTGACGTATAACGCCGAGACCACAGCTCTCAAGTAGGGTCCGGTCAGTTACACGTTAAGATTTGTTCTGTCTCTTCCAACTGGTAACTCAGTTTCTTTTCCTCCGTTGGCCACCGCCACCTTCTACTGGCTTGAGCGCGGTTTGCGCCAGAGCTGGTAACACTACAAGGAGTTGGCTTGCAGTGTGGCCTACAAATATGGACAATTGGATTTGAACCTCTGAATGGCAATGAATTGCGCAGCAACCAATATCACAAAGTTGAAGGAAGTCAAAATAAAACGCCAAAAGGAAGCAAAACAAGTTACAAGAGGATCTGTTGCAAAGTTGGTCTGGCATGTGGCCAGAAATTGGCAATTAGACTAAGAGCATTTACTTATATAATTCAAAGGGTGATATCAGCCCCCACGCTGTCTCGACCCGGCGGTCAAGGCTCTCACGCCCCTTCACCTGCAGCATCCCCGTGGCAATTTCCACTCTAGAACTGGGTGACCTCGACCGCTATTGTATGCAACGAGCCATGGCGAGCGACAAATTAAAGGAGTATCCTCCTTAATCAAGGTTTCAAAATCAACTCTAATTAAGGTGGATATTCTTAATTAAGGTGGATTCCCCCGGCTGGGCTGCCACACTGCTTCAGCCTGCCCATCCAATCGTCGAAGTTCACAGCGACGCCGTCACAGCCTCATCTGCTCTAATCGCAGCAGCCAAACATAATCTTGCTACAGGGCCCTGCAGGGCGGCCTTGTGCCACCAGCTCCTCAATGAATCTGCAGCACATCGTCCAATACGATGTGAAGGCCTGCAGTGGCCCACAACAAGGAACAAGCTATTCTCGCCATCGCTGGGGCTGCGACGGCATGAGCAGCAGCTAAGTTGCAGTCGAGATCCTACGGAAAAGGTGCGCAAACAATATACTTCAACTGGATTCTGGATGCATTAGGAAGAATCACCCTGGCTTCGTTGTGACCTCCTTGGTCCCAGCGTGCAAAAAGACAGACAGGCTGCCAGCCAGCCAGGCAGACAGACAGACGGACAGACAAGCAGGCAGACAGGCAGACAGGGAGACAAACTGACACACAGACACACAGACAGCCGCACAAGCAGACAGACACACAGACGGTTCTATGTTCTATTTAGAAACAAACATATACAAAATCTGATAACTACTTGACAAGGGGGCACGATCATTCGGCGCTGCAACATAGAAGGACATGCTGCAGCACGGCCTTCGCGCCCGTTGAAAAAAGGAGGTTTCACGGTTGACAAAAGGAAATGAAGCCCAGTACTGCGGCCAGTTGTTCAACCATCGTCGAACGACAGAGTGAAAAAGGTGAAGCCCAGAGCTGCGGCCAGTGGTTCAACCAGGCGACTTCGACTGGGTGAGAAGCTGAAAAAAGAACGGCTGTTTCACTTTACTTAGACGAATTACCAATTCAAAAGTGTCAATTCAGAGATCGATTCAACACGTCAAAGATTTACCTGGAAAGGTATTCCCCGAAGGGTTCCTGCCAACTTGACGTACGCAGCAGGAATGACACACTTGCTCAGAAACATCTTATCGAATTACTGATGTGGAACGCATCGTACGTGCAAAAACAATTCAGTTAAACCTGACAGGAGACAGTGCCTGAATGGACATGAGAAACTGTGGGAAGTCAACATTCTACGTCCTTGCTCTAAAGTTCAAATGATTCTGATGCAGCTCAGTCAGATTGCGAGAACCGTGCAAAAAGGAAATGAAAAACCAGTTGTTTGGAAACGGCAAGGTGGTTCTTGGGTTAGCCACATCCCATCAAGGAAACTTGACATGAACATTGACGCAGGTACGTCACGGTGATCAGCCGTGATATCCGCATGTACTGTGGCCGCTTCGTCGGACCATCGCACATAGTACATGGATGGTCCCCCTGTTTGAAATGACATGGGATTGAGACGGGGCCAAAAAACCTAAAGAAAAACAGCTGAAACAGGCAAAGCAATCAACTAGAAAAACCGAGGTAGAAGTTTTACATCTTTTCAGATGTTCCACACACACACACACGTACAGTTGCCATACATAGCAATTACCCCTCCTTTCCCAGACACCCAAATATCATACCTCTCTGGTTTCAATCAAAACAAGATGCCCTCAAGCCACAAAACTTTTGTTCCAGACCAATTTCAATGACTCCAGTCGATCCTCAGGACATCCTGCGGCGCACAAATGTTTGCGGCTGCAACTCTGTGCGCCCCAAATTTTGCAAATGTCTCTCATTGATCAAAAGTAACATTCAGTTCCGATCTGCCTTGCTGGGTTTGCAATTTGGGGGTGATTGGTCCATACTTTCCCGCTGATGAATGCGAGTATCTACTGATACGTGTTTGACTTGCACGCGTCGCCTTTCCAGTCCTGCCACACGTCGGTGCTCGTGGCGCAGAGGAGGCTGGCTGCGGCCTCCGTGTGAGATGAGACAACTTTGAACAAGAATCCATTGGTTTCTGGAACGTCAACACCTCATGGGGCCCACAAACGCCCGCCTTCAAGAGAGCTGACACCAGCGGCTGCGGCGCGTGAGCTCCTGGTGCAATGCAGCAACAATGTCTTGGCGCCCTGGTGCCCCAAAAATCACATCGTAGGTTTTGCACCGTAGCCTATTTGCTGCGAAGGAATGGGTTTGGGGTCGGGCTGATCGCAGTTCCTCTTTTTTTCGAGGCAATGTGAATCTTCCGGATAATAGTTTCGAACCATTTGTTCCAGGGAAAATCGACCTAGGAAAGTCTTCTGGATTGGATGGTAGAAACTAGAAACATGTAAAAAAAACATGGTTTCGGTAGGTCCATATCCACTCTCACGCGTTCATCTGAGATCGGAGCACCTTCAGTTGCCACAAGGTGTCGCACAAGCCTAGGGGCTCAGGGCTCTTTTCCATCTCGAGTGTTGCGGCTGCAATTTAAAAGTCTTCCACAAAAACGTTTGGCTGCCGTGCCCCTCCAGATCGGCAATCAAACTCTGCAGCCCACCGTTGGCCTTGCGATCACGGGGTGGCCTACTGACTCTGAAGGCTGATTGGCGGCGGCCACGAGAATGGTGGCCAAAGAAGCACCGCATTAGAAGAATGCGCTTTAACCATAATTAGACAGTGAATGGCACTCATAGTATAGACTAATCAAACTTGGCCGCAAGGGTGCAAGGTCAGGACTAAGGTTTCGCGCAGCGCAGGCACTCCTGCGAGCAACGAAGTCTTGATCGAAAAAAAACATCCGACACGAGAGGCCGTGCTCCTCCGCTTTTCACAGCCGAGAAAAGGTTCCACACCGCGCCCCAGTACATTCGCCAAGCCTTGGAATCAGCACATGCAGCGGCATTGGCCCACTGCGATTGACAATATGAGCAAAACCCTTGGTCTCCAACCGCACGGCACTCCGTGAGTCCGCCACACTCCTGCAAGCTGGCACGACTCCAGGCCGCTCCAAGATTCCATACGCTTGACCACCGCCCACCCAAGGGGCGCACCTCCACCCCGTCCAACAAGCCAAAAAACACCTAGCCATCGGTAGGCGGCAGCCGTAAACATATCCTCCTCTGAGTTGGCATAAAGACATCCAATCATTTTAAAGCTCCAAACCTTCAATTCGAAACCAGCTATTTACTACACAGTAACAATGACGACATGTTTACTACAAAATGAGGGTGCGTGATCAACACAACCTCCACTTCACATTACTACAGCATCACGTCACAAGGGATGTTGGGTCATGCCATGTCGTAGAGAGGCCCAAGATTCTGCGTAAGAAAGTGGCCTGACAAAATTGCCAAAACCAGTGGAAATACATTTTCTGTTTTTGCTTGCTTGATAGCAATGTGCTTCACAATACGGCTGGATCACTGTACGCCGTGTGAGTCCATGCGACGAAAACTGTGACTACCGAATGGAAACCTCAAAAATCAACGTGGGTGTGTCGTCTGCTTTCTTTAACCCAGTTTCCTTTGACAAAACTATCTTGTTCAACTTTGAAAAACAACGCAAACGACAGCTCGTCTCGGATGCAAATTCCCAGGAAAAATTGCAATGTGGTTTTCGAAGAAACTGGCAAATCTCTTCTGCAAAATGATAAGTTTGTTTTTAGGTGTTACTAGTGAAAGTACACCTCTCAAAAAAATGATAGCCCCTGAATGAACTGACTTGAACAAGTCACACTTTGGCGTTTGTGAAGGAACTCAAGCTACCTCATTTTGTAGAGGAAGCCGAAACAAGGATCACTCCAGCACAAAATGATCCTGCTAAAACCTACCTACTTCTTCACTACAACAAAATCACGGTAACCAAACGTAGAAGGCTACAAAATGGCCAACCGACTACACGCAAAAAAATGCACCCCCCAACAGCACCAAATTAGAATAAACATACAACACATATCCAGTGTCTACTATATAAGCTCAACCGGTCCCTTTTTGTAATGGAAATTCCCACAGGGATGTAAACATGATGCAGCCAAGGCCCCGCCTCGCAGATGAGGAGGCCAAAGGCGAAGGTGTCAAGGAGCTTGAAGTTGGGTGGCCTTGGAAAGCCGCAAAATGCGATGCTTCTTGATGGGAACCTACCCGGAACAAATCTGAGCTACAGGGCAACTGCGGCGTAGGCGTCATCCTGGGCATTCGAAAAGTTTCCCAAAACACATCCTGCCTGAGAAACTGGGAAGCCGGCAAGGAGAAGATGGCTGGCGGCCATCGCCTTGGGTCGCCCGCAAGCCCAGCTACCTGCAAGTTCAACGCAAGCACCAGTGGTACTGGAGATGCGACATGAGATCTGAAATCAGTCCAGGCCCTATCGGTCAAATGATGTGTGATGATGATGACGACGACACCTACGACGATGACGATGACGATGACGATGATGATGATGATGATCATGATGATGGTGATGATGATGGTGGTGGTGGTGATGATTATGTCGATAACGATGACGATGACGACGGCGATGGCGATGACGATGGCGATGACGATGACCATGACGGTGACGATAACGATGATGACGGTGATGACGATGATGATGACGATGACGATGACGATGACGGCGACGATGATGAGGAGGAGGAGGAGGAGCAGGAGGAGGAAGAGGAGGAGGACGCCTCCTCTCTGTCTCTCTCTTTCTCTGACTATCTACCTACCTATCTATCTTCTATGTATCTATCTATCTATCTATCTAGCTATCTATCTCTCTCTTTCTCTCTTTCATCTAATTACCTATCTACCTATCTACCTACCTACCTATCCATCTATCTATCTCTCTCTCTCTCTTTCATCTGTCTATCTGTCTACCTGTCTATCTATCTGTCTATCTGTCTACCTGTCTATCTGTGGTGCAGTGTCATTCAGTGTATTGTAGTGTAGTGTAATGTAGTGTAGTGTAGTGGAATGTAGTGTAGTGTAGTGTAATGTAGTGGAGTGTAGTTGTGTATTCGTAGTTGTAGTTGTAGTGTAGTGTAATGTAGTGTAATTTAATGTAGTGTAGTGTAGTGGAGCGTAGTGTAGTGTAATGTAGTGTAGTGAAATTTAATGTAGTGTAGTGTAGTGTAATGTAGTGTAGTGGAGTGTAGTGTAATTTAATGTTGTGTAGTGTAGTGTAGTGGAGCGTAGTGTAGTGTAGTGAAATTTAATGTAGTGGAGTGTAGTGGAGTGTAGTCTAGTTGTGTAGTTGTAGTTGTAGTGTTGTGGAGTGTAGTGTAGTGTAATGTAGTGTAGTATAGTGGAGTGTGGTGCAATGTAACGTAGTGTAGTGTAGTGAAGCGAACGGGCGAAGCGACATCTGAACCTCCAAAAGTGGTCCGAACCCCTAGTGTTTTGTACATTTTCACTTCGAAATGTGCTTTGCGCCACAACGGCGTGCACTTTTTCGACATCTCAACTTCCAAAAGTGGTCCGACAATGGTGTGTTTTGTACATTTTCACTTGGAAATGTGCTTCGCGACAACGGCGTGCACTTTTTCGACATCGCAACTTCCAAAAGTGGTCCGGAGCTGGTGTGTTTTGTGCATTTTGACTTCGAAGTGTGCTTTGCGCCACAAGGGCGTGCACTTTTTCGACATCGCAACTTCCAAAAGTGGTCCGGCCCTGGTGTGTTTTGTGCATTTTGACTTCCAAATGTGCTTCGCGCCACAACGGCGTGCAACTTTTCATCTCTCATCTGGCCAGCTGGCTCCGCACCCGCCGCTTTAGCGAGCCTACTTTTCGACCCTCCGGAGCCCCAAATCATTGGGAAAACACAGTGTTTCGCGACTTTCCTACCTTTTCGCGCATCTGCATCTTCTTTCTTCTTACTGTTTCTCTTCTACTCTTCTTTCTTCTGATCTTTCTCTTCTCTCTGCCTCTTCCCTGCTCTGCTTTTCATCTGTCCATATTGTCGGAAGTTTAATTTCTAAACTTCCTTCGATAAATATCAATTTGGTTGGGCTTACCGAGTAAAAGCTACGGCGGTTTTTTCTAGCCTCTGACTCAGGGGCCCTGGTCTGAGCCCGTGTTAGCGGAGTGAGAACACGTCTATACAATGTGTGTTATGTTTCGCACTGTGGTAAAATGAAGTGAGATTCACACTGATCCTGTTTTACAGGTTCTGCAGAACCTGGAGCATCGAATCTGCCTTCATGCGCTTGGTCAGGACATCAGACAGCATGGTGGATGTATGAATCCACTGCAAGCGGTCTCCTCCTTTTGGGAATTTCTCGTAGGTTTCGACATCCTGATCATCACGGAGCGATTGGCGAATAGCCTTCGGCTCGATTTCCAAACGCATATCTTGACAACGTGACATGATCTGCGCATTGAGATGGCTGACAGGATGGCTTAGCTGCGGGATGAGGCTCCGCATCTCTACGAGAAGCGCTCGGATCCTATCACCGGATTCCATTGACTGCTGCAAGGAATACGCTTCACATTGCAAAGTCGAACGGCACACTCACTTGATTGTAGTTGATGAGAATGACACGGGGTATACATCAAACTCACAACAATCAGGAGATTTCAACTGATGGACGGGGACTAAGAAGCGACACCTCCCTTGCTGGGATTTCATTCCAGGCTCATTTGCAAACGAAGCATCGGACACGGACAAAACACCTACTTGACTCCACTTCATGAGACGACATGGAAAATTGAGGTATATGTCGTCCAATCCGGCATGTGCAATCTGCACTGCCTTGTTTGCGTCACGCAGGACCTGGACTGTTGCACCTTTCACTTCAGACTGAAGACGTGGCACTAGGAACAACAACTGGGGGCGGCCTTGGCGAGCGACCCAAGACAAAGATCCTACAACTGACCTGAGCTGTGTCTCTTCATTGCGCGTCAACACGTCGTCGTTCCTTCTTCCATTTGGGATGTTGATAGGCCTGATGCGACGTGTGTTGTCACTGACGTTGATACGGATGGCAGATTCGGTTTGTTCAAAGGCATTTCCGCCGTGCCTGAATTCCTTGGATTCTCGGGTACCCATATCAAACTTTCCAAGCAAACCTTCTACTACGCTTTCACCTTCTGGCGGATAGGCAAACAGGAGATCATCAACATGTGTGGTCAAAACGGCCACCGCCTCTGTCTCCATCTCGTTCTTCTGGCTTCGCAAGAAGTAGAACGCTGGAAAGATTTCTGACGCTACGAAGCCTACGTCCTTTGCCTCTCCGTCAAGGCATTTCCAAAAACCACGGCCACTGTCACATAGACCATACACCGGAACGCGGACCAACAGCATGACTGAAGGGTCCATGTCAGGCAAACCTGATCTGGGTTGTTTCATGATCACAACCCTGTCCAAGGATGTAGCTTGAAAATAGGCCGATGCGATATCGGCTGAGTTCAGCTGAAGTCCATGGCTGGCTGCCCAAGCTGCCACTATGTGATGGGTTTCCATATCGGATGTTGGGGCATCTGTTCCGAGTGACCCTTGGTCTTCAAAATTTCCGCAACTGACAAGTCTTGACTTGATCTTGGGTATGTAGTCTGGCTCATGTGCCTTGTGAGCCATTTTGTCTACATCAACCCATTTGGACGGGATCACTGCGTGTCTCTGCTTGACCAAGTGTTCGGCTTGCTCCTTCTCCAAAGGAACTGCTGCAGAGTACTTGATGTACTTGCTCCACTCAGCGCGTCTAGCTTCATCAATCAAGAGCTTCATTTCAGCGGTCTCATACTCATAGTTCAAAGTCTTATCTGCTCTTTTCTCTTCCATTGAAGGTGCTTTTGGTTTGTCGGAAGTTTCTTCAAATCTTTGGGACATGAAAGACACAAAGCGCTTTCTTGATCCCATAGGCTGAACGTTCCAAAGTTTGTTTACTTTGCCGTTCTGCATTTCAACGATTCCTGTGTTCGCAGTAACATCTGCTTGAGATTGGTCTGCTTCTGCCCTCTGCCTCGCGAAGTGCTGGCGCAGCGAGACGAGCAGATCGTCCAACGAGTCTCTGAGGCTCGGCCACGGGGCCGGAGAACTCCAAGGGCGAGATTCCTGCAATTCTTGCTGGGTTTCATTTGCGGTAGATTCTCCTTCGGCAGTAGTTTCAGTTCTTGCTCCAGTTCTTGCTCTGACACTTTTAGAAAAACCTGATGGCATGCTCCTCCTAGTTGCAAGGGGTCTCAATACACCAAAAGATTCTTCCGTCTCTAGATCATCTCCCTCACCATCATCCTCACTCACGGGGATAGGTATTTCTTGAGGGGTATCATCTGGTACTACTGGTTCTGTTGGTATGTCATCACTTGCTCTTGCGGGTTCTCACGGTGCTAGAGATGGTGAATACCCTTCATCTTCAAATCCTACTTCGGGATCCCTTGGCTCGGGTCCTCTGGCATCGACAAACCTTTGACTGTCTTCGACAATTTCACTTGGGACAATGGGCTGTCCACTCAAGACTGACTTGGCTAGTGCTTCTGCATCATTTGCTGGACGCAGTGCATGCACTGAAGCAAGGACAGGTACATTTTTGCAAAGTACCCAAACATCGCGATTACCTTCAAATCCGATGATTCTGGATGCTACACTCCATTTGGCCTTGCCTTCGGCATTGTTGTCGCGGCGGTAGCAAACCACATCTCCGACGGAATAACTCATGGTGATTGGCGACGCGTTTTTCAACGTAGCTCGCTGTACCCTCTTACTGGTGTCGAGGTGTACAAAGGCTTTCCTTGCCTCAACTCGTGCCATTTGCTGCAATGCAAAAATGCTATCAGGATCAACCTGCTCTTGCAGGACTCCTAAGTCACTCCAATGCTTCTCATCCAAAAATGATGGCTGGGTCTTGTGTTTTCTACCAAGTACCCATTTTTACCCTGAAAAACCTCCATGTCGAATGCTATTGTTCTTTACAAGAACCACTTCCGCAAGAACCTGATCAACCGGATCAGCGCCTGATGGCTGAACCTCTGCAGCTACCTTCCTGTACATGGCCTTGGCAATGCCTCCATGCCTCTCTACACGTCCTATGGCTTCGGGGGTTTCCAAAGGTGCATGTCTGACCTGGACGCCGTTGGCTCCACAAAACTGTGCCAACACACCTCGGTTATGCAAACCTCTGTCATAATGCAAAGTCTCTGGAAAACTTGCCCAACTGAACCAACGTTGGGATAGCGCCTTCAAAACTTGAGAGCCTGTGGCATTGACTCCCATTCGAATGACATGTAGAATTTGGAAGGTAGTTCCAAGATCAACCATATTCAACACAGCGTATTTTCTACCAGCCAACAAATCAAGTCCAAGATTCGACCCAAACCGATGCTCATATGGGAGTGAGGTTTTGTGGGTTTTGGAACGCGGCGCCGTATCCTCACAAGCCGTACATCTGTGCAGCTTGACTGCCTCCACATACTGCTTGTCCACCTGACCTCAACCTCATCAGCCTGTCCTTCACAACATGTTCATGGGAGAATTGTTCGGGAGATCAATTGAAAGCAGAGGTTGTCGGGACATGTTGATGCATCTGTTTGTTTGCCCAGATGATTTGGCCTGTATTCTGATGCTCTCGTCTCGACTTCACATATTTCACGCGCGCTGGGTGCCTCAGTGGCTGGTGTCTCTGCCGCCGTCTCTGTCTTGGCTTGGCAAATCTGGCAATGAGCAGGGAGGGGGTCAGCGCCATCGCGCATCAAAGGTCAATGTGTTGACTTGAAACATCTGCCTCAGATGTAGGTAGGTACTACTTGTAGGAGGTACGAATTAGGTGCTAAGATTTTGGCCCCGCAATTTTTTTGGACAAGTTTACCGGCCTCTCCCCAGTGGCTGATCAGACCACGGCAAGTCCGGTTTCTTTGCGCAAGGATATCATGGCGAGTGACCTTTTCGTAGGGGAACGAGAACTGGAAGGTCATAACCGGAAACTCCCCAAAGACGCACGCGCGCACCCACACACACACGCTCACACGCGCAGCTAGATATACACACCTACACCTTTCTGTATGCAGTATATCATACTACTGGTTTCTACTGACTGGTAATCTACAGTCACCAATGGTCGCCAACCAGAATTTAGTCAAACATCGCTTCACAGCCACACTGCCTGTTGCGATATGGATTCTTTGCATCGGGCGCAAAAGGGGCCATGAAGGCAATCCTGCACCTGTAGGAAGAGGCAAAAGGCTTCGGTAAGCTGCAACCATGGTAGCCTTTGGCAATCTAATGGCCTGTGTGCTTCATTGGATTATCCGTGATACCGTTGATGGACAAAATTCCGCAAAAAGTTCACCTATCAACTGGTGCACATTTTGTCCGTGGTCACTGCATTAGATAAACATTGTGGTTGGTTATGGTTTGCAATTTCAGAGTTAGTTAAGCCCATCTAGACAAACCTAAGTAGCCTCAAGCGGGGTGGAAAATACGAATAAAGCAGTGCAATCCGCCAACAAGAAAAACTTAGAATAATTGTTGCAGGCGCTGGACTCACTTGCATAAAATGGTGCACGTCAAATGAGTATGGAATGCCCAAGTTGAAACAATCAGTAACGATGCGGGGCACAGTGGCATCGCAAGAGCTTCTGACATACAGAAATGATCTTGACATATCCCTCAGCGTCCGACGCAAATGGAGCGATGGAACAGCTCCGCTTGGCAAGAGCTTCCTGTGACGAGCTTCCTGCACCTTGGGGAACCATCAGTGATGGACGGGTTGGTGATTGAAACTCTGTAAAAAATATCAGTCACCCTTCATGAGTCTATCATCAACACATCCATTTTACCGGTTGGAAATACTTCCAAATCACCAACCAGTGGGTTTCCAGCACTGTTTTGGTATCCGAGGACGCTGCTGCACGCATATGACCCCAGTCGTCTGGACCGCCTGGAGTCACCAGAATCCAAAGATTGGAAGGTCTACGTTTTTTGTTCTTGGATCGTTCATTGACACTTTGAACATGGATTATTGATTGTATTGATTGTATTGATTGTACTGATTGTTTGTTGATGGTTTACTTATGGTTTAGTGTGGGTTAATTAATGGTTCATTGACGTTTTTTGATGGTTGATTGACAGTTTCTTGACTGTTTCTTCACATTTTGTTGACCATTGATCGTTGATGGATGATTTACTTGACGTACACATCCAGCTACATCAACGAATTTGTGAACAGGAGAAGCTGCGGTTCGACAGCCCCCCAAAAGCATCCCTCCCCCGTAGGCAGTAACTACTGTAGCTTGGTAGTGGTAGTGGTAGTGGTAGTGGTAGTAGTGGTAGTAGTAGCCGTAGCAGTAGCAGTAGCAGTAGCAGTAGCAGCAGCAGCAGCAGCAGGAGCAGGAGCAGTAGCAGTAGCAGTAGCAGTAGCAGTAGCAGTAGCAGTAGTAGCAGTAGCAGTAGTAGTAGTAGTAGTAGTAGTAGTGGTGGCCCAACCCACAACCACAAAGGGGGTATATGTGAACAATAAAACATCATGTGTAGTTTTTGCCAAGAACATCAGGGAACTCATCGTCCTCGCCTCTTGTTCGTGCGAAGCCAACAAAGTTGGCAAGGCCTGTCAGCATGGCACCGGCACTGGGCACGACGGCTAAACGGATTTTCCCGGAAGGTACAAGGCATATTTTGGACTGGTAGATCCGGATAGATTGGCTAACATAGCATCACTTTCAGCAGCCTGCCAGTTTCAACTCCAGTTTGGAAAGGCAAAGAACAAAAAATGCGAAGGTTTCACAGTTTCACTTCATTTAGGTTTCAACACGTCACAGGTTGATCTAAAGAGCGCAGCTTGCGCCATGCAATACACATATTGTAAACTCTCCACGGCACTCAACTTATTCAACTTACTTAACTTTCTCAACTACGCAGGTAAAGTCTCCAGTTTGCGGCAGCCCACGGGTGGAACCCGGGTCTGTTCCGCCTTATCTTTCACCTTTTCACCTGGGGTTTGGCACAGGTGGCTATGTCTCAAAATGTGCAGCACGTACCGTTTCAGCAAGTCATTCAGCAGTTGCAGCAGTTGCGTTGCTATCGTCACTCAGAAGAACCATGGTATCGACGGTATCGGGCTTCTTCGGGCATATTTTCAACGATGCAAACTCAATTCGAAAGTTGGAGCGCTTAGCAAATCTTTGTCCCTACAACTGGCTGTGCAAGGGGCACGCTCTGCCGAAACCTAGCACACTTCGAACGCAAGGGGAAAGACTCTTGCAGGAATAACACCTCTTTCCGTCAGCATCCGGTGTCTTTCCGGATTTTTCGTTCGGATTCAATGCAAGGCACCTGAATCCAAATCGTTGGCCAAACTAAAATCACTCCCATACCCCGTGACATCAAGGCTTGTATCCAAACCTGATGTTCCACTCCCACCGTGCCAGGCCGCGCGTGACAAATCTACGGCCAACATCTTTGACTCATCGGGCCTACCAGCCGACCCTGCCGTAACAATCCTCAGTCTTCCTTTTCTTCCTTTCCTGCGTTTTCTCTTGTGCATCTTGAGCGAGGCTGCTGATTTCCTCCATCTCCAGAATTTGCCGTGAAATCCTATGTTTCGCCCCCTTGACTTGTTTGTCTTTTGCAGATTTGCGGAGGTTGCTCAAGTCTCCAAGATCTTCAGTAAATTGTTTTAAGGCGCGAGGCTCCAGTTTCACGGTTCCAGCAACAATCGTGCCATTGTCACATCCCTTATCTTCCCGCCATGCAACTTCTAATGCGTCGCATGTCCTGAGCAACAGCACTGATGGCAACTTCAGCAACTTTGAATTGTCCCATCACACAACAGAAACATGAAAAATACCGAAAGGTTTGTTGCCAGTGCTGCAACTAGTGATTATTTATGATGATTTATCTGTATTCTTCATTTTTGCATGTCAATATTGATAGCTTGGCGCTGTCAACAAACAATTTTTGAATAAAACATCTGGATTAATCTGAGTTGATCCGGAAACCAAAAACAAAGAACAACAACCATGTTCTGGGGACTACTTGGATCTACCTATGTTCAGACTTGTCTGCAACATTGCTTTTTTTTTTCGGCTTTTTAATTATATAACCCAAAGCAAATCCACCTTGTCTCATCCAAACGCATCTATCATATGCAAACCAATGTAACCCAATTGAATCCGTTGTCATCGTCCGATCAGAAGTGTAGCACCGCAAGAATGTTTGGTCCTTTGATTGAGAACAACACTTTTCGGCGAAAGTCACAACGGGCTAAAATCGAAATTGATGTGATGAATATTGTTTGTGTTGGATTTTTGAAGAAAAGGAGTTTATTCCAATTCCTGCTTACGAAGCAGTAAGCGTCACATGCTTGAGTTCGTGGAAGCAGCTGGCTACAGTGTAGGTGATGCGCATGTGGTTTCGCTTGTTGCTGACGTGGCGCAACCGTTGGAAAATGTGTTTTAATGTGTCTTCAACAAACGTGAGCCAAAACGTGGTATCAAGGCGCGCTACTTCTCTCTAGAGCAAGGTTTTTCATTAAATTCGACAGTCGCTTCGCTGCGATACCCGGGAATATGTTTCATCGTTTGATCTCAGTAAGTGTGTAGTTCCTGGCATCTCGACAAAACATGATACCTCAAGAACCTTTGTCGTCGACATGTATTCTCGTCAGATCTTTGGGGGTTGTTGTCGAAATGTTCATTCCAATTGGGGATCCAGCAACGGCAGAGGCGCTACCCCAAAGCCGTACTGGGCCTACCGGGGCCAGAAGCGCAGTGACAAGGCAGAGATGGCCAACTCCAGCCACCCCTTTGGAAGAGTCAATGGCTGGGGTGGCAAATACGTGGAGGGGGGCTATGAGATCGACGGGCACTTCCTCCCGCTACCTGGCATTTATTGGGCTTGATAGTTTGCATATGTCTTGTTGCTGGCATCTTTGTGAAGTCTCAATGACATCCAACCAGTTCCCTGTTTCCCCAATGGCAACATCGGAGTCATTTGTTTTTAACATATTTGTCTTCCATCCCTGCCGCCCAGGTTTGGTCAGGGCCGACAACGGGCGCGCAAGCGTGGCAAAGGGCCACCAGGAGTCCAACAGCTGCAATGGCAAGCTGTGTCGGACTTAGCCAGCGTAGCCGGAGCAGCAATGGAGACCCGGGGAGGGGACCCATCAGCATAGGTGGTGTAACAGCCCCAAAGAGTCGCCAGTGGTGTCACGCAGAAGGGAAAGGTATAATCATGAAATGCTGATGGATCAACCCCCGGTATAGATGCATGTGTAAGCACAGCATGTACGGCATGCGTGGGCAGGATTCCGATTATATTTAAACCAGGTGCATGATTTTGTATGACGAACTGAGTTTGTAGTTTTTTCCATTGTTTGCAGGGGGAAACAAGCATCACAACAGGATGCCTGCACTCCAATGCCAAACCAGCCGAAAGGCCTTGCTGGATCATGATGGCTGCGAAAGTATTTTTATGACTCATGTGACACTATGCAGAAGCAATCAGCTCCTCAACATTAACTATATGATATATATATATAATATATATAATATATAAAATATGCATGATATGTATATCTATGTAGATACACATATAAATAGATACTATTATGTTCGTGTGGACTTCCGGCTGCGGTGTTCACCAAGGCCAGCGCGGAAGTCATCTAAATGGGCTGTTTGCATGACTGTATAAGTGATATATGCATCTAATCTAAACAAAAAAGTTGTGTCGTCAATCACTCAATGATGTAACGGACTGCGAAGCCTTCAGCCTTCATTTGTTTGCGGCGGCGATGGCTTGCTTGCTCACAGACTTGAAACCAAACCTTTAAAGAGAATGTGCAGATAGAAGTTTTATGCCTCATGATCATTACCACAAAAGATTTTAACTTGCATGTTTGTGTTCATGTGGTGCGGTGTGTGAGCAATCCAGCCATTTGACATTTATGTTTCACCACCGTTTGCATGGGCACAAACGTCCCCTCAATTGTGAAAGGAAAAGAAATATTGTAGATGAATACTTGTAATGAAGCAACCATGCCACCATGTATCCACTCGGATTGAAACAGAAATTAATGTCATTTTGCTGCCAAAATTGAGGTTCTTTCTATGGGTGTTCATGGTATCACGATCGGCAGCACTGCTAGCCGCCTGAGAAATGCCGAAACCACAACATGAAATTCATACTTTAAGACGGGAATGTTTTTTATTGAGCAGTAAAAATCAAACAATGAACCACCAAGATTTTATGGATCCAAAGAAACATGAATCATATACGGTCAAATTTTTGTGGACCCATTAAAATGATCAGTTTACAATCAAAATTTTATGAATCCATAAAATTTGATCTCATATCCACCAAAATTCTATGGATCCATAACAAAAAACCAATATGCAGTCAAAATTTTGTGGATCCACAAAAAATTAAAATCTCTGGTTACGGAACCTTGTTGTTCCACAAAATTCTGAATGTCAATATTTCCTCAAAAGTCACGGAACTTTTGCGATTCAAACCAGCTATCACAGACATTTTTTGGTCATAGAGCCACTCAGTGTGGTGAAAAACCTGATGAAATAACATGTTCCAGTGTTTCGAACAACGCTTGCTGTCCATCTGGCACAGCGCACAGAGACGCTGTGAGGCCTCCGGCGTGCAAAACCAGAGATCTGTTTGTGGGAAGTGCTGAGGTGTTCAATCACTTTTGCTTTGGGTTAAAATCGTTACCCCAAATCCAAATTGTTTTGGGCAAATTGTTTCTTCCTTGCGTGGACGAGTCATTTGTGATCAAATGTTCTGTTTTAGCGTAGTAGTTCTAATGTTTGGGAACCCTGGGCCACACCAAGTTTAAACTATTGATGTGGGATGCGTCAAGCTGTTGCTAATATGGGGCAACGATCTGAATGCAATCTAGCTGACATGAAACAAGTGAGTCAATTCACAAAGGCCAATGGCCCAGGAATCCTCGTTTGAGATTTCAGAGCACAATTGGCACTGCCAGAGCAACTGTCTTGCAATAGCGGCAGCGTGCTGTGTCCATCATCATATCCCATGTCACAGAAACATGGGTATGAATGCAGACCTTATATGTGGCACATGCAGTGGAGTCCATTGTGTATGCAGGGTTGCGCAAATACTCGCATGCACAAATGCAGGGCGGCACTGCTCGCAGAGCATCAAATTTCTCAAGGTGTAGAATCAGGGCCATGGCAAGGTGGCAGTATAAGGTCATGAACGAGTTGGACCGTGAGAAAGCCAAGACACCCCGTGGGTGGCCACAGCTCGGACCAACAGGGTCTTTCCGCCTCAGTAGCCTGCTGGATGGAAATATCCAGATGGGAGCTCCACACGCGTGTCCTACAAGTGGTACGGGGCAGAAATCCTTCAGTTCCGAATTGCGATTGTGTTGTATCGCAATGATGCGAAGGCAGATGGCGAAACCCGCTACATGATCGCCAGGCCAATCGCGGCTATTAGTGTGACCCTCACTGCCACCCGCATCCAGGAGCACTTGATTTCCTGCCAAGTTCGTTTCCTGTCCGGCGACGTGGTGATGCAAGCCCGATACCACGAGGAAACATGTGGCGGAGTGGTCTACGATGCCATCAAGACCGAGCTGGCAGCATCTGGCAAGTACACAACCTGGGACTTGGCGACCCTCAAAGTGGTGCATGGGTCGAAGGTGCTCAATGCATCGTGCCAGCTGCGCAGACTCATGGATGGGAGTGGCAAAGGGAATGGATCTACTTCTACTTCCGCAATGGGCCGCGGAAAGGGCAAAGTACTGAAGAAGCCATCCAAGAAGCCATCTGTGAATAAGAAGACGGCCGGGAAGCATCACTGAGTGTAGCCAGTGAGCATTGGATGCAGATTGCATCACGATTTATGAACAGTACTTTCAGCGTCTCTGAGTGTAGCCTGTGATCATGGATGCAGATGCAGCTGGTGTTTGAAAGCAGGAGGTCATCAAAAGGCATATGCTGATTCATCAATTCCACTGGCAATGTTTCACTTTGTTTGACCAAAATAAAAAGACCCCAAGACATCATCAAACAGTCGACTTTTTGGGGAGGTCTTTTTCTTGGGTCGACCTAAGTGGAAGTAGGAAATTCCATTGAACTCCGCTGAATGTCTTGTTTTGACTTGATCCCATATATCTACATTCCTTTTAATTTCAATGGAGCTTATCACTTCTGTCGCCTTTCCATTGTCCCTTCCCCATGGAGTTGAATCTTCATGCGTTTCTGCCCACGCAGGTGGTCTTCAACAGATTCAGTTGGGGTCTCTAGAAGGGTGGGTGTGATGTGTATGACAGCGAGCCTTTTGTATCTAGCCCTGCTTGCCGTTGCGTGGACGAGTCATTTTGTTGGCCCTGCACCAGACGCAGTCTTGTTTATTTATTGTGCATCACTTGTGACTGCTTGTGAAACTTTGTTTACATAGGTTTATTTCACAATGAGAGCAACCTTGTGTGACATCATGCGTTCAACACCGTGTCTTTGCAAGTATGCCATCGGTGTTCATATTTGTTTCTTGCTGTTGGGAAACGTCTCGGAACAATTTGCTTATTTGACAAACGACACCAAGAGCCTTTTTGAAGTCAATCCCCACATTGGCCAACCTTAGCAGCCGCTGCATTCTGAGGCCAGGCCATGCATGCAGGTTCGGGCACCCAACATTCAAGAGAATGCAGGTGGCATTTGTATCGATTCAAACAACTGACCTTGCAAACAATGTGCATGTCCGATGTCCATATCATGTCATTCTCAAGAGCTTCAGTGCTGGTCTATTCAGACATGTCCTGTCTTGAAGCTACAAAACTGTACAGCACAATGCAGGGCCTTTTGAGACTCGCTTGTGCACATGCAGGGCTTTGCAAAGCTCGCTTTCGCAGCCATTAGTGTTTAAGAGGCACCTCTTCCAATTGGGAAGAACTATGGCAGAACTCCTCCAATTCTTGAAGGAGGTGCAGGCTTATTTGACAAGCCAGCAAAAGGTCTTGAAAAGAGCTGGCTCGTTGGCCGCATGCATGGACCAGCAGGCCACGGCGTGGGAAGCCAGGCTCAAGACCGCGAAGATCACTGCACCGGAGGAGGACCTGCTGCAGGTCTTGGCGAAGGGGCCGTGGAATGCCTTTGTCAATGCCCGAGCCTATGGTCGTTCCGCCCACCGGGGTGGGGAGATTAACCAACCAGGTAGATGTCCTTAACCGACACCTCACCGTAGGGCTCCTCAATGTTGTGGGACCACCGTGCGCCCTGGGTAGAGCGTGCGGCTGATAACCTGTGAATGGTTTGATGTACCACTGCTCAACTTGTAATAGAGGATTCCAGTCTCAAAGTAGTTCCGTTCAACCTCGCAGCGCAGAGTTGTTTTCCATTGGCAATAGAGAGCGTCTTCCAGCTTGAGCTGTGCGGCGAACAGATGTGATGTTCGGAGCTGGCATGTGATCAACCGCTCTACTCAATTGCTCTACTTGAGGTGACCTCCCGCCTGTGCCCCTTTCACATAATAATATATGTGTCTTCTTGTTGGACATGTTCCTGCCATGATGGATGAAGTTTCTTACACGTTGACAAAGAACTTGCCGGCTTGAGTGATGAGGGGTGAACGACAATGTTGCAAAGTTTTGAAGGTGGGTTTGCCACCAGCAAATCAGTTTGCAAATCTTCAAGCTTAAGTCTTAACCATTAACAACATAAAAGAAACACAAAAAAACACAGACTAGCACATTATAACACTTTTGCCCAGAATGCTGCAAACCACAAGTATTCATAAAACATTACTGAAGTAAACCCTACCAATCTAAACCGCGATTCAACTTTAAGGACTCTTGCACCAGGTTGACCTAAATTCAATGATTCATATTTGGAAGCCCCTTCTCCGTCCTCCAAGAAAAACTTCAGAACATTATTCCAGCAACAGGAGAACATAGAGAAACGCAACACAGAAAGAATAGTCAGGACGCTTCGCATCTGTAAAAAAGTATGTGAAGGAACCGTGCGCTGTGAAGGGACATTGTTGAACAGCGGCAAACGTGAGCACCGGATTCAGTGTGATGTGTGACGTGTGATGCGGTAATTCCAGCGTGTCTTTTTGACGGTGCGATTCGCGCCGCAAGCCAACTCCCCCAGGTCGCAAGCTGAGCAGCAACGGCATCAAATCATCAAAACCAGGCGTAGGAAGCATTCAGCAACCATATTTGGCACTAGAAAACAAGATGAAGCCCTCTGAAAGGGCGAGTATGCATATCTTCGCAAAGCTGAGATTCTTGCTTCGATCAAAACTGGCACTCACATGTAAAATAGCGGCATTAGCCAAGTGACGCCGTGTGCCGTGCCACAAGAAACGAATGAATTATTTGCATTGGAAGGAATTCATAATTTCGCTTGCATCCAATTAAGGCTGATAAGAACGTCGCATTCTGTACAGCACCTACGGCCCTACTGGATCAGCAAAAGATACGTCTTTGAAGCATTTGCAACCGCTGCTTGGAAAGTGGCTTGGCATGATTTAGTTAATATGAAATGATTTGCTTGCATGCCCATCTTAGTCAGATCCACCTTTTGGTTGAATTGAGAAAACCTACTGCCTTCGAATTTCCATCAGTGCTTGCATTGGTGTTACCTGTCACCGTCAGCTAAAATTGCGCTTATTTACCTGCGGCAGGATTTGGCTTCGGGCCAGTTTCGCACTCATGTGTACCTGCTTCATGCCGAATATTCAATTTTGGAGATAAACTTGGGGAAACGCGGAGGAAAGCCCTACGGCGAAGATTCTACATACTAAATCTGTGTCATTGACCGTCCTTGAAGCCTAAAGAAGCCTAAAGAAGCCTACAAAGTGAGAAGCGCACCGAAGACAAAACCTTGAGGACATTTGACGTTTGAAGCATGGGCCAAACCCGTTCAATGCCGGGCTGGGCTGAAGGGTGCACCTGGACTTTCCTCCTCGTCGGCCTCCGGCATCTCCGGCAGCATAGGCGTCATGCCTTGGGCATCATGGCACGTCATGGCGTAATGCGTGACGTGGCATGAAGACACGCGCCAAAGCCATTTCATGAAATTTCAGAAAGCCATGCTTACCATCCCAAGAAGCCTTAGTGTAGAAGTGTAGAAGGAACACCTTACCGGTGAGAGAATTTCGATGACTTTTGTGAAGGGAAGACATTCGACGGATTGGGATTGCATTCTGACTGGGACCTCCTCACTTTTTCCTTGCAGCATGCCGTAGAGCTGGTACCGGCTCTTGTACTCAGGATGATCCAACGAAATAGACCTTATCTCTGCTGCGGATGGTGATGCGATGGGAGGTACACGGTGCAAACCGAAACGTGAGCACAACAACTCTTGAAACCGGGAATTTGAAGCAAACCTTCTGAGCCAAAGCCAAAGCCGAGTGGCAAACTAAGGGGTTGATTGCAGCGTTTGACTCGTTTGACGTTTGTTTCATTGATAGGTAGCAAAGAGCACCCGCGTGCACAAGCACATTGTAAAGCACCTGTGGTTGTTCATGTCCGTTCTCCCCAAAGCTGATAAACTTGCGTAGTTAATCGATCGCTCAAATGGTCATCAGGGCCAAGAAATGTTTGTAGCAACATAAGAGGCATCAATCAACAATTGACTGCTTTCTGATTTCTGATCAAATGAAGGGAAGAATTCGATGATGTTCTCCGTATCCTGTTCCCGGTATCCATGAAGAAACAGCTTTTATTCCACTCTTCTGTTCTTCCGGCGGGGTCAAAACGCGTAAAACGCGTGCCGGTTAGGCCCCGAGCGTGGTGACGCGACAGCAGTGCCGCAAGTTCTCCATGACCTGGTCCGATGCTTTCAGCTGAACTCCAACTCTCCAACCGCCCGCATTTTCAATTAACGCATCCAAACTGAATCACCAAAAACATCCAAAAACAATGATTGTGAGGGGCCACTCAAGAATGAAAAAGTCTGTAAGCACCACTGGTTTCATCAGAACTATGGACCGCTCTTGCACTGCTGGACTTTGTTCCTCTCTCCGAGCACCAGGCAAGATGTCGGTCTGGCAGGTGCTGCCGGCCACGGTGCAAAGCCTGGAGCTGGCATCGTGGCAAATTGACTCGCTCTGTTTCAAAGTGTCAAGGCACTTGACTGACAACGTGGTTAACAACGTGGCTAACAGTTGGAGCCCAGCCGTGCGACATCCCCTTCGTAGACTCTCCAGCTACTAGTATGCTTTTGGTCGGAACATGTGGGAACTATCTTGGGATGCGCAACCCGGAATGGGGTTTATGTGTGCCAAAATTTCAGGCATGGAGAATACCCGGACCCCATCCAATTACCCGGCATCCCTGGGGCGCCTGGGAAGCATTTCGCTCCAGGGGCGGTCGCTTCTTCGTTGGCACTTGCACAGTGACCTACCAGGGCTGCGATGGCTGGATCTTATGACCACTGGTTCTGCTATGCTCTGCTTCTCAACAAAAACCCATAAAGTGCGTTGCTGTGTGCCGTGGAAGGCTGTTCCCTGCGGCCAAAGTGTCTGCTTGTGAACAATCAAAATCCTGTTGAGGTATGAAAAATGCAGAAAAATGCTAGCACCTTCGAACACAAGACGCATGACCTTGGCAGTCCAAGGCCTGCTGTCCAACGTTGTAGCCCTGTGGGATGGCCACGGTCATCTCCTGCTCCTCGTACACGAAATTGACCTCGACGGGAGGAATGATGAAAATGATGAACATGTACGAAAATGGTGAAGAAATACAGGCTAAATGCGGTTAAATGCTGATAAATGCTGTTAAATGCAAGCAAATCAAACTCTTTGGAACAAATCGATGACTATTTGCTGGAATGCAAATGTGCTGTGGAAACGGCAAACAGGGGTTTTGAAAGGTAAGCCCCTAACCTGACCGATTAGTTACAAAGGAAGCAGCTGTTCAAGATAGCTTTGCAAGAAGTAAAACAATTCCGATCTGACGTTCTTGGAAGCATCAGGAAACAATGTCGCCATCCATATTTCTACCTGACTAGACCACAAGGATGAGAAAGCTTAAGTTGAGCCTACGAAACCCCAAAAAAGCAAGCTCAATTGTGAATTTTGGCCAAAAAAAGACAAACTTCGCTGGGCTTTCAGACACGGCGTGTCTCATCCATTCCTTCCGGCACGATGAGTGTGACTTGCCTGGCATGCGCTGTGCTCCTCGTGACTTGGGCGTTACGCAACCAGGTCATTGAAGAAACCCCTTCTGCTTCAAGTCCCGGCCTATGCAACTCTTGCTGCTCCAAGTGATACAAGATGGTCTCGTGCCGGGGCATTCCCTGGGACAGATGTGTTGCTTATGTGCCCTAGGAAATGGCGAGGTAGAATGCAACTTTCAAAGTAGCAGTACGAGGAGAAAAGAAAAAATTGAAATAAGATGAAATAAGATGAAATAAGGTGAACATGTATTTCAAATTCTCTCAAATTCTTTTGGATCATTTTGTGGACTTTCGAGCCATCAAGCTGACCAAAGTCAAGGCCTGAGCCGAGCCAAACACCCCCAAACACCCCCAAACACCCCCAAGCCATCAAGTGGCAGCTATGGTTCAAGACTTTTGTCCCCTGACCTCGAATGGATGTTCACCAATATAGCGTAATGACCCAGTAATGGCGTAATGGGTTTGGTCTATTCCCATATCCACCCCGCCCTGTTCCCCTGATTTCTGCCTCTTGCCCGGGCAAGGGAGCATTCTCTGGTGACGAGGCGGTGCTGCCTGAGAACACCAGCCAAGCATCATTGGGTCCAAAGGGAAGCAGCTTACCTAGTCACTGAAAGTACTTAGCCTTATCAAAAATGCAAAGCAGCTCCAAACATAGTGATAATCATGTGAGATCATGTGAGATCTTAACAAACATACCCCAACATACCCCAACAACAAATGGCACATCTGGTGCTGAATTTCCAGAAGCTGAACATCCTGGGGCACGACATGGGGATGCCGTCTGCGAGGTGTTGGTGGCGACGTCCTGGCAAAACACGCAAGCTGCGCAAGTGAAACCAACATTGTAACAGGTGGAGGAAATTTCTTGTGGCCGTCATGGAACATCTGACTTCTTTAAATATCGTCGCTCCTCATGTGATCCCAGGACCACGTTTCAGTGCTTCATGGACCAAATCTTTTGATCTGCCTTTCTGCCGTCCCCCCAGCTGCCTCTTCTGGAACTGCAAGGCTACCTGTGAAGGTCACTGGTTGGGCTGGTGTTTTGTGAGCCATGGGATGCTGTGTCATTGTCCATCATGAACCCCAATGATGAGTTCCCACATGAGGTTGCTGCTCAGGAATATGGCTGATATGGTTTCAGCTTGCCAGGGCAAAGCATCGCAACACATTGAAACGCACGCCTTCAGCTTGTCTTTCAACATTTCCGTCAAACCCACAGGTGAATATGCATGTTTCCCTTCCCGCATCGATCTAGAAGGTACTTTGGCGCATGTTGCTTTGAAAACCCAATTGGCCTTCGGCATCTGCCTGCGTCAAGTTTCCAATGCAAAGCGGTCACGGAGAGAAAAGCGGCTGATTGGAGCATGAGACAAGCACATGTTGGAGACAAAGGCCATGCCAACTCTGGAACGTACAAACCCTGTCGAAAACCCCCCAAAGAACCAAATTTTTCTTACTTGTTACATTGAAGCGTCGGATGTTGAGCGCTACACACGTAGGTTTGAAGTTCACATATGGGTTTGAAGTTGGTGTATAGTGATTGCCCTACAGACTATCTGCATAGTATGGTGCTGCTTCATCCTACCACATCTCCACTACCATGCCCGTCTAGCAATAGATAGGTAAACTGAACATAGACCAATCGAGCACTTGTGCATCTGCAACGATCCATGGCATTCTAAGGGCTTCGAAAAAACGTGATAGCCGCAATGCTGACCAGCCTCGGGCTGGGCTAGCTCTGGTCGCATCCAATTGGGCACTGGGAAGCGCTTCCCAGGAGATTCCTCAAAGCCGGAAATGAAGAAGCAACGCGCCGTTTGAAGCTTTCCGATATATGGTTCAAAGCTCGACATGTTAGAGCATGTTAGAGCACTGCCGTTCGCAGCTGGATTTTTTTGACGCAACATATAGTTGGAGAATGTTCGTTGCTTCAAATGACTTCGCAACTTGCAACCAAAGGTACAACCACTGGATCTTGCTCTCGTGAGCTTCGGCGACCTCGAGACTTCCTGTCAGCAGTCTTTCAGAAGTTCGAAGCCCAAATGTACCCTTCAAATGGCCCCGCACCGTTCTAGGTTAGACGACAGAGTCGATGTTTGAATCCTCAGCATGACCTTTTGTCCTGCCTGGAGGCATCGATGTCATCGTGGGTGTCCTGGTGATGAACATCAAAATATCATAACATATCCAATATCCAATCATAACTTTTCATCAGGGGACATCTATTGTCTTATTGTTCATGAGGGGACCGATCATTGGAATATATGTGGCTGCTTCAAAATGCATCGCTGCTTGAAACCAAACTGCAGCTACAGGCTCTTCCGCATTGCCCAACCGAAGTCAACTTCTTCGAAAACACAGGGGCAAATGTTTCAAGCCACTATCCCTCAGCACTATTATCATGCTGGTCATGCTGGTTGGAATGGAAGAGACCTGCAGTTGAACCTGAAGGATCTGCGTGTCGTCAGGTCCTTGTCTTTAAAGTCTTTTCCACTTTGCGACAGGCTGGGGGTCTTCGGACCTCGCAACGACTCGCAGCTAGAGTTTCGACAGGGTCCAAAATGCCCTACCCAAGCTTGATGTGAGAGCCCCACAAATCTTTCGCAGGATTTTTAGCCACTAGAACAAACACTTTCAAAGAAAAGGGAGAGTTCCCATTCAACAGATCGTCTGGTCTATTCTCTAAAAGATACCGCATGTTAAATGGTTGAAGCTTTCAACCAAGGTGGACGGAGCTAGGTTTCCTTCAAACTTCACAATCTACTCTTTAACTAATTTCCTAAACCGCAAATCACAGTAAGGCTTTAGGAATCGACACAATGAAACTTGATCTACAGTCTCCCAAGCAGAGGTAGATGACAAAACATCTTGGGGCACATGTGCAGCTTTGCGCCTGCCATATTGACCGCTGTACATCGGTCACTTCGGGGGCCTCGGAAAGGACATCTGGATTTCCCAATTTGGCTCAGTTCGCTCAGAACAGAAACTTGGGCCGTTCGTGTGTGAGATTAGTTTGCAGAAGACTTATGCTGAACCATTCCATTCAGTGTATCCAACACAGTGGGAATGTTTCCTAGCCATCACGAACAGCGAACTTTCGCAGTGCCCAGCTGACAGCTACCCTCATGGTTCAAGCCATGTTCACAAGATGACCTGGCAACTACCTATGGGGACAAAGTAGCAGTAAATGCTCCTTACATCTAGTCGCAAAAAAAGTTTTGCAACCCCAAAGCTGTGTTGCAAACCAAAGGTGTCCAAAACAAGTCACGTGGTTAAACCCCGTACTTAAGCATTCATTTTTTGATAAAGTTTACAGCAGCCCCGGGTGTAAACAAATGGTGTATGGTTGTGGGTTTATCGTATTCCCGGATTTGAAGCCCAAGACAGCAATGCATCAACCAGCTAAGCTCAGAACTCGAAGGAGATGTGCTCAGGGATAGGGACGCCGATTTCCTCATGAGGATGGTGGGTGACTTCTGGAGCAGTTTGAGGATGTTCCAGGTTGAACTGAGAAATGGCATTGGTCACTTTGAGCTGGGTCCTGGGTCAAACTTTAGTCATGGATCCCCATGTGACTAGAGCCAAACCCGATTTCATTAAATGAATATGTCCAAATATATTCAGTAAACATGGCGAACATGGTGTGCTGAAACCTTGGCTGTTCATAACACTGATAGTAGCGGGTCGTGACATCAGCCCCTGATGGTATCAGCTGAGGCTTTGGCCCTTCCACATTGGCGAAGGCTGGCAGGGCCCGTTGAAAAAATGTCGGATATTACTGACGTGACTTTCCGCAATATACAGCCTCAATTTAAGCAATAAAGGTAAGCTTTAAGCCAGGGCTAGCCCCTTGGAGGCGTTGAGGATGGCGCAATCTTCTCTACGGGTACTACGAGTAATTATTCCTGATGATGAATATGCATCAGCTTTTTGACATCACCAAACTGGTATATGCTTTGGCTGTGCAGTGTCTCCAGTCACGTTTCAAATGTATAGGTTGGATTCAGCACAAACATAAAATCGAAAACTGTGTTCTCACTTCGACGGGAAGTCCAAAACCTGTGAAGACCCCCGCGCTGCAAACAGTTTTGGCGATCTCCCAGGTCAACCAGAAACATATACGTATGTATATATGTATACGTATAATAAATAAACGCATATCAATGCTATATCCGGGTTGGATCAAAAGGTGCGCGCTTCCATCATCTCCTTGGTGTCGTGATGGGTGTCGTGATCGTTCCCGGTGCTACCGGTGCCACCTTGATCTAAGGAGCGCATGCGGAGCAAGCCATCCATGGCCTTGGAACAGAAGTGAAGCACAAGATTTCATCTTTTTTTCGCCGTCAGGGAATCACTCAGAGGCATGCTCTTTCACTTGCCATGCAAGCGCTATCAGCGATTGTTACCCAGCACTTCTGGAAGGGAGTCGCACGGACAAATATGTCAGCGTGACATCATGGGGAGGATCTGCTCACTCCATGTTGAAAGCTATCTTTGGGGCAATTTGCAGCTGCCCTTCTGCGTCTGCAGACCGTCATGTAGGTGCTTCAACGTATTAAAATTGGAAAATTCACACCTTCATCCCTTTCGCGTAATGCTCTGTCTGTGGCAGTTACACGCCAGAACGGTCAATGAAGGCTCCGCTGTCCACATATCTTAGCACACCCTCTCGGACGCGTTGATCCGTTGCAGGGTTTTTGAAGATGCGGCGAAAGCAGCAAAGGGCGATGGCCATCGACGAAACGAAGATTGAGACCACCACCTTGGGACTGATTGGATGCAAACGCAGCAAAATCCATATGACCTTCTTTAGGTCACGGCTCATCTGATGGAACATGCATTTCAGAATTCATTTCAGAAGCCTTGATGCCCCACACAAACCAGGCTGAAAGTCTTCCAACTTGAAAGATATCCCTTCATTATCATTACTTGGACAGAAATCATAGCTTGCAATTGTGGAAATTTCCACAACCCTTCAAGTTTTGGACTCACTGTTGGACTGTTTGGGTCTTGGGCCCTTCGCAACTCTCAGAACTCTCAGAAGTTCACCCCCCCTGTGTTGACTGTGTCCCTGTCGAGCTGTGTCGAGGTGCGATCCCTAGTAGCTCGAAGTGATCGTTGGCCGCTTCCACCAACGACCAGAAGCGGCCCGTCAGATGGGCGCCCAGCGAGTTGGGAAGACTCAGCAGCTCTACCAACGCTACCAACAGAGCAATGGCACCTGACGCAGCTGTAACATGTCCAACATGTTGCCCAACATGTTGTAACATTCTTTAACTGCTTTTTGATGCTTTCTGCTGATTCTGCTGATTGTGCTGGTGATGCCAAAACTGATGACCATGCCACTTCCTTGAAAATGTGCTGTGCCAACCCCCCCTGCTGTTATGGTTTGTTTTTTGGTGCGAGCAGTGAAACGGGATTGAAATATCACATCTGCCGTAGGTCTTTGTGTGATGCGGGCACCTCAGACCCACAAAATTGGTCCACTGCAGTATTGATTTCCGTGCTTTCTAGGGCCCAACTTTGAACACAATTTCAAAAATTCAACACCTGAAGTCGTGGTGAGGAAGAGGTTGAAGTAGGTCATCTGCATTTCATCCTTCGCAAGATGCTGCTTGTCATGGAGTTTGTCTCAACCTGACAACTGCAGGCAGATTTTTCCAATAGACTGACTATTGCCGGGGGCGGCCCTCACCATCTCAAACCACATGGCAAGCGGCCCTCGTCCGATCGTCTGTCCTCCAGAGACCTGCGGTAGATCCATGCCATGAAGAAACCGTTCAGGGTGTCCAGCAAACCTGGTTCCAAACTACGGACGAAACCAACAAGATCCAACAAACAATAGATTCAATAGTTGCAAACAGTGGCCTTTAGCAAACAACCTCCCAAAAATATTGGCACCAGTTGGGTTCACCCATACTCTGTCATATTTCTCTGATTGGGGATGGAACAATAGAAAATGACTTGAAGCCACTCAGAAACACATCCCGGACATGAAGAGCAATGGCAGCAGCAGAATTGTAAAAGGCTGCGCAGAGCCATGCGATACTGCCACCTGCGATTTGTGGCTGGCATCCCCGCACCACACTTACTCAAGGTTACTCATCTTTGGATTTCAACGAAGAACCCAACAAAAGGGGAAGCTTCATCCAAAAGGCGGCACCCCGCAATGCTAGAAACTTAGATTCAGACTTGTTTCTGACCACCAGCTTTTCACCAATGTTTGCATTTTCTTGTTTTTTCCCTATCTTTTTCAAATTGTTCTTCCCTTTGTAGGTTGGTTCGCTTAGGGTCGGCTTTCATGAAGATAAAAGGTATAAGCAGAAGCTCTCAAGCAATGCAAAAGCAGAGTAGTCGGAGTGGATCCTAAATAGATCTAGAAAATCTGTACGAATCCAAAAAACACAAACACTATGTCCTTGACATTGCCGTGAAACACTTTTGAAGTGAGAAAGGACGCGGCTAGCCAAGTCGTATGTGAGGGGCTCCGTTTTGGGACCGTTACTGGAAGCAAACAAAAAGAAGTGAAGGGGGTCTGCCCATAGCAGTAGCAAAAAGAGCCGAATCAACAAACAGTATCAAATTAGGGCTTCTCGGAGCGGAAATCCCGCAACCTTGAGGAATATCTTAAAACCGCAAGGGAAGGAATTGCAAACTTTAAGCCGAGTGATGCAATTGAACACAAAGAAAAAGACGTGTTGGGTCCAGCAAAACCTATCACATGGGTATGGGTCAAAGTTGTGTTCCTCAGTAATTAGACGATTGATACTAAGCATATAAAAATATACACCAAAATCGGTGGTCCTCCAGGTCTCAACATTTGACCCATCTCCAATGAGCTTTGCAGTCCAAGCAACAATACCCAGCAACCCCACTTCCGTGGAGGTGTCGAATCCCAATCCAAAGACGAAGCCAACCAGCAGCATATGCCAGGGTTTCGACACACCACGAAAGAGTCTGGGACAACAGCGGAGGCAGAATCCCATGATTTCCTCATGGTTCTGATTTTCTGCTGTACCACCTCTCCAAACTTTCCACAACTGCCGCGCAGTGTAGAGATTCAGCACTCCGATGATGAGCAGAAAAGTGCCTGAGACGCTGCTTCCAATGACGCTGCCGTATCTGTGGAACAGCCCCATGTGGTCGTTCATGAAATGCTGTGCCAAAATGATTCCACAGCACGCCAGGAAGACGACGGAAGAATGACCCAGGGCAAAGAACATGCCCACCTGGGAGGCTGAGCTGATGAAAACAACATGAATTTCTGACAATTGGACCATTTTCTGTCAAAACTCAATCTATGCACATCAATATCTTTAAAGGTGATCCTGTGACATGCATTCCTAGTGTAGATCCGTCATCCGTGATACCATTCCCCACAGTTGGCCAAACAGCTTACAGCCTAACAATACTTCCTTCCCAATTGATCGCGTGATGCAATAAATCGCACTGACAAATGAAAAGGGCTCTGTCGTGCTTGATTGTGTTGTCCTTGAAATGATGAAGGTGGTATGCCAAATAGAAAACATTAGAAAACTATACCATATTCTTCCATGTAAGGGGCTTTATGAACCTTTGGAACATGGGGCTTATGACTGGGATCACCATATCATGGGGCTGAGCACACCGAATAAAAATCCAAAAATCCATACCATACGGCGTCATACGGTATCTGTTTACCATTGTCTGTTCAAATTGAGCTTCGAAAAATGAGGTTAGTGGTGGGTTTACTGACCCAGCCACTGTTTGTGGGCTCCTGCCATTGCATGTCGTCAGCTTCCTGGTGATGTTATCAATGGCCGCCTGATCAGAAGCCAATGTTGCAACCTCTCTGGGAAGAGGTTTCACATCCATCATAGATTCAAACCGTTTCAAACCTTCGGGGCTTGATCTGCTTGATGGTTCCAACATGTTCCAACCATTGTACATACATGGGCAAGAATTCTTTACGCACGGGCACGACTACCCCAAGCACTAGCGTTGATGAGCTACTACCAGCAGGCGTTGTGATGCATTGTGGGTTCCGCAACTGAATGGCCCTCCAAGATCCTCAAAGTGAGCATTTGGAGCAAAGCTTGATGTGAGCCATGGTCAATACTCACTATATGGTTGATGGTCATCCCATCCATCATAAGGATCCAAAAATAATGGTTATTATAAATCCCTATGAACCATTGGATGACTAGCCCCTATTAATGGTTATTATAATGGTTATTAACCATGAGTATTGACCATAGCTCATGTGATAGATGTGTGATCCCATGGAAAATGGTCCCTTCCGAGGTGCGATGTGGTCCACATCCACGGCATGGCGCAGCCCGAAGGAATACGCCAAGAGCCCGGACGCCACCAACTCCGGCAACAACAGCAGCGCAGCGAAGAACCCCAACGTGGCCAACAAAATGATGGCCTTGGGAAACGATTTGATGGAAGGATGTGGAAGGATGTAAAAAACATGTCCAAGGGAGAAATTGGATGGGAAAGGAAACATCTGAGATGAAATGGATGGGGTCCTAAATTCCTGAGATTGGGGGGATTCTATATCGTGAGAAATACCCAAAAGAGAGGGCTTGTATCAAGAAAAGAAACTTCGGGATAAACCAGCAAAACATTTGTCAGAGAGTTGGACGTGACATTTTTTGGTAACTGGGGAATGACACATCTGGAATTGCAACGTTCACATACAACACCTGCTCTGATCACCGCTTTATGTGCCGGGGATTCATCAGCACTTGCTAATTTTTGAAGTGCAGCTTTTAAGACTTTCAATTCTTAGTTAGATTTAGTTAGTCTTAGTTTCTAACTCCTTCAAAGAAACAACATCACCACCATTTAGAGAAGGATTTGGAGTAGAATCCCCCAACCCGCCGCTGCCATGGTGGATGCACGGTGACCGTGGTCCAAGCTGCTACGATGATCAAAGAGCTTCGCCGTCGCCGCCCATCCCTGGCCGAGATTTTTCCGATCTATCGTGGTCCCGTGGTAATTTTGAGACCCGGTGGGAAGCCACCCAAGCCACCATTTTAAGATAATAACGCCATTAACGCCATCCATAAATTCATAAACATGGGTGATATTCTGTCTCCCTGTCTCCGGTAAGATTGCTAGAGTCATGGTACCTTTTGCGACCCAACCCATGACACCATGAAATTCTGGGGCTCATCGTGGGGTTATGGCCGTTGACACGGCAAAGTACAGTACATATTGCCACTGAATGTCTTGAAGACATTTTCATTTTTGCAAAGACGAGAAAAGGCACCAAACAAATCTAACAATCACTAAATATCACTAGACATTCCACAGTTCTTGGCTGCATGGTCCAAGTCAAATCGTGTCCCAACCTGAGCAATGAGGTGTCATTGATCATGGCACCGCGCTTGGCTCCAGATCAGATTACTTTAGGTGTCCAAAAAAATCTCAACCAGATACCATTTTTTCTTCTGCAAAAAGTGTGGTTACACCTGGGTGCTTTTTGTTCCTGATATCTAAAGAAATACAGCCTTTTGCCTTCGCGCAGCTAGGTTTGTTTTTTGAATCATCCATGCTTGGTGAACTTCTGGGGAGTATGACCGTCAAGTTTTTGAGGATCTTTGCAAACACTTTTGCATGTTGTCCTGTTCCATGCGGCTGTCTTCAAACATCTTCAAACTAAGCACATATTCATTACTAGCTCTTCTGATGCCGGCTTGACAGAAAACCAGGCTGTGAGACCATCGATTGAACGCTTCACCAAAGCCAAATACCCTATCAGTATAGGCCCTGTCATCAAGACCATTGTTTCATCGGGGGCAATCCCGCGTCTTCTTACAGCTGATAACTTTGATAACTCTCGTCTAAGGTTCTCATCGCTGCCAAGTGACTCTGTACATCTTTTTGGTCAACTTCAGGTGGCGGTGCCTCGGATGGCGGCTGGCAGATTCAAAGTCAAAGCAAGGAAGACTGGGAAGAAGAAGGGATCCAGCTAATATTTGTTGATGCTGTCCACATTGTCAGGAAGTATCATACAAAGGTTTTTGTCAGCTACTGGGTACAAGCGGTATTGATGGAAATTCCAAAGCGTATTGATCCACTAAATTATGGGAAGCATGGCGTAGGTGGATCAGACTAAGGCGAAAGAACCAGCATTAAGATCGCTTGAAAGTGAATCAACATGAATCAAAAATGAACCAAATAAGATTATCATTTATTTATCATTTATTTCATCCGGCACGATAAGACTTGGCTGCCCTGCATATCCACCAGCTGAGCTTTGATCTTCTGCGTGTCCGGAGAGTCAGTGAGATCCTGCTGAGATGGCCATCGATGGGACCCAAGGACAAATGTGAACCATGTTGAATCAATGTTGAACCCATGTTTGCTGCATCCTGAAGCCATTTCTTGTGGCTGAAAAACATCAAGTTAGTTTGTTTCTATCTCCCATTTTGGTTTGTTAGACCATTTCATTGCCTGCCCGTGGTTTCTCAAAAGGCACCCTTGACAAAAAAAAACAACACTTGTATGCACTATTGTCAAACGTTAGGTTATAATTATATATAATTATAATGTCACCATTCATAGGGATTGACTTGGATTGACTAATATGGGTTTGTCTGAAAATAGTGTACCCCTACACCCAATGGTTAATGATCATTATCCCTATTTTTTATGGCTATAATTGGGGGTATACCCCATTTTCAGACATATCCACATGGGATGATCATACCGAATCACACATCCATATACCATATATACCATGTTTGTCAAAGATGGCGATGATATCGTGAATGGTGAACGGCACCTCTCCAGGACTGCTGGCCCTGGGCTTTGAGCCGGCTAGGCGAAATGTGGTAAAAGTAAAGAGGAATTCATTCAATATCATTACAATAATTGATAGGAATTATTGATAGGAATTGATATTATGAATTGATCATTCAATTATTTCAAGTCCCATCAATTCATATCAATTTCCTATGGGGGTAAAAAAGCCAAATTGCTTCGTGAGATCTGTGAAATCAACGAATCACCAGATTGGATTCCTCTGATTCCTCTGCCCTACTTGGAAGGTGCATATCTTGAGCTGCACAGGGATGACAATTCCAGTTTCAAGACTCCCAAGATGGTCTTGACTTGAACCCGAATGTCAAAATGATCCAAGGATCAAACCTTTTAAGAAAGCATTGGCAACCGTCCAAAAATGTCCTAAATATCTAAATATCAATGATGGAAATCATAACCAGTCACAACCACTCACAAGCATGGTCTCCACCAGCGCCGGGGGCTCTGACTCGGTACTGCGGGTGCTGAAGGGTGAGCCCAACTCGTCGTAGCCCACCTGTGGACCGGAAATCTGGACAAAGGATAGGAATCCGGGTAGAGTAGAACAGAGAGAAGGAATACGGAAGGACATGGATGTCATGGATGAGATGAATAGGATTGGACAGGATCTTGACCGATGGCTCCCATCGTCAGTAACCCAGGGAACCTAACATGGCAGGCCTCACGCAACCGATCCATCAAGCGTGTCATTTGGGCGCTCTCCTGGCCGTTGTCGAAGCCTAATGTGGTGGTCACTGGGATGGGCTCGGATGGCTCGACTTTGGGATGATAAACATCATGCTGAAGAGAAGAGGATGAAGAAGGTGAAGGAGAACAAGGATGACGAAGGCGGACAACACAAATTATGCAGTGAGAAGAAGAATGAAGAGAAGACAATGAAGATGAACATGATGAAGATGAAGATAACAATGATGAAGAAGAACAACATTATGAAGGAACACATGATGATAATACTGAAAAATACAGATGAAGACACATACCAAGATGATCAAGATTCAATGAAAGCATGATATGCACCATTTGCTTGTCTTTTTATATCTCCTTTTGTCCTTTTGCTACTTGGTGAAGCGCCCGACCTGGCGCATGTTCCTGGCCATGTCGCTGAAGCAACGGTACCTTGGCATCTCTTGGCATCAGCGGCAAAGTCAGCCTATGGTTCCAGGGTTCCAACAATGTTCCAGCGGACATTGCTAAAGGATGCTAAAGTTCAAGATTACTAACGACGTATGCCTAAGATTGCCTAAGCTGTTGTTAGCTGCCTGGGGGTGAAAGTCCCACTTCAATGAAAGACCCACTTCTCTTCAGCGCAACAAACATTTGGGCACCCCCTTCTCTTTTCTCAACAAGAAATGACCCAAATATAACCCGTTCAACTCGTTCGTCCCAAGCGACCATGAGCTGTTGCTCACTGATGATCGCCCCTTGGTGCAGCTGTGCTGTCGCTGTGGGGAAAGTGCTATCTGTGATCTTGGAGATCCCCCGTGTCCGACCGTGTCCCCAAGCCAACGATCAGAATCATCAAGTGCTCAGCCAGGGATACATCAAAAATCATCAAAATAATTCAAGATTCGAGATATCCATGCGGGATGGTGTTGAGCTGTCTTAGTTTTTGCCACAGAGTTTATAAATGTGGGTGTGTTTAACGCCAACCCCATAGATTCTGAACCTGGCACCAAAAAAAACCCGGAAGTTGACCAAAAGATACCCAAAAAATCTATGGATCATATTTTTGAAAGGTCCGAATCCTGATCTCCCCCGACAACTGACAAGTCCCAAGCCACTCTGGTGGATCCACCCGTGGTCGAGGTGGAGGATGCAGAGGTCTGGCACACGACTGAATTCTTAGGTTATTAGGTTATTGGATGTTGGACACCATCATTCTTACTGCCTGCATTCATCCGGTGACATGATGGACGATGAACGACTTTTATGGTATCTGCGCCTGAATTTCATTGAGTTCCCCCGTTCACCTTTAAGCTCACGCTACTTAATTTGTAATATGCAACTTCGTCTGTTTTGTGCTGCAAACACCAGCAAAATCCAAAGCAAGCGTACAACAACTTCCATCCAAGTAATCGGCCCATGTCATGAACATGGAAGGTTTATCACAGCAATCGTTGATCATCAGTCGCAGCTCCCCCTGTACCTTCGGGACCCTCGTAGAGAAGGTTTCCCACAGGGAGATCTTTTCTTGTACCTGCGATACGTTCAACATGGTCCCCCTTGTCAAGAATGTTTTTCAAGGCACACTCAGTGTACATAATATTATATAATATACATAGTTCCTATTAATTCAACATGGAACCTTCAAAATGGGATCCAAAAAAGGTTCTGTCTAAAAAATCCACATAGTGGATATGGCTCTTGTAGGGTTCCATGTTGAATTTCGGGGATGTAACCGTGTATATGGGCATCCCACATGCACGCTTAGAATCCATACCATCAAACTTCCTGTCGGCGTGGTGGACAGCGGCAGGCGCACCAACGACGACATCGACGACATGGTCTGTCGGCTCACGTTGCCTGGCGGCTGCCACTGTTGCAGCATTATCCAATGAAATCAACAACTTCTCAACATAAATCAGGTCCACCAGGTGGCTTGTTGAAAGGGACTCAACCCAACAGCATGGACCTGTAGTATCTTTCCATGCATCGCTGTTGTCCTCGAAGTTGGCGTTTCCATCCTTCTCGGCCTTGGGTCCAAGCCGCGCATTAAAACGAATCGTGACAGTGTTTGAAGTCTACTGGGGGGTTCTATCCACATCTATCCACTATATAACAGCATTTCATATGGCAAGTACCCTACGAATAATGTACCAACAGCTATGAATAGAACCCACATCTCCAATGATGTGCATTGCAGTGAAGAATGGATTCATATGGCAAAAGGGACAACCACCAAATTGGGTGACATTTCTGGTATTCAATCATCCATCGCCATAGTAAATGTATCCACTACTAGTTCATCATCGCCATTCAGAAACTGTCATGTTCAGCACTTTACAAAAAACATTTTCATCAAAATACCCATCCGTTTGATGCTTGAAATGGTGATATTTTGGCATAAAACCATCCATCAAAACGTCCTGAGCCTCGGATGCCGCACGGAGGAACTTCCAGGATCCTCCCAGACCATGCCGCGATCGCCTGATCTGATCTCGGATTGATGCTGTTGGATGCCCTATTTTGTTGAACATTCATTGATTGTTGATGTTTGGAAATTCAAATAATGTTGAACAGCATTGTCGATTTACAAATAAACTCGGATTGTTGATTTACAAATAACTTGATTTTGGAAACTCTAAAGTTTGTCAAAACGGAGTTGTTGGTTATAATTTGATGGTTGCCCTTCCCGTGCTGATGTAAAAAGGGATTATCTTATATTGGGATCTACCTTCAAATGAATCCAAGTATTGCTGGCTTCAACCAATCAGCTTGACCATCGATATGCTTCACCATGTGTTGTCGCGCATGTCTTTCGCAGTTGATCCGTCTTTCCAGAGCTGGTAAAAGCTACCCCTGTCCGCATTGGAATATTTCCTGATTCATGGTAGCTTTGATCACTTTGATCGAACCAGATTAATATCCCTGATTGGAAAATAGCTAGCAGCTAGCCCAAAGAATTCTCCAATCTCCAATCTCCCCTTGTCTATCCTTGTCTTTTGCGACCCGCATCACCTCCCAGGCGCCCGCACCTGCATTCTCATCTCGCGGCGGCTGATTCTCCTGCAGTGCGGGTTGAACAGTCCTTTGAGTCGTTGGACAAACGCCGCAAGGAGCGGAGCCAAGGTGATTCTGGTCAAGATGATGGTGATGAAGATGACACACATGATAAACAAGATACACATGATAAACATGATCAACATCATGATGACAATGATGAGGAGGAGGACGACAATGATGGCGAACCATGTCTGTGATTAAACTTTGGTGATTGAGCATGATCGGCATTTTTGACCTGCTTCTGCATCAACTGTCCACATCTTTTGTTGGCCACCGCCTTGTCGTCTGGGCTGGTATCGCTGAAAGCCTGACGGCAGGGAGGATTTGCGTCTGTCACGGTCGCCACTGGTGGCATATGAAAAGAAAGTAGTTGCACCTCAGTGGTCCTCCAATAAAATGGGATGAGTTAGATGAATTGTGTATACAACATTATACAACGATGAATTTGATCCTTTTTGTGGTGCTTTATGGTGAACTTCTCTAGGTCGCTCTAGGTTCGCTGCTGACTGACTTCACCCGCATCTTGACACTTCGCTGTCTCCCGATCAATTTCGTAACTCAAAATTAGGTCGACCTGTTGAAAACGGTTGAAGACTTTGATTCACTGTCCCCTTTCTGTTCCGCGTGAGTGGCCTGTGGCACCTTGGGCGAGATCTGCGAATTTTCATCCTGCGACCTCAGCATGGTGGATGCCACATGAAACATCATGAAACCATGATCCCTTGAAAGGGTGTCACTCGCTCCAAAGCGCAGGTGATCAAGGATCCCATTGGCAGTCTGAGCCAACATGAACGGGCAAAATCGGGAAACACACGTAGAGAATGGGAATTGCTACCTGCAGGCCACCGGTGGCGACTGGGCACACGGGCAGTGCAATGCCATCACCTCATCTAAAATCTTGATCCATGGAAATTCCATCTAAGCTTTGTCATCTGTTGAAATTTGATTGGGCTTTTAAGAACACCAGTCACTATATAGGTCTTGCAGCTGTGAAGGTTCCCGCAATGAAATCTGACCTTTCCCAGATTGAACACCTATGGGCCTGGAAACAACAACCTCGGGCGCATTATCCAAACCACTATCACCTATATCATCTAACTCCACTTGTTTGGTGCATCCTGTTTTCATTTTACCATATTGCCCAAGCGAACTAGACTTGTCACTTCAAAAAGGTGGGATGTCTTCAGGAATTGGCAAACTGAAGCATCAATCCTCTGAGCACTTCTGCTTGGCCGATGATGCCGCGACACGGGGGAGATGGTCGAAGCCTGGGTATGAACTGCTGGGATGTTGGAGGGATATCATGTTGGATTCGAATAAAGACTTGGTGACTTGGTGGATTTGGGCTTAGATAGTGCATCTAGATTCTTGAATGAGACATGATGCGGGCAAACAGGGTCTTGAAATTGCAGTGGTGCGGTATGGATGCATAAATGGGCATTGGACACTTTGGGCTGTAGCTCCATTTTCGGAGACTATCTGTAACTGTCTGTAACTAATGTGGTTGATAAATCATATCGTATATTCGGTTGAAACCATCAACATCCACCAAAAAACTTGTGACAACCAGCATTCATTGCATGCCGATGTCACAACCAAAGCCTTGGAACCATTGGAACCTTGGAATGTTGGTTTCACCTGTGAGCTTCGGGCTGAGTTGGTCAAGGAGGGCGGCGGCTGTGACTGCTGCACCTGCAAAGATGAAATTGCTTTAGTTCAACCGTGAGTCTTTCCTCCTTTTTTTGTGTGCTATATCTATATCTATATCTCTCTTTATACATATATTCAAGTATAAATATAGATACAAATATGTGTATATATATATACACATAGATGTGTATCCTTTGATCAAACATGATGACACGTTCATAATAAAGTACATATACATACTACACAACAGGGGAAACATCAATATTTTACCCGTGGCCGTCACTAACCTTGGTGGGACACAAAATATATTTGGCTTGTCCCATCATGCCACCATTGACCACGTGGCCATGGTGAGTACCGCCTCAATCGCCTCAACCCTAACCGTTCACCCACATCCAGACCAGACCTCAATGGTTCGTCCGGTAGATGTCATACTCACGTTGCTCACGTTGCTCACGTTGTTCACGTTGCTCACGACATTCGTCACGTTGGTGACGCCAGTGAAGGTCTTGGGCACCGAAAAACTTTCAGGCTGTAGGAACTTGTCATACCTGTCGAGCTGCGAGATCGAGCTGCGAGACCTCACATCTCCCCCTTTCTCCTTGGGTTTATCCAAGATTTCAAGGGTGATACTTCTATGTATGTCATGTTTATCTATATTTCAACATACAATGTATTTACAAGTTCGTCCAAAACTTGGATACCACTGCTTAGTTTGCCAGCATTTTCCCGATTTTGCCTCGCTTCTTCGGCAGCGCGCTGCTGCTCCTGGAGCTCCGCAAAAAACATGTTGGTATCTTTATTTGAGTCAAAAGATGGAGTTTTATACTATCCAGTGGTCGAAAAACCATCCATGTTTTGTGGGTAAATCATGTAGAAATCCAATGAACCGGTGAAATAATGAGCCATGTGGAGCACTTTGTTTCGGATGGTCGTCAATCATTTAGCCGGTAAATCCTGCAATCCCAATGAGAATATGATCCGATATGATATGTCATCTATGAACCATCATAGTTAGATACCCTAGCAATTACTACTTAGATGGTCCTGATCAATGATTACCCAATTAGAGATTACCAAGTGGGTGACTTAATCAGTAACCACAAATTGCTAAAATTATCACTAATTGCATTAACCTAGAAAGAATCATCATCAACTATCAGTTTCCAATGGAGGTCCAGCTGTCCAGCTGAACAAAATCAATAATCATCAGGCCAGAAACTATGGCTAGTAGTGATTACCATGGTGGTTACACTATAGACTATAGCTATACCCTCTGGCAACCAAACATCGCAATGGACACTTCACCATCTCTATTCGATTTTTCCAGCTATAAACTTCCCTTGATAGGATATTTTCAATTGCCATGTTTGATTCCCCATAATAGCCATTTACATCCCGCTAGTGTTGGTTATACATCCCCATTTCCCCCAAACAACTCATCAATGGGGATTAATCATCATAAATGATTCCCATTGTAAAAATCATATTGAACCTCATTTAATCACCATAAACCCATAATATCCATTTATCTCCGAGGTATCCCCATTAGTCACCATGAATTTTCCGGCACCATCCACTGCTCCTGTGAGGCCGCCTCCACCTTCTGCCGATTGCGCTCGCGCGTGTGCAGCGGCGGGGTGCGAGCCTGAGCTTCTATCGGAAATGACTGGGAATCACTGACAAAAACCATGTAATTAGGTAATATGGCTATGGATCAATACATGCATACCATTTTTAATGGGATGAACATTCATTTACCAGCTATTTTGATGTTCACCAGGGGTACAAGGTTTTGACACAATGCCATATGTTTTTTTGGATGTTGAAATTGTTGAACTTCATGCCTACTATCCCCATGTTGGTTCATATTCAATCCCCACGCTGTGCATAAAACACTAACCGCCCCCCTGGTGGTGTGTCCAAAAATGGGGCATTCCCCTAAATTACGCCCAATGACCGCTCACGGATCCTACACCAGTTCCATCAATAGGTTGTATCCCTGTGGTTATTCAATAGGTGTAGTCACAGATAAAAGATGTTGCTTATGTCTGCCTAAAAAAATCACGTTACATCCCATTACATCCCATGATATTTCCACTGTGGCTGGGTTTCATTGCACCCTTTTCCATCAGCTATTCATTGAGCCATCATATAATCAATATCATCAACATCCCATGATACAGGGGCTCAATTCTATCAATTGCAAGCGCCATTCCCCATCTTTTTCCCTGGTGATACCGCTAACCCCCACTTGGGTCTTCCGACCCGTGTCACCGACTTAAAGGATGCGCGTCGCGGTAGCGAGTTCTGCCGCCCTGGGATGGGGTGAAGATATTGGTTAATCTTAGATCTATCACCCATCATTGGTTAATCTATGTTAATCTTATTGGTTAATCTTCGGTCTATCTTTGGAAACATGATTAAACCATCCAGGATCATTTCGACCCGCACATGGAGGTCCTTAAAAAATGAGAGGTAATTGGGAAGTCTCATCATATACATTTCCAACAACATGCCTTAAATTTGGTCCAATAAATCACAGTGCAGTGCATTGCTGTGTGGGGTCTGCCGATCAAACCGTTCTCTTTTGATTTCACCCATTGAAAGATATCCATTGGCGGATGAGCGAAGATGTTCAGCGAATCACGGTTTTCTTTTACATATTCTTCCAATTTCAATCTGATTGAACAAAAATTCCAAATTTCCAATAGGTTTCCCTGTCATTTGGAACTTGATTCTCACTGTGCACATTTGTCATTTGTTCACCTGTCGGAACATCTCCAGCCTCGCACTAAGGTCGGACGACCTGAGGGCATCCATCAGCACAGGATTTGAAGAGTTATAGAAGTTGTAGAGTTGCAGAGTTTTTGTTGGTTGAGGTTAACTAAGTCCACTTCACCATACTTCACTATACTTCCCAAGCTTTGTTTCGGTTCATTTCAACAGGAAAAATGGGCTCCCGAACCCGGTGCCAATGTGGTAACTGGAGCGCCCACACGGCCTGGTGACTGCGGTCACATTCTTCCAACTTACCAGAAACTACGACATGTCCCGGCATCCCAACATAGTACATCATAAAGATTCATGAATTATCATGTATGAAATCATCTGAAATCGATAGATTGTCCATCAACATTTCAACAGCATTTCTTTCGGCCCCAGACGTCAGCCAGACATATCAGTGCCTGTGGTTGGAGGAGCCAACTGCTCCACGCTCATACTCTTGGCAGGTGGCACACACAAAGATGCCGGCCTTGGGCGGAAATGGACAAGTGACAGGCATCGAACACTTTTGGTGATAAAGGTACAATGGGGGTAGACAATGGGCATTATATCATTTTATATGGGTACATAATATACAAAATAGGTATATAAAAGGTGATGTAAAGGGCATGACCCATTCTAGACCAACTTGGTTGCCATCTTTGAGGTCTGGGCGCCAAAGGTTCTAAAGCACGTGACCTGTGCTGCGCCGGTGGGCATGGCATCTCCACACCGACTTCAAGAAACTTCAAGAACAATCATCGAAAATCAAGAGACATTTCTTCTCACTTGGAACCTCCAACATTCCAATATTCAAATCGCGAAACTTCCAAAAAACATCAATAAACATTGAAACCACTTTTTTTTTGAATCCGTTAAGAATCCCATCCCGAACCTCATTCTCCACTACCATTGTCCCTGGCGCTGGCCTCCAAGAGTAGCATGGTCGCGGTGAAGACGATGCAGGACCTCAATCGTAAATGTGGATTTGTAGCAGCTATCTCAAGCTATATATATATATACCATATATATTATATATGTATACAATATATATATATATACAATATACATATATATATATAGTTGGGGTTATCCATATTGTTGGCGAAATTATATATAACATGTCTGGGGGTATCCTCGGCTATCCACACTCTGTGCTTAGTTGATTCATATGGGATTTCCATCGGTAACAAGAGGTTTTGATGAACACTGGGATGGTGACTCTAAGCGTTCCAACCCTGCCAAGAATCTGCCACACTACGGGGCTTGCACCAACTCCGAGGCTTTAACATGCCCACAGTTCATGTGATCCCCATGGTGGTATCACAACCAGCAAAGAAACGAGTAAAAGATTCATACCACCATGGTATTATCATTATAAAACACCATGTAAAACATTCAGTGTTCCCTTTTGATGGCTATCATTCATATTTTCCACTTGGCTTCACCGCTTTGCCCTGGATTCGCGGTCTCAGTCCCAAACGATGGTAGCGCTCAGGCAGCACACTGCCATTGTTACGGTAAGCGACCTGTTGGAGGTTTGAGTTTTCGGGTGATATTGAAATTGGTAGTTTCTCAAGGGGGACACATGTGGGAGGTCCCAAAATCATGATTGCCTCTGGTAGACAAACATTACCGTAGAGAATCTCTCATTTGTGGATGGTTTCATTTCGTTTGTGGAAAATAGGGGCTTCTCTGTTCATTGGGACCCTCGCCAATGGCTCCAAACATGCCCTGCAGGGCTTTTAGAAGCCGCTCGAAACCCTGCAGAAGATTCTCCTTTTTTTCTCCTTTAAAATGCATCAACTATCATCAACCTTTCCAATATTTCATTTTGATGGCTGGACAGACACATATATTTACATGCATATGTGCATCTTTGTAAATGATCCCTCGCACCTGTGGATGCGTGGAAATCGGCGGCTTAGTGGACACGTACCTTGCACCACTTTGGACTTGGCTTTTGCAAAGCCTTTTTTTGGCCCCCCCGTCTCCCTGTCTTTATTAGTGAGCAAATCTTTGACCCATACAAATGGCAAACAACATCTACATTCCATATTCTCTGGGACACATGGGTAAACAATGGTAAACATATGTAAACATCATGTAAACATCCAGATTTTTGGAAAACTCCCCATGTTTCTCCATGTTTGACCCGAAAAGCCGGTCACCTCTGAGGCCATTGGTGCCGTGGAGATCCCCAACAGCTTTGCCTGGCGTAAGACATCGATGTGACGACAGAGATCATCCCTTCGAATGTCGACTGCCGATAGAATGCCGAGCCGCCCTGGCTTGAAGGAATTGCTCCTGGACAGTTGCGGCGCCTTGCGAGCAATGCAAAAGGTTGTAAACCCAACAGCTTTGTTTCAGGAAACTCTCACTGTTTGCTCTCACCTGCGGGAACATTCACGCAAGTTTGTCTTGGGAATGGGTCTTGCAGTCTGACATGCCAGCATTCTTGAGAGCCTTACTTAAAAACCAGCTATTGCGGCATCCAAAAATGACTATACTGCAGGCAGTAAATGAATTTTCTCACCGTCCAATCCTTGCCTGAAAAGTCCACAACATCGTGGGACACACTTCACTCCAGGGTCTTGAACCAAAGGCTGATGCGGCCATGGGTGTAGCCTTCTTAAAAAGCTGAAGGAAAGCATGACATTCGATGACATTCATCTGCCACAGTGGAAATTAGAGGAAATTTCCAGAGATTTAAGACAAGATACTCATGACTGACCAAAGACATTGGATCCAAGATAACCAAGGGTATTCTGTAAGATCTTCAACTCATCTTTCGTCTGTGGGTTATCTGTCGCAGTCGCAGAAATCGCAGAAACGATCCAATGCTCCGATCCGATGCTTTTCACCTCTCGAAGGGTTTCACCGTTTCGCCTTGTGGCGCTCGGATTTGCTTGGCGACCCGCCCGGGATTGCTCTGGGAGCAGCCCATCCGAACCGCCTTCAAACACAGAACGCTTTGCCTGCGCCGGCACTGGAAAAGTGAGGCTCTTGGAAAAGTGACACAATTGAATCTGTCGTGTAACAGCTGTCTTTTGAATGATCCAATCATATATATATATATATATGTATGTATGTATGTATGAATGTATGTATGTATGTATGTGTACGTAGGTAGGGGTAGGTAGGTAGGTAGGCAGGCAGGCAGGTAGGTAGGTAGGTAGGTAGGTATGTAGGTATAGGTAGGTATAGGTAGGTATAGGTAGGTATAGGTAGGTATAGGTAGGTATAGGTAGGTATAGGTAGGTATAGGTAGGTATAGGTAGGTATAGGTAGGTAGGTATAGGTAGGTAGGTATAGGTAGGTAGGTATAGGTAGGTATAGGTAGGTATAGGTAGGTATAGGTAGGTATAGGTAGGTATAGGTAGGTATAGGTAGGTATAGGTAGGTATAGGTAGGTAGGTATAGGTAGGTAGGTATAGGTAGGTAGGTATAGGTAGGTATAGGTAGGTAGGTATAGGTAGGTATAGGTAGGTATAGGTAGGTAGGTATGCATGTATGCATGTATGCATGTATGCATGTATGTATGTATGCATGCATGCCTGTGTGCATGTATGTATGTATGTATGTATGCATGCATGCATGCATGCATGCATGCATGTATGAATGTATGTATGTATGTATGCATGCATGCATGCATGCATGTATGTATGTATGTTGTTATGTATGTATGTATGAATGTATGCATGCATGCATGTATGAATGAATGAATGTATGTATGTATGTATGTTTGTATGTTGTTATGTATGTTGTTATGTATGTTGTTATGTATGTTGTTATGTATGTTGTTATGTATGTTGTTATGTATGTTGTTATGTATGTTGTTATGTATGTTGTTATGTATGTTGTTATGTATGTTGTTATGTATGTTGTTATGTATGTATGTATGTATGTATGTATGGATAATGTATGGATAATGTATGTATACAGTATATACAGTATATACAGTATATACAGTATATGCAGTATATGCAGTATATGCTTTTACATGTAATAATGTGATATATGTGTGTACTCGGTGTATATTGTGTGTGTATTGCAAACATCACTATGACATCACTACGACATTACTATGACATTATGACATCACTATGTCACTAAATCCTTCACTCCTCAAATCTTTTACGTTCAGTACCTGACGTAAAAGGGCCCTGATCAGGCTGTGGGACGTCTCAAGAGGCGAAAGTTCCTAGCGTCCATGGTCATGCCATGGTGTCCATGCATCACTGTTCAGAAAAAGGCGGTTCGGCCACTCCACCTGAACAGAAATCCAAATAAGTTTGACAGAAATTGTAAATTCGAATTCCAAGGCCTGACAATATAAACTTGAAACATCTTGAAACCAGAAAAAAAGAGAATTTTTGAGACATCCCACAAATTCTTGGAACGGGAGCAGAGCATGTGGTCGAAGTCCATTGCACTTTGAAAATCCACTTCCCATTCGGTGCGGCGTTCAGCCCTGGTGGCCGCCGCCTTTCAAACACAATATATTGCCATCCCAGAGAACCTGGTCTGAATTAAATCATGCCAAATACGGGACGCCAGCGTGGAGGCCGTGAGTCTTGAGGGTATCATTATCAGCAATAGCCAAGAGATACCAACGTTCGGCACCTACATGCTCACAAGATCTCACAAGCAACAAAACATATATATATATACATACATGCATGCATGTATGCATGCATACATTCATACATACATACATACATACATTACATTACCTTACATTACATTACATTACATTACATACATACATACATATATATATATATTATGGTATACGTAGTATTATGATGTATTATATAGTATCAAAAAATCTCAAGGGTAGCTTTGTTGATCATGGATAGATTCTCCGGTTTTCGTGACGAGTCATGCGCGGCCTTCCTCCACACGGGCGTCTTTTGATGTGGCGTGCTTGGCCTTGGCGTGCTGCCGACCCAAGCAACAGGCGCCCGCACAGCAGCAAAGCACCATCAAACCCAGGATAGGGTAGATCACGTAGTAGCCCCAGGGCACACGAACCTGCACTTGTTGCGACGGAACTATGAGAAAAATTGGTGAACATGATGAGTTTTGGAAATATGAGTGACTTGATCACCAGAATCTAAAAAAGTCATGGATTGCAGTCTCTATATGTTAGACTTTATGGCATTTATGGCATTTATGGCATTTATGGACCTTAGATTTTCATAGCTGTCATAGCTCATGGTTTTTCACCAGAGGGCTCTGCAGCTCACTGGACTCACCGGACAGTTACTATCTCCAGCATTTTCCACGTCTTGGTGAAAAACCTTGAGCCAATTTTGTAGCCTTGTTCCATCTTTAATGAGATTTACAGGCAGTCTTCCATATTGGTTGGCAAAACGCACACATTCTCTGCAGTCAATCACCACCATTGGCAAAATCTCGGCAAAACCTCAAGGTTTTTTCATGGCGTATCCAAATGCCTAACCCGCAATTGACGGTGAAATCCCAAAATTCTCCCAAATTCTACATTTGTCCTATCCATTGTGGAAGATATGTTTTTTTTTTGCATTTTTTTCACCGCCCGTGGCATCCCGTGGCCGCCATGGCTGACCCGGTCGTCCGAAACGTCGGGCAGGGCGAAGAGCGGCACGGCATCGTCCAAGGCCACCAGCAGCTCGTCGCGCCGTCCCTCGTGCACAAAGCTACTTGGACATCAACTGAATATTCCTAAATTTCTATAGTACATCATGCTACATCTATAATGTTTATAGATTTTATAATGTATTCAATGTATATCGTACATATACTGAATATTACTTATTAAATATTTTGTAAAGTATTCTAGATGTACTATAGATAATAGATGTACTCTAATACAAATATGTATAATCTATAATACATCATATCTATAATGTTTCTATAATATCTATAACATATCTAAAACAAATCAGATATCAACTCCATGAATTGTGATATTCGTGGTGTCTGATGGGAGCTAGCTAGGCATTATAAAGGGATGCATACAAGACATGCATGCCCTTATTCATGTCATGATTTTTGATATATTTGACATAGATGATCTATATATATATATGTAAATATATATATATATAATTAATATTTACTGATGCATGATATACTGACTGCTGAGGAATGATATGCGGTGTCTTACTCATTTCTTGTCGCAAATGTCAAATATCATGCATGTATTCTACATATCAAACCTGATGCAACTAAAGTTTATCCGTCCACATCATATTCTTCATATTCTTCACATTCTTCTTGCTTCCTCTTTTTGACATTCTCAATTTCACCATCTTCTTAATCTTATGGTTACACTTTTTTTTTATCATGTTTTTTCACAAAAGAATCAGCGGTTCATTCCATTTCATTCCCGCCTTCACGCGGCTGGCAGATACGGTGGCCATGGGAAGTGCCTGGTAGTTGAGCCACAAGGCGTCCAGTGACTCCCAAGCCTCCAGGCTCTCTGACTGGGCCTTGAAAGCGTGACTCAGCTAGGAACTGATTTCTTGTATCGTTGTGTGTAATGTACGTATCATAGAATCATATACACCTACATAGTACAGAGATGTACAGAGTGTATATATATATATGATCTATACATCTACTATATCTACTATAGAAATCTAGATATCTGAAGATTCACATGATCTGCATGTTGATGTAGATTGACACTGCTTGCTGATGGGGTTTTGATGATTCAGCTGTCTTTTTTCTGAGTTGAAAAAACATGTTGGGAAGCAGCGCGTTATTACGATCTCGTTGATGGGAGGGGATCCATGGATGATGACTTTTTGGGAAGTTTGATCCATTTTATACATTTTTTCGTAGACAGTGAACATCTTTCAATTTATGTGTGCTCATGATCAGCTGATTCAGAGGTGAAGGAAGTGAACACATCAAAGTTGACACTTTTTGCACAGGTTCAAATTAGAAGAGGTGAAGAACTCAAAACATCACATTTGGCACTCTTTGCGCATTGCTGGTAATGGGGTTCGATATGGTTCGATGGTGAATTTGCCGAACATGTTATCCATGGAGAACACAGCAACCAACCTTTGTGGTGGGTTTCCCAAGAGTTGCTGTTCTTAACAGCATTTCTCCACTCTGTTTGCCTGAAGGCTACTGTATCCCATGGTATCCCCAGTTCTATATCCCATTGGCCAGGACACACAAAAAAGTTTCTTATGAAAAACATCGACTATTTTGGACCAAAGGATTGATCGAATTCGGTAACCCGGGCCCCATGTCTCATCTCCACATGCCATGCGTCCAAGGGAGCAAGGCCGCCTGCCGCAACGTTCCATGATGAAGCTAACGAAGGGAGATCTTTGAGATGATAAATACGAAGTACTAACAGTTTAGCATTGGACAAGTGAACCTCTTGGAAGCCGCGCCTCCTCCATACTTCAGCTGCTGATGTGCTGCTTCAAAGGCTTGGATGCTCTTTGTGGGGTCGTCACCGGTGATCTGCTGGCGGTAGACCTGGGGGGTCACTGGGCTTAACTTGGAGCTTTTTTTGGCTGGATTGAAGCCATGTTGACATATCGAAATGTTGTTCACCATGACAGATCTATTCATATTCATTTATCATCCTTTATCATCATGTATCTATCTGATTCTATTTGATGTTGCTAAGCTGACACAGGCTGACACCAATTTATCAACCCGCCTGCATCAGCAAGACCTTTTGCCAAAGGAAGACCTTGAGCCGCTTCCCAGGCCAAGCCTCGGCTTAGCCGGGGCTGAGTATCTACCTGTTGGTCTGCATTGTGTTTCAATATTTGCACCTTGATTGACTGGCCACTATAGGATATATATATAATATATATATGTACGTATAAATATGTCTTATACATGTATGTATATATATATTAATATGTAATGCTATATATGTCAATATACAAATACTCCCCTATGACCGGGATAGTGGCTTTAATGACCCCTAAATGGTAGAGTTCTATGATTCTACTAAGCGGTATTTTGTTGGGTATGGGGGGTCGTTGTGGGGTTTGATGGATGTTTTGCCATTGTTAATCAATGCTCCAAACAAAACATTTCAGTTGGAAAAAGTGCAATCTTCAAATCTTCAAAGTGTTGTTGACTACATCCCACTCGCACACCAGGGAAGATCATGATCCATAGCCTTGTTGGGTGCAGAAAAATGGATTTGAAAAGTCATCCAACTTGTCACCCAATTTCGGACGGTTCATTACAAGTCTCCCACAACTCTCAGAAATCCCATTATATGAAATCCCATAGTTATCACAACTCAGAATTCTCCCATAATCCCTAACTCTCCCACTTCCCAGGGAAGTTCGGTGAAGTTTGCTGTGGTTAAAACATGTTAAAACCGTGGAAAAACCCAGCATTTTCCAACCTCGTCCCATCTTGGCTCGAGCTTCCTGGTCGACCTTCAGCCCTTCCAAGGTGTAGCGTTCCAGCTGCGCCAGAGCTGCGCCGGAGAGCTGTGTAGCCTGGCGTCCCAAGGCTACCACCTTGGTGAAAAATGTGGGGTCCCGTGGTCCCAAAAACCCAAGCAGAAATATCACTGGGATATATCTATGGGATATATATCTTTATAGGGATATCCCAATATCACCAGAAATGGGTGGTGAATGATTACCACTTGGGTTGTAACATTTTCACATCATGAACAAAAAAGGGGCTGCATCATGGAGATACCAGTGGCAATACGTTCCAAGATTTTTCATGACATTGCCGATTTTAATCCATAAGAATTGAACATTCAGCTGACGATGATCTTGATTCATCATTTCATCAGGAAATATGGGACGAAAACGGGCAAACTCCTGATCCAAGCTGCGAGAAAACATCGCCAATAAATGCAAAAAACATGGTTGCACACAAATCCTCCATGATTTCGTAGCGAACTATAGGGGAAAAGCCGGGGTTGGGATAAATTGTTGTGATAGGCATCTGAATCATTAAGTCATCTCAAGACCGTGATTAGAACGATGAATCATTTTCACTGGAGCTAGGGCGATATGATCATATCGAGCAATTGATTGCTGAAATCCGACTTTCGATCATCAACCAAACTACATCAGGATCAACCCGGCACTTATCCAACTAAGAAATGAACACATGGTGACACCTTTTCTGTAGAAAGGGTATACATATATATGTATATATATATATATCCCATCACTCTTCACAAAAAATTGCAGGAGACATGATGCATCGATGGTTCCTTTTAGTCCTTCCGTTGGCCACACCCGGCATCGCCCGTTGCATCGCATCGCACCTGGCTGTTTTGGGCCAAAGGTGTCAGCACTTCCATGACCTGCAGGGGACACTTTGATTTTTGTCGTCGAACATGGGAGTATTCAGGCAACCAATTTGGGTGTGGTGGTCCGAAATTGTATTCAACAATAGTCGTATGTTTGGTGTAGAAACCCAAAGCTGATGAACCTGATTCTAGTGCTGGAAATCCCATTGCCAGTTGTTGTATTCCATGTGTCATGGCCAGCCACCAAAAACAACCCGCAGTCTTGGGCACTCAGCAATTTTCAAATCAGCCTATCGTCAGTTGGATCATTCAACTTTTTGACCCACGATCATCACAAGGGACTTAAAGCAGATAAGAGCGTGGGATCACATTTGTGGTCCCTTATCTTCCCAGTCTAGATGTTCCATCCTTCCAAATTGTTGCTACATGTGCGTGTACCCATGATACACCCATGATAAACTGTTTTCCCTCCACCCAGCTCATCAAACTTTAGGAGCCATTAAAGAAGACACGTGTTAATTGGTTATTCTGGTGGGTTATACGATACCTGGTTTGTTGGGGATAGTTATAGCATGTTATCACCTATAATCGCATCCCCCATCCATAACAACCCCCATTCCATGGTCCCAGTCATAGGTTTCACCCACGGCATCCCCTATGATTCCTGGTGTTCAAAATATGAATGGAAGGATTACAAGGCACAGGATAGGATACCTGGTGTGCACTTGGGCTTATCAATGCGCATCACTATGGGCTTGTAACCTTCATAAGCTGGGATTGTATTTCCTACTGTTCTTATATAACCTACCCAGTGGAACATAGTGGAACACCGAAGTTTCAACCATTAACCCATCTCACCACCGCCATGGCCATGGCATGCCATGGCCCAATGGCACCTGTTGGTATAGCTGCGGCGTTGGTGGCGCCGGCACCGGCGGCCAGGCCGAGCCCATCTGCAGCCGCACCAGGGACGTTTTCAGTGCCGCCCGGGCGGCGGTGACGTTTGTGGTGCTGGAGGCGAGGTCCTGCGTCGAGGTTGCTACACTATCTGCTGCCCCACACTATTTGGCATAATTAGTTAAGTATGTGTCAACTATGGGTCAAACTTGTTGATCCAAACATGGAACGGAGCTTGGTATGGAATACAGGGCAAGAATTTGTGGGGCATACCCGCATTTCATGTCTTTCCGTCCTGAGTGGATAGCTTTCATTTTTGAAACAATCCCAACAGAGTTGGTGCTATAACTGAAATGGATGATTTTACTATTTTACCAATTTCAATATGCACCAAAAAAAGGAAACAACAGGACCTATCAGTTGATGTACAAGAAGTGGACATTTGAGAAACCCGACCTTTTACCAAGAGAGCTGGGTAGCACAAAGAAAAACGGGGGCATTCGGAAAGGGGATTCCAGCATCAAAAATCGTCGGATCTTCCCCCAGTTCACTGCATCAACCGCTGAGCATCGGCCAAGACCACAATACCAGGTCCGACAGAAATTTCCATGGAATCTGTGATCGACAAGTATGTCAGAACTGGTGTAAAACGAAATAAAGAACATTAGTACAACAACTATTGGATTAGGTAATATATATATATAATTATATATACGTATAAAATCATATATTATAACTATAGTTATATATATATGTCATATATACGTCACAATTTGTTCAGGACCCTGCAACCAATCAGAAACCCATCAGCCATAAATGCGGAATATGTTGTGATCTCCTCGCCCAGGCAAGCCAGGCGGACCACCTGGCGGCAAGCCGTATGGCATCAGTAGGGATGGTTCACACAAAATGGATGTACCATATATAAATTAAACCCACACATACACATACATATATGTAAATATATGTGTATATATATGTATATGTATATGTATGTGTAAATGTATATATATATGTATATGTAAATGTATATGTATATGTATGTATATAAATATATATTATACAATGGATCGGTAAATAAGTAAAGTTATATTATATGCAACATCATATGTATATATAGAGATATGAAAGAATATCATGTGGAATATGATGATTCACTGTGATAAAAACCAATGAAACGGAGCATGTTTGCACGGTGTATATAATTGCTATGCAATGTATAGGTATAGACATGTACAGAAAACTGAACACGGAATAGTGTACGACATGTCGATGAAGACACTGACAAGACCCAGGAACACTTGTTGAAAGGACCTGCTGTTGGTTTAGGAACGCCTTAACGATACTTAACGCCCGTTATCTTTAACACATCCTTCTCAGCCCAGCACCCTTTCTGGGTGAGTTGGTGAAAATAAAAAAGGACCTTAAAACGGATGCTTTCAAATGGACAAAGAATATCAACATCTCATCATATATTGCTCCCTCATGGTATATAACAGTTAAGAACCAAACATCAGCTGGGTTTTTTTAGTGCCTCAGATGGCTGGTGATTCTGGGCCTCAACCATCAGCTGTAGCCACTGCTCGGTCGTCAAGCTGCGTGAACAGTTCGTGTCATCCACAAGACCTGAAGGGTTAGCACTGAGCGGTCTATCAAACCCCATGCCATCAACCTGTGGATGGAATTCTTTCTTGAATGGGGGGCAGTGGATTTTAACGATTTGTTACACGTTCAAGGTTTTGTTGAATTGCCACTTTAACGGGATTTCATGGCCTTTGTTGGGATGCCAAGAACCATCGGATGTGGGGCGCCTCGATAGAAATCGTCCACCTTCTGGGTCAAGCGCAACATTCCTCGGACGAAAATGTCGCCACTTCTCAGCCATACCAATGCATTGGTATAATTTGATATATCATTGTACGATTGATATTGAAAGGATATTTATGATGCAACATCTAAATTTCAGCAACATTGAAAAAGATAGTCAACATAGATCACATTTGATCAGACTGGATATCTAATTCTCATGATTTGACTTGATATTGTGAAATATCGTTACATTCTATCAAATCCAACATCTAGCATAAATGGAGGCTTTTGTGAGAGAATTTTTAGAGCCAAAATTTGGGTTTTTTCCATCAAGCCATGGTTGATTCCCCAGCCATAGATGAATTGCCCATTAAAGCCTCCATTCATAAGGATTTCCCATTGCCACTAATCATTAAACCATTACATATCCCCATTATATCCTGTTAATATAACTTTAACGAATCTTCACGGTGAATATCCTGGGGGTTAATCTTGGGGATTCAAAAATTGGCTAGGAGTCAATAACCCTGGCAGCCTGGCACCCTATCCTGAAGGAACTGGCTCATGGATGTTTATTCCCCCTGTTCCCAAGTATGATTTTATTCCAAGTAATATAAACAAATAATGACAATATTAGTGATGATAAGCATCCCCAATTTTTGTTCTATAAATCATACCGTATTGTGGATATAGATTGATCTATAAATTTTATTGAACATTGCAGTAATCACCATATTGTTCTATATTTTTTGCCGAGCCACGCTCCGTGCCCTCCGGTACCAGATGCATCAGTCGCGCCGCCTCAATTATGGGATCTATGGGGTTTAAATGAAGATTCAAATGTATCCACATGTATATATATATATGTATATGTACATACAAATAGTCCCAAAGAGCCGCTGAAAAACAATATGTACACACACATATATAGATATATATGTCATGTCTATACCGGCCAAACATAGATTTTCAGCAACGTGTTTTGTGGGAAAGGCAAATGAGGATTTGAACAGGGGGTACCAAGAAACATGGGGGATTGTGGAAACTACATGTGGCCTTTATACCATTGGGGATTTAAGTTGATTTAAGCAAGAACACATTGGATTTCAGCATCAAGTATCCGGTGGCCATCTGTCCCTTGATAGCGGTTTGGAGACTCTAGTGGCAGATTAGCCCCCATCTCCCCATCTTCCATAAAGCAACCAATGATGGGACCATGACCCCTCCGGTGTCTCTGGGGTCCTCCTCCCGGTCGCCATTTGTGACTTCACGGGCAGCTTCTTCCTGCAAATTCCAGCAACAAATTTGGAGCACGGAAAATTGTTGAAAATGATGGCAATATCCTGTTTTGATTGGAATTGGGGATATCCAGTTTTCAGACGAACCGCGATAGGGATAGTCATGATAGAGGCCGTGTAAATATGATGCCATTGTAGTTGCGATAGTAAGAATGATAGTACTACCTTACACTCCAGTCAAAAGACCTTTAAACTGAAAGACAACTGGGATGCATGGCTGTTGCTCAACAAGTGAGAGCACAAAATGGCATGCCAACGAAACTGATGAAGCCCATTTTGCTAATGAGCAATATTCCTCTGCTGATATCAATGACGTTGATGATGTTAATGATATTGATGATATTGATGATATTAATGATATTAATGACATGAATGATATTAACGATATTAATGATGCTCATGATTAATGATGTTAATGATATTAATGTTGACATTTCTGTTCATCTTCATGAGGTTTCACGGTTGGCACTTGACAGCTGAGCTTCCACTTGGCGAAAGAGCACCATGACATCCGCCATGTCTTGAGTCACACAGAGGCTTCGAATGGGTTGCAGTGCCTTGGGATGCAAAGTCGGTGATTTTCATGTTGGGGGCGCCATTTCAATGACAAATTGACAAACGATATGTTCGTTCTTTGGAGCAAAACAAACGTTGCAAATCCAAGGATGCACCGCCTTGACCACAGTTCTGTTGGTTCTGTTGTTCGGTTGGGGCGTGTGGCTGCACAGCCATTTTCTTGATGTAGTTGCGATCCCTCAAAATACCCGACCCATCGTCGCCAGTTTCCCCATTTGTGTGGACAGCTCTCCGAATATGTGACCAAAACCTATGCCCTCATTTGTTCTTGGCTGGCTCGTCGATTTAGGAAAGGCCTATATAGTTGTGCCTGGAAATTCTTTGATGGATTGGATATATGGCCACAAGCAGACCGTCATCTTCCAAATCAGCGGGAAGGAAAGGGTCCCCTCCCCCACCATTGGTTCTGTATGGCGGAAATGTTAAGACGAATGAGGGTTCAACTATGGCAAATACCAAAGGGGTAGGAAAAAAACATCCTATGAACATTGATGAATTACTCTCCTATCTTTATGGGGGTTACTCTGAAGCCGAAGGAGTTTCCACCTTCCCAGCTGCATTGGAATCTCCCAGGATCAGCCGTTCATTGGTTTGGAGGATCTCTTCTGCGGTGGCGTTCAACATCCTTCGCTCTGAAATGGCTGTGAAATCTCTGGGAAAGAGCAGAAACTGGCAGAAACCCTCAGAGTGTGGCATTGCTCTCTCCAAGGGTTTTTTCAAGGAAATGTTGGGGATTCTGCTGACGAAGTGGATTGCAACAGAAAAACAATAGGATTGAAGCAACAAAACAGGGGGATTCAGAAACTGAGATGTATGCCGGTTCCTGGGTCTATTGAAGGACAATTTTATAGGAATCTCTTGGATGCCCTGCAAACATGATTGTGTAAAATGGGAGCAAGTGTCACGAGAGAACTCAAATCATTGGAGAACGGTAAAAGTGCACGAGATACCGATCCGACTTGAATGATTTGATCATTTTGATAATTTCTTCATTTTCCGACTTGATCTTGCTCTCGACTCTCTATCTTTTTCTCATTGACCCCTTATCTGATCTTGTTTGCCCGACCACATGCTGCGAGCATCTCTCGATGCAAGTCGGGTTTGAGGCCATAAAGCACCAGATGGGCTTCGGCTGACAGCCTGCACCAACTCTTCAGACCGCTGATTTCAAACACACTTGGGATGTCTTGGGATGTCTTGGGATGGTCAGGATATGTCGGGATCCCTATAAAAAAGAACCAGAGGGGATATGAGTCTGCGCGATCAACTGGCTGCTCCAGGCTCCGCACCGACTCAAACGCATCCGCTGCAAGTGCAGTAAATCCAGGGTGATCAAGGGCATTCCATCCATCCTGTCGATGGAGGTCGGTTTGACCAGCGGCGATTGGGCGATGGAAGAAATTCATATTCAATCTATTTCAATCGATTTCAATCTTGTGAACGAACCAGGGGACAGAATCGACATCGACATGTTCTCTGGTATTTTGTGTGATTTCTCAGCAAACTGGTCAGATTCCCGAATAGTCAACAGCAGTGACAAAGCAAGGTTTGGGCCCTGAAGGTCTTGCCGAGGTTCTCTCCAGTACTAGAGTTGGCAGCTTCCTGAGCTTTCTCAATCCTCGTTGGCAAAGCCAGAATCGGTTGCTGCCATGACCAACTTCAATGTTATTGTTGAAACCGTGGATGAATTTAAGCATCTGCATCTTTGTTGCCGAGACATGTTGAACTTCGTAACATTTGCACATACGACTTCCGATGATGGGTCATGAATGGTCATGAACTTCCGCAGATTGCCGTCTTCTACATATGGGTATGTCTGAAAATGGGGTATACCCCCAATGAAATAGCCATTTAGTAGGGATAATGATCAGCAAAACCATTGGGTGGTTAATGGGTACACTATTTTCAGACACACCCCCTTTTCAGATTTGACACTCTACCTGCTTCCAGGGATCAAGTGCAGCACTGAATCCATGCGATGTTCGAAATCCTGCCGTGCCATTCGTGGGAAAATCGAGCCCAAATCAACTGGTTGGTTTGGTGAAAACCATGGAAAAAACCATGGATATTGGTGTTTTTCGAGACCCCCCATTGGTGAAAACTCTACAAAAACCCATGGAAAACAAATGACAGCCATTGATATTCAGTTTTTGAATCAACTACAAAAGGATACAAAAGGATCTTGCCTGTCAATAATAAACAACGCTCTTTACCCAACCACAATTTTTGTAGAATCTTTCAGTGTGGTGATCTATTGTGATAATCAATCATCTTTTCCCAACAAAATCCTAAAATTGGGAATAACCTAACTAATTAATAACCAGTATGGAAGCTTATTACATGATCACTTGATTGAACAATCATCAAAAAGTTGGCAAATGGATCTTCATCGCCCCAAATATGGTATGTCAAAGATTTTGGTACATCCCCCACAGAAACCAGTAAAATCCCGATAAAATACTGGGATTCAACAACCCTTCTATCTTCATGGGGGATGTAACTTCTAGTGAACCCACTGGAAAAACCCGCCGTTGAGTTCGACTATTTTCCAAGCTATACATTTTACTTTTTCTAACTGCTAATCATTATATCGATATCCCGCTATTGTTGCTGATATCAGTTACATACCCATGCTCCCATAAAAACACCATTATAATCCTCATCATTTTCCCAGAAGACAGCCATAACATCCACCATCAATTTCCATGAAATGTCTCTGGTGCCCCCGGTGCCTCCCGCAAGCGCACGGTGCGTGCCAGGTGCCCCGAGGGCAGAGAGCTATGCGGCTCTGAAGCGAAGTGCAGCAACGGCTCCAAGTGATTCCAAGCTGCCAAGGCTTCCAGCATCTGGTCCTGATGCATTGCATTGCGGATTTTTCAATGGAACCGGAACCATATGGAACCGGAACGTTCTTTTTTGCATGATTGTAAACTGATCTTGAGTCAGAAACATGTTGGTTTTTCTTGTTCATTTCACCGTGTTCTTTTTCTAGAATTTCAATAGGAACACTTTTCTAGAAACTTGAGATTTGATTGTCATGTCTATGCGATAGGGGAGAAACATGAGGGGATCATCCACTTTAATTGGATCATACAACCCGATGCACATCGAACTGCCTTTCCCACTCCTGACCTCGACCCTTTCTGGTGATAAACTCTGCCAAGATTCCAAGATGTCTTGCGTGGGAGGCGTTGGAATTCCGTCCAAACGACCTCAGCGATTTAAAACATGTCTCACCAAACACCTTTTTGTTCGGAAATCCCATGAAAACAATGGGGGTTTTCCTAACCATTAACATCCATTAACATCCATTAACATCCATTAAGGTTTTCCACAAAAATCCTGAGGCTCAGTGTTTTTCCCAGTTCAGAGGCGCCCAGTTCTATGGCCGGTGAAGTCAAAGCAGTTCAGCTGGCCCATCTGACTGGGGATGTAATCATGGGATATGGTAAGAAAGTCCCAGAATGGTGATCAAATGTCAAGTCAAGTTAATCATGTTAATCATGTTAATCAATGTTAATCAGGTATTCAGATATAATCAGATATATGCAATCATCAATTGCGGAGGTTTGATCTATCTGCTATTCCCCTTTTATCCAACACTTGCAGTCTCAAGAGCTTCACCCATTTCACCCATTTTCAACAACGATTCGATTTGGGTAAATTATAGTAAGTTCTATTCTCCCGTCACCATTTGGATAACCCCCAATTTTTGTGTCAGTTTTCATCATTATCATTTAACCCAATTTTAGTGGAACATGTTCATCCAAGTCATTTTGAACAGTTACCCTCTGGCAAACTAACATAGCTATGTAAAATCACCATTTTTAATGGGTAAATCAACTATAAATGGCGATTTTCAATAGCTATGTTTGTTTACCAGGGGGTATTTTTGTGGAAGATCACTATTAAACCACCATAAAATCAACATTTATAGTGGTTAAATCACCATTTTCCCATGGTTTTCCTCACTTTTTGACGAAAATGTCTGATGACCAAGGGGCTGCCCTGCACCAGTTTTCTCAGCTCGTCGTGTTCTGAGGAGATCTGCACCGTGAGCTTCACTTTGCCTCAAGACATGGCCTGTTTGTTCATGTTCCCACGGATGAAACATGGATGTCTAATGGATGTTTAGTGAATGTTGGATGGATGTTGATGTTGATGTGAATGGAAATGAGAACATATGTTGATAGATGGATAAATTCAAGACATGATGAACACTTTTCAACGAGTATTTTTCGATTCATATGTTCATCATAGTGACTAGATATGGTGATAATGGTTAATAATTACAGTAGTTAAATGATCAGATCGCAGGGGTTCCCATGGATCATCCTCAGCGTGAAACACTGAAGAGTTCTCCAAAATGGACCCCTGAAAAAAAAAACGTTGGTGCGATCCTGGGATGGGACCAACATCAGTTACATCAGTGGTATTTAAGATGTTATAGGCTTTAAGATGTGTAGAGAGATGTGTAGAGAGATGTTTTGAAAACACCCCAAATGCCCAAATCCTCCGTTGGATCTCCGAGCGACTCGCATCCACTTCCACTCCATTGATCTTAGCGAGGGGATGACCGACATCCGACGGACGACGTCTGCCACGGGGTGGTGAACCCCTCAAAAAATGCGCTTTGACGAGGATATGTTTTATCATGGATTTTGGATGAGTACGATTTTGGTGGATTCTGGTGATTTGCAAGCACTTGCATGGGGATATGTGTCAAAACCCACTGGTACCAACATGCTAACATGAGGATGCATGGGGAGATTTGAGCAACATGTGCATGGAGCCATCAGATACAGAACCACAATTTGGGAAACTCGATTTTGGTCTGACAAGATCAAACGCTTTGGGTGCCCAATAGCTCACATAATCCTATTAGGGACATTCTAGCTTCCCTTTTTCCAACCATTGCTTTCCAACCATGTCCTATACGGAGCTTCAACGACCTTGGACTTTCGGAGCCCCAAACAACTTCACCATCACTTGTGGTAAGTCCGTTTCAGGTCGTGATAAATGACCCGGATCAACTGATCATCATGCTGCACCTATCCATCATTACTTAGTTGAAACCAATTTTTGTAGATGATAGACACTCCAATATCTCCTGGTGCGTCATGTGGGGCTGAACCGCCGAACCCCGAGTTTCGACCTTTAACAAACAAGATTTGCTGGTGCTCATCATTTCATCATGTTTGGCAGTCCCCCAATTTATGGCCCGGTTTCCCCATGGTGACATCGAGAAACGACCTGCATGAAGAAGAGGAAACCCATCTCACATCGACATCGCACCCCTGCACTGGCAATTAGTAGGGCCTTCCACTCGCCTGGGAACAGGAACGGCCACTTCGCCACTTGGCCCAATTTTGAGAGATAGCCACGACATGACATGCGTGACATGTCCTTGTCTATCTTGTTTTCTCATCTGTTGGGAAGTTTCTGATCTCTTCCCTTTGTGGGTGAGATTACGCCTTAGCTGCGCATGCTTCAACCAGATTTCGAGCTGCCCAAAACCAAGGAGTTTTTCAGTCGCAAATTTGACATGTGTGAAGTACGTCAGAATGATTGGGTATCCCCAATACTGACATGGTCTGCTATGGCCGGCCTATGTTTCCAAGTCATCAATTTTGATCGCCCACCCATGCAAACGTCTCCAACTTTTACCCTGGAAATTCGCGCGTTCAACAAGCTGAAATTCCATATCCCCCAGTTGTTGGTGGATCCACATTCTATTTGGATCTGCATCTCCATTTTGGATGGGCAAAAATCGCTCATTATGGCTCATTCATACTCATTCATTGTTGGCTGGGATCCAATATTTCGAGTCTTTTATTTTTGTGCCAGTCCCTGCCAAAATCAACTTTTGGAACGTGAAATCTTTCATTTTTGCTTCATCTTCCAAATTTGAACAATTTCAAACCATCTTTTGGTTGTTTTATGTTGTTTTGGTTGGAATTCCAAACCATCTGTGAACCAGTTCTTCATATTTTGAACATGTTTCTTCTATTTTGATGGAGGATGTGTGGCAATTTTTTTGCTTCCCAGGCCACCTCGGTGAGTAAAAAAATTGGGATCTTTGCGCCGGAATGCAATGAATGCAATGGAGCACGAAGGGCCAAAATCATGGTATTTCCATGTATTTCCCATACAAAATGACAGTCCCAACATATCTTGATATAGTGGGCGTGATCGAAAAAGGCTTTGCGACTTGAGAGTGCTGTAAGGGTCTTCGAACATGCATTTTCCAAAGTTATTTTTTGCAATTTTTACGCAATCTCGCTTTCCTCCACATTTCCTCCACATAGAACGAACAATGGCATGACTCGCTCAGGTTTGATCCCTTATTGAAGATTTTGCAATCATTGGACATGTGGATTAAGTTCGGACCAGGTGTACGTCGGGACAGTTTAGAGTTCGGGCGAACGGCGGTGCCTGAGCCTACAAATACCTCAGTTGTTGGGTCAACACAACGGTGATGAATCTCCCCATCTGCTATAATCACTATATAAGCATGAAAACCCCTCAGCAACAGCCCATCTGTTGTAGCTGCTGTACTCAATCCCCCACTGGTTTGCATCCTTGCTAAATCAAACCCAAGTTGTTTCACAAAATCACCTCCTTTCGGGTTGATGTAGATCCTCCCGTGACATCATGACAATCGAATTGATAATTTTGCTTTATAATCATCAAATATTCATTGTATCAAACCAAAAATCATGCAAAATCATTCTTGATACAAGTACTACAATACATGACCATCATTATGCACATATATATATATATAGATAAATGTATATGTATCCATTTGTGCCATATAAATATAAATAACAAACGCATCCTCAATTCTTTCTTTCCCCAAATTGCACCTTTAGTGGTCGTGCTTTCCGCGCAGCTGGCCGTGGAGTTCTCCAGCAGCTGCTCCGCGAGGTGCATGGCGTCGAAGAACTCCTCCGTCAGCGCTGCCAGCGGCGCCGCGGTGGACGACGCCGTGGCGCGGCTTTGGGAGTTGCTCTCGGCGTTCGCCACCTCGCGGACCTTGGGGAAGTGATGGGTTCACCCAACCAAGTATCAAATATAGACGAACAACATATGTATTATATATATATACACTTACATATGTTGCATATGTATAATGGATAAAATGGCAATCATAAGCTTCTTTGAATCTCTTAAAGCTACAAAGCTGAACATCATCCCATCCATTGGGGAGATCTGAAACAAGTGCGGATGTACCTGGAACTTAGTGGTCAATGGTCCGAGTTGCCATGGGCATCACCTGCATCGAGTAGAAGGTTACATCTCTCATCTGTCGCATTGTGCACATCCTGGCGAAATCCACGGGCAGTTGACCATCTATCCATTGTGGATGGGGAATTGAACTGATGAAACCTGACGATTTCTTGTCAAAAAGACAAGGGGATGCCACAGAATGAGAAATAGAGAGCATTCGGTCAAAATCATGGTGGGTTTTACATCTTGCCTGACAAATGACATTGACGTTTGAAATGATCAAAGAAACGATTCAGCCACCTGACCTTTGAAATCCGAACAGCAAAAGTGGCGGAAATGGAGTTGGACCAAGTCACTGTCGAATCTGTCCCTGTCCAAGGCCCCTTTGGCGACTTTGGCGACTTTGGCGACTTTCTCCGGAATTTCTTGGGCTCTTCCATCAACAAATTTCAACCAAGCTGCTTATCCAGTTTAGGCAATCCCACACTGTCCACGCCAAAGATGATGGCCTCCTGTGTGGTCGACACCAGCAGAGTTTTGGTGCCACCGACAAAACCCGGTGTTTTGTTGTTCTATTTCCATGTAGAGCGAACGACGAAACCCAATCTTTTGGAAGTAAAACTCAGTGAAACATAAATTAACCAATCTCTGAATTATTGGTATACCATAGGTTGATTTTTGTGGTATAACATGGTATAACAATATATCATGTTTTATCAACCTATGTTATCCATATTTATACCATATCTTTATAAATGGTCTATAGCATATATCATCTTTATGGTCAGATCTGTGACAAACCATGGACCACAAACCTGGGTTTCTGCCTGTGACGCCTCAAAGAGATCCGCCACTTCTCCCAGAACTGACCTGAAGCGGTGAATCGCCATGGTCATTAATTTTGGGACAATACCATGATTAATATGGGAAAATACCATGATATGGTCATTAATATGGGAAAATATACCATTTTTCAAATCATGATATAACATTATGTATATACTCAATGATGGACTATCATGAATATCTTGAATCTATGAATACTATGAATACAAGCAATATATGGATATGGTGGAATTGAATCATGGAATGCTGATTTTGGTCTCGGGATGTCACAATGATGTCATCAGGGATGATTGGGAGATAGTCTCAGATTTGATGAACACATGACAACATGATGACAATATGTAATGTAATTATCATAATTATCTCTATCCGCAAAAAACAGGTCATATCCTCAACTCTCCAAATTTATGTTTATTGGGAACCATCCGGAATGGTTGACCCAGAGTTTTGACAGGACACCAACGCTGCACTCAAATCCACCGGTTCAACTCTCAAACCCACCGTATAGGGCGACACCTGGTGCTGGAGACGGCATATCCCAGGCTGATCAACAGGACCTCCTGGTGAAGGTTTGCCGCAGGTTCGCTTTGTAACACTATGACTATGCTGCAGCTTTGCTAGTAGATATACATGATATACATCCAAATATGTTTTGGACGACGTGTAACTACTGTACCTATCGATACGTACCATCAACCGACGGTCCACTGGAAAGGGCTCCTTGGAGAATCGTAGGATCAGCGTCTTCTGCCGAGTGGCAATGTCTACCAAGAGGCCTAGGGGGCTCTGGGAGAGGGTGGGGTCATGGCCATTCTCGATTTCAGATGCTGTTGATTTGTGTGGTTTGCTTTCACTTGGATCCCAATTCCATCTCCCTTGCAACGTCCATAGTTGCTAAGTTTAAAATCCCATGGTGAGCTCGGAATCGACGTTAAATCTTCTTGATAAACCCATTCTTCACCATCAACCCATGTTCCGGACTCACTCTACAATGAAACCTTAGCTTCAGTTGGATACGCCGAGTACCTCACAAACTGTAAGTTTATAATTCCAATTTTTAGTGATTAAAAAAAAAACATAGCCAAGCATTCCCTCTTGACGCCATCTTTCAGGTTCCATCTTGCATCGAGGAAGATTTGAAACATCCTAAACAAGAGTCAATTATTCATATCTAACCCTTTTCACCAAGCTTTCCAGAGGGTGAACGATTGGGAGGAATCCCATTCATCAACTAATTATTTTTTTTAAATTGCTACCCATAATATTGTGATTCAACAATGAATTAATGGGGGATACCCTCTGGTAATTTAACATAGCTATTGAAAATGACCATTGAAATAGTGAGTTTTACCATAAAAAATGGTGGATCTTTCCACAGTTTTTTGTTAACGTTTACCAGAGGGTAAACTGTTAGTTCATTGTGATTAACCATCTCCCATTGTTGTTGAGGAACCCAGCGATGCTTGGCACCAACTCTTTGGGCCGACATTTTAGGGTCGTTTTTTTTGGTTGGTTGGTTTTTTTTTGTGGTGAATCCAGGAGTTCACTCTCCCATATCTAAGGGGTATCTTTGTATATAATATATATATATATAGATATCTTAAACAAATCATACCAATATCCCATTAATATATTCATTATTGGAATTAAGTCGTCATTGTGATAGGATTAACGCCATCTAACTATAATACCATATGATCCAATGTGGGCTAAATGTGGGTGGGGTAAACATTTTTTTATATGCTATAACCATTATACATATCGAAAAAAAAACTATAAGAATGTGATCAACCGCTATTATCCTCAGTAATGTGGGCCCAGGCCTTCCCATGTATAGTTGTATCCTAATGTAATGACATTCACATTTATGGAATTTATGGTTTACATAGCAGATATGTATTGTATACTCAACAATGACGTTGCTCATACATATTAATTATGGATTTAACCCAGCATATTTCCGTGGTAAGCTGTTTTTTTTACATGATAGTTGGTGGTTGATGGGAATTTTCCATCAGCTCTCCATTGAAACGTTTTTCAGTTCCCTTGCTACCTGGGAAATCTCATGAATTCTTAATCCTTTAGTTACACCATTATCCATGGTCCATTGGTTTATTCTATCCATTATCTCATTTATCAACAATGGATAATGGATAATGAGGTGAATGGATTATTTGGGGTTTATAATGTAGTAAACCCAATCATCAACAATCCCCAATGGACGTTTCTGGCATTGGGTATACCCCTCTGACTGGGATGATTTCTGGCATTGGGTTTCCCACATTCCAAATCAACATAAATCAACTTTCACTAGAACCCCAATTCAACTATAATTCATCAATTCGGTCATGAATGAAAAACTGTTATAGAACCACTCTACCGTTTTTGACCACAGATTTTACCAAAGACAATTTCTCAAACAAATTGCCAAACCTCCCACCGAAACCGCACCAAGGGGCCCTTGGTGGAGGCGCCGGCGCGGTGGGAGGCCTCCGAGAGCAGCTGCATCAGCTGTTCTGAGCGGCTCAACACCTTTTTGGCGGCCAAGATGGCTGGGAAAATCTGGGAAAATTCACGGGGAACTCAGATTTTACCCTGGCATTTTATGTATTTTTATTTGGTTTGTTCACTGATTTTGATCCCCAAATGAAGAACCATGATTCCGGTGGAGGGGTTTTCATTGAAAATCCAATGGGGTAAATGGAGAGCCAACAAACTAGTGGGGTATGAGTCAGTGAGAATGGGACGAGAATGGAATTGAATCATTAAAAAAACATCGCATTAGAATATCCATCCAAGCAAGCCACGGCGTTTTAAAACACCATGGATCAAACCAACTGTTTGCGGGGCTGGTTGTCCCAGCAAAACCTGATTTAGTTTTTTTTTTTCGAAAGCAGAATCGGTCATCACCCATGCTTTCAAGCACTCTTATGAAGGGGTGATCAAAATATATTAGAACAGATAAAACATAACACATCTTTGTGATTTTTGGTCATTGGGTCATTGGGTCATTGGGTCATTGGGTCATTGGCAGGTCATTGGCTCTTGGTGAGGCTGTTGAGAAGCCCAACCTGAAGGTTCTGTTCTGCCACCGTGGCTATGGCGATGGAGTCGTCCTGGCGTTTTGGCTGGACTCCTCACTTTTCTCAGAGAGATGGGGTTGTTGACAGAAATTGACAGATTTTTTCATAACGTCAATTCATGTTCAGATGTGTTTAGTGACAGATAAAACACGTGGTTTTTGACAGATTTGTTTTCTCTTCCTTTGATTTCTCGTTTGATCTTTCCTGAATTGATTTTTTAGAAGAGCTTCCCACACAAATACCTCAACAACTACAGTTGTCAAATGTCCAATTCCCTCACCTCACCTGATTCACGGAGTCGATGTGATCAGTCAAATATGCCTGTCACAGCATATTGCACAGGAGCTTCAAACATTCTGCACATTTACCATTTTTAGTGGGTTATTCACATCCATAAATCCCAGCTATTTTGATGTGAACAAAAAAGGGGTACCTTGGGTTTTGACTGACACACCAAAATCCAATGTCTCCCAGCGAATCACCAATTTCTTCATGGCCTTGATCCCCTGCAGGGTGGTGGAATTTTGTGATATTCCTCCACGAACTAACCATGCAGCCACGTCCATGATGATCCCATGGATATTCCCATGGCACATCCCTCCATAGTTTATTATTCCCAATATATGGAAAATAAAACATGTTACTGTTGCAAACCACTAACCAGTTGTTTTTTGAATGTTTGTTGACTGACATGAACTTGATGTTTTCCATCAATTATCACCACATATAAACCCTTGCCACCATACAAGCCCCTATCTCAACCGCACCTCAACAACCAACCTTGGGGATGAATCAAAACCTGAACCATGAAACTTTGGGATTTGACATGGGATGTAGCATGTCTTTATTGTTTGCAACATGGTACATAAATATAACATGGGAATCAGCCGCGCCTGGAAGCCGTTCCAGTCGTTTTGCAGCAGCTCCAGCGCTCGCTGCACCTCTTCGTTGGGCGGTGCCAGGATCTGCATCGCGGCATCGCCCAAGAGCAGCTGCTGCAGGGCGGCAGCGAAGCTGCTCCTGGGTATGGTGTGGGGATGGGGCCATGGAAACATGGGACTTCAATGGATTGAAATGGAGGAACATGGGGATGGGTGAACGAAATATGAAGTTCAACATGAAGTTCAATATGATCAAACAATGGCATAACAATGGGCCAAAGGATGAAAAGGATGGGCCAAAGGATAGGGGCGTCCACGTGTCCATGTCCCACCAGTGGAAGATGGTGTTGGGCTATATGGCTATATGGATTGAAGATGTTCATTTCGCCATCCTTCCTCACAATTTTTTCCACATCCTTCAAGCTATTCCAACTGTTTCAACTATTTCAAGCTCCATATGCCACAGAGTTTTTCACCAATCCCGTCGCCGCAGCCCAGCGTCATGCTGCTGCGCAGCTTCAGTCGGTTCAGCTCCGGCTGCAGGTCGCTGGCCACCAGGAAAAATCTCCTACGCAGCAAACACCGCACACGAAGCTCCGTCAATTTTCTGAAGATTTTCTCAATTCTTGATCACCCTGCCACCCTTTTGATGGGTTGCAAACGTGGGTTAATATTTATATATATATATATATAAAACTCAGCATTTCCACAAGACATCACCCCCAAAAATCATCAGTCAGCGCGCCTGGCCATCTCTTGACTCAAGGCACACTGAGCACCTCACCGTGTCACCGCGATGCGAAGTTGCATCTGTTACATCTGCTGAATTTCTGCTTAACATTTCTGGTTACTTCTATGATATGCTATGATATGCTATGTCTCAATTTTGTCTATATTCCTTCTGAAAAAAAATTATCTAATATCTACCTATTTCATGGCAGTTGCTTTACTGAAAGAGCGTATTTGAATCGTTCATCTAACATTCGACATCCCAAAGCTCCTAGTTTCCATCTATTTTCATCTATTTTCCATAGATTTTCATCATGTCCACCTTATATCCACCACCTATCCCCACCTATCCCGTGTCCCCCCATGGCCACCTGCCAGCTCGATGGTGGTGAACCACTCAGCATCGCTGCTGCGGTAGCCGACCACACGGCCGCCTTCGCAGATCTCGAGGCCCTGGCAGCTGACACACGAGCCCAGCTCGAAGCCTGGGAACGAGGGATATGATGGTTGGTGAATTTAGATGATTTAGCTGATTTTTAGATAATCCAATGTATCATCTAGATGTATTTTTACATTTAGATATGGTGATTATCTAATTATGGTGAATCTAGATGTATTTAGATAATCTCATTTTAATAATAATGTCAATGATAATTTTAATCATTAATTTCATGAGGATTTTTATCATAATCTTAATGATAATCATAATGAGAATTTTAATGAGCATTTTTTTATGAAGATTTTAATCATCATTTTCATGAGAATTTCAATGATAATCTTAATGATAATTTAATGAGAAGTCTTATGATAATTTATGATGGGGAATTTCCAAGTTCGAACTGGGAAGATCATGACAAAGCCAGTGGATGATTCCATTTTTGGGAGTCATGGGCATGGATACAAAGGACGACAGATCAGCCCTGAGAATGCTTTGGGATCGGACTGCTTCATCGGTTGCTCACTAGATCTTGACCCAATTTCTTGATAACCAGATCCATTTTGATTAGGCAGAAAAGATTGTTTGCAAGCATCATTTTGTGATATTTTAATTTTCACATGCCAATGATTGCCAATGGCTTCATGGGTAAATTGGGGGTGGCATAAATTCTACGAGGCCAAGGGACGTGTGCCACTTTCGCACTGCACGCACCTTCCCTCGAAGAGATTTCCGTCGCAACGGCAGAGTTCTTCTTCCGTGGCGCCCTGCGGGATCGGCACTTGCCGAAGGAAGGTGATGTTTTCTCCGGGTAAATCAAAGGGAAACAACTCGTCGATACTCGTTGTTTCAGCCCAAAAAAAGAGTGGATCTTGAACCCCACTGAACTTTTTCCCGGTGATTTCCCCAAGATATTGGTTAGTACAGCTCAGTATAGCCTCCTCAGCCCGGTGTTGGCCTCGAAGTTGGTCGTGCGCCCTGCAGGACACAAAGTGCAGTGGGGCTGACCGTTCTCGGCAGCGTATTCGCCTCGGTGAGCATGGCTGACCTGGGGTCATAGCCATGGTGGGAATCCGGTAAAAACTTCAATGGCAATGAGAAATCATGGTGACATCATGCTGAAATTATGGGATGATGATTTATAATCCAAGCCATTGATCAATAGAAATCAGTTCAAATGCATACGCTCTTTTTGCAGTTGCCAAGTTAGTTATGAGGGGTTGTTCCTGAGTTGGACGGGGTTGCCCCAGTTGTATTTCCTTCATCACGAACTGGTGGACAGTTCTTTCAATCTCCTCCAGGCCTGTAACACGGAACCCAACACATGGCCAAGTCCCAATAGTTGCCAATTGCAATGCCATTTTTCACATTCTAAAATACTTTAGAAATTAGAGACTTTAGACTCCCTTTGCGAAGAAAAACCATGAACGCATCATCCATGCACCGTCAGCCATCCCCAAGGCCCTTCGCCAAAGGCCGCCAAAGGAACCCATTGGGCACTGCTCACACAGCAGTGCTCCAGAGATGTTCATGAAATGCCCTGCCAACGAGTCCAGAGTTCCAATTCCCATGGGAAAGTCGGGAAAGTGATCTGAAAGTGATCTGAAAGTGATCTGAAAGTGATCTGAAAGTGATCTGTATCATTCACCATCCAACATCATCCAACATCAACATTCATCATCCAATGGTTCAACATCAACATCCAAACTTTCGAAACCAGGCCGTCCCAGCAGAACTCCCATCCTACGGCCTACGAGGCATGGAATACAGGCCGTCATCCCAGTGAGTGGATTGGCGGTGCCCGGGGCACAAGGTACACACTGGGCCATCCCGGCGTCCTTGCCTCGGAAACATGGAGGAACCGAGCGGGAAAAAAAAAACGAATTTTTGAGGCAACATGAAGTACTTATGTGGTAAATCAGTGATCAAAACTGAAGTGATAGATATGTGATATCAATTGATCACTTGTGATATCAAGGTATGTCCTGTGCTGTTTCCGTTGGCTCATGGTCCCTCCAGATCAAGGCACCATAGGAGCCGACAGGGCAAGGCTCGCAATCACCATGACCATCCTAAGATGGAAAAAGGTCACAGAGAGCCGTGGAGTGGTGCAACTGTTCGAGAGAGTCCAAAATTCCAAAAACTTTCCAGTGCTCCCTCGGAATTCACGACATCCATGGTATGGAACTCAAAGATGGCACCATTTTCAGTCGAAAACCCATCCTCCATCATTTCAGTGCCCCAATTTTCCCAAGGAGCGGATGAAAAGGTTCCAGGATCGCATTTACCTCCACGGAGACCCAAAAGATGTGGATTTTACCACGAAACAATGGGGTGAGATCAGTTTTTAAAACTTTAAACCAACAAAGATGCGAAACTTTGGGGCTGGACTTTGAACCAAACATGTGGGATATCCATCAGAATGGTAGCAACTGAGAGTAATTAAAGCGGCTTTAACTATATTGCAAACACCGTGCTCGGTTGCCCAAGGAACGAAACTGAGTTCGCAGCCCAAAAATCCGATTGAAAAAAAACGCATAAGTCTTTCACTCACAGTCAGAGGATCATTCATAGATCCAAGATCTGGGAAAATTTCGGGGTGACGTTCCAACTTTCAGACACGCCCAACTATCATATCAAATGGCTTCCAAAAAAACAGCACTCTCCGGTTCAAAAAAGTTCAATCTCCACCATTTTCCCCCCATTTTTCCCCTCATTTTTCCATGGCTCCACTGGGTTCCCGGGCTGCATCCCAACTCTTTGGACCAGACCTCCCCGGGATGGCACTGATCGACACCGTCCAGCGGGATCCAGCCGCTCTGCAGTTGGCACAGCTTGCCCTGACACAGAACCTGGCGACTTTCGGAAGTCCTTCTAAAATGCAGCCTGATATTTCCATATATATATATACACAGAGTATACTTAAAATATGATATTATGTGACATGAAATGGAGGTTAGAGGCTTAGAACCACTGCCACAGATCCGATTTGCAAGACGTTCACTTTTTTGGGCAATTTTTTTGGGCATTGGGCAAGATATGGCAAGGTCAAAAAAATCCCCACTGCGGAGCCTTCTTCGATCCATCGGAGGTCCATAGGATGTCAGTCTGGCGACTGAAAAGTCGACCACAGGATCCATTGGATGTTTTGGAAGTCCCAAAGCATGGGGCTTAACCAAAATCAACCACTGCTTCAGTGACACCAATGGTTTAGTTCGACATTGTGTGAGTGCAAAACTTTGATAGTTTCAGCAACTAAAATTAATTGTGATGCAACGCCGACATAACGTTGGAACCAAAAATACTATTGCAAAGCTATCCAAGTCTGTGCCAATCTTCAGCAGACTGTATCTGAAATGGGCATCATTTTGACCCAGGCCCATCTGAGAAGTGCCTGAAACTGGAAGCCCTCTGCAGTGCGATATGCCAACCTTAGCAGTTTCACCGATCAGAATGGGCTGTAAACTAAACATGTTTAAAACCGGCAACATGTTTTGTTTTCACCAACTCAACTGTGGATAGGTCTCCGGGGGCCTCTTTTCACCTCTTCCAAAACCTCCACACGCTAATTCAAATTGATTTCGCAAAGTGAACACTCACCCAATTTTAGTTCCTATCAAACTTTGACTTTCACATCGCCAGATGATTTCACCTGGATTTCACCTGGATTTCATGGGGGATCCTTTCCCGTCGTCCACTCCCAACATCCAAGGCGCTCCCCAAAGGCCTTCTCTGGAGTCCCGGTGGCCTCGAAGCCCCGGTGGATCATAGATACTGCTAACATATAAAGTGTTAAAGTCAATGGATGAATCATACCATTATTGGATCATAATCACCATTATTCATATGAATCATATTGGATCATAGATACTGCAACACCTGATTCATCAACATTGATAATGTACTTTAACATCATATTAGATGTATAAATCAGGTCATTATTGGTAAAATATGACAGGTGAGGTCCATGTTACGAAGTGGGCCATGATCCAAATCACTTGCGGTTGCCAAACAAAAACCAAACGCCTCGCCGAATCTTGAACGTGAACACCGTGATTTTGAGATTTGAGATGATTTGGGACCATTTGTCATTTCTTTGAAACCACCAGAAGCCAATCACCAACATCACCAACATCACCCCAACCCAATGCAACTCGTTGGACGTGGCACTTGTCGCAGTAGGACGATGCCTTCCCGGTCCAGTTCGGTGCCGGTTGCGCTGCGCCACTGGCTTACGCGGCCCGTCTGGCCATAGAAATCCACTGCAAGCGACAGGTTGTACAAAGCCTGACATGGACAATTTAGATTTCGACTTTGAGGTCTGGAACAGACATTACTTTCCAATGAACATTACTTTTTAATACTTTTTAACTTCCAAACTCTCCAGCTTTGCTGCATTGGATCAAAAATCAAGTGGCAACCTTTCGGGTTTCGTTCCACATTGAACCTTCCCACTTTGGTGTGCAGAAATTTGACTGTACAGCTCAACAATGCTGTATAATCGTCCAACCATCATCATCTATCGTAGCTATCCAGTGATATAGCCCTTAAATTGATGGCATGACCATCCAGATATACGGCACAACTTCCGTTACCGCGATGTTTTTGGACCACCAAGGCGTGTGATGTGCCTGGCGCGATTCGAGGGTGCCCAGGTTGCTCAAGGAATTGTTCTGCTGCACTAAATAGGTATCGAGGATCTGTGCAATGAGCCATAACCTGTCGCGAAGCAGCGAAGAAAATGAGGATGGAGAGATGTGGGGATGAAGAACAGCATATGTTGGGAATGTGTGTGCTTGTATGTGTTTATACATGTACAGATGTACACACATATATATATATATACATACATCTATCATTATAGTAATATGATGTAATATGATGAATATGAATATGTAAAGATCTCGAAAAGTGGAAGATGCAACTTATGCAAGTATTTTCTCTCCCGGCAGTTGAGCAATGAAGCGACAAGATTTGGGTAGCGACTTCTGGGAACACAAGGTCTCTAAACGAAGAACAAGGATGGCAATGTGAAATGGGTGTGACCATAGTGACGCACGTAATCAACTCAACTTGAGACTCAAACTTGACCATCAGGACTTTGGAGTCAAGAAATCGCGATATCTTCACTGAGCGCCGGAACTCATCGCAGTTTCCAAAACCCTCTACTGGACTCATTTGATCACATTCTCCAAAAAAGCCTGTGGTGGTTTAATGTCCGGTCTCCAAGCAACCCATCGTAGAAATAGCCGGCCCACTGATGATTACCTCAGCGCAACCATGCGCAACCAATGTCGGTGCTTCATCCGTGCGTGGCCTTTGTGGCTTGAAACGCCAAGTTGCAGGAGCCCACGCCGTTACCAAAGGCTTCACACAGCTGGGTGTACTCCTTAGAGGCGACCAACATATCTTGAAATCTCTTGAAACATATCTTGAAATTGGATTTAAGGTTGGATGAACTTTAAGATATATTGATATCCAACTTTAAATCCATTGGATTCTCATGAAATATATCGATATATCGATGCATCATTGCTATTTGAAGTTGCTCTCTTCATCTCCCAAGGCCAAGTTCTGACCATGTCCTCACCAGGCGTCATCGTAGAGATCCCGCAAAGGTCGCCCAGACAAGGAGTGCACCTGGAGAGATGTGAAGAGAACTTGGGGAGGGACCTGGGGATTGACCCAATCAAATTTCGTGGAGAATTTTCGTAGTCTTCCCAAGAATTCTTGCTTCCGATGTTGATCCTGCGAGTGCAAAAGAGTTTTTAATGAGTCAGCTCCAAACATTCTCCTCTCCATCACCATTTAATGGGTAAAATCCCAACATTGTAGGTGGGCCCCCGAACATTTGTTGGTGCACTCTCGACAATTCTTGCTCAAACCCACATCTGTAGGTGAAGCTTCCATCTCCAAAAAAAATGAGCCTAACATCCGTTCAACCCTGAAATCTGTGAGACTCCAATCAGCCCTGCAATTTCTTGGCTAAACTCCAAACTTTTGCCATTGCCTCCTCAGTGCGTAGCATAGGCCCACGGTCCGCTGCGATTAGACCATAACCTGGACGAAAAACGTGGGGCACCAAGCAAGGTGCCTTCTACCCATCACAACATAGACTTGTTCGAACAATCAGGACTTTTGCCCACAACAGATTGGGGTTGGGTAAATGAGATTGAAGCCACTGAGCAACGGTAACAGCCAGGATCGGCATGTCCATGGGATGTCGATTGGGCAGTCTGATTGGAAGTATTTTTTCGTCCAGAGACTATAAATGCAACCAAGTACTCTGTTTTCAAAATTAACATAGCTTTGGAAATCAGAAAAACATGAAAAATACCAAGATTCCCAGCAGTCTTTGGAATGGATGTGAGAATTCTTCAGGCGTTCCACATTTCTACCCTTTGGCACAGGCACTGGCTCGTTGGAGCTCTGCAACGGTGCAGGGGCAAACAGCAGAGTTGGCGGTCAACTGTAGAAACTGTTCCTGGGACCATCCGGAAGTGCCGGATGGGCCGTCAAACATATGGTGATAACCCAAGTATTGGTGACATATTGGTGGTTGAAGTAAAAGAAACGATATGTTGAACATCTGACGTGGATCATATGACAGCAATGAAACATGATGAAACATGATGAAACATGATGAATAGCATCAGCAGAATCGAAACTTGGGGCTGTGACCTTTCTCAAAAAAGTGCAGAGATGACCGTGAAACATCGGGGTGCAACCAGCAAGAGGCTCAAAAGCGAAAGTTGAAGTGGCTAAGTGGCTGAACACAACAGTTGCATCATATTGGCTTTGTCTGAAAATAGGCTAGTCACCATCCATTCCATTGATGAATCCTCCTCCACTTTTTTTTTGGGGGTTCAGGTTCTCATTTTCAGAGGCTTTTTTATGGCCCAGCGGCATTCCACCAACCCGAAGCCACAAACCAGTTGTAGTCCTCGGGATGATCCCCCATGGAGAAACCGGGTCGAGGGACTTTCAAAAGGTCACTGTTGATGAGGGTCACTGGGGATTCATCCTCTGTTGCAGCTCCTCATAGGTGGTTAAAAAACGTCCGTTTACCTTTTACCTCGAAGTTTCTTCTTAACCGTCTTAACCCAGCTAAATGATCGAATGTTTGACAAGGTAAATATTGAGTGGGTTTAATTCTGCTTAATGGAATGTGAATCGATGAAACCCACCATCATCTTTCCATCTTTGTTGCATCTGCTTCGGGATTTTGGACTTTGGCTTCCTGGGGACTCCGTCAAGGCTCTGGAGGCTGCATACCGTCTTTGTATGCTTGGCATAGGACCATAGCACCCTCCAGCCTCGGTAGACGGGAATCTTTCTATCGAACAGCAAAACTGAGGTGGTTTGCTGCTCCAACATCCAGATCCTTTGGTTCTGGCTTAGCACCAAACATGAGTATCATGAGTTTGGCTTCGAAGTCAACAAGGTGTTCAGTTTGGGCCAAGCTATAGACTATAGATCATCAATTCAATCAGGTTCCCTCAGGTCAACTTCAGCCCAACCCCAGTGATTTTTCCGGGTGGTTCCATTCACCCTTTTAGATATATATATCGAACAAACACCCTATCACCCTTGAGGCTTGAACTTGACAAAATTGTTTAGTATCCACGAGGTGTATCTTTCTGCTATGGGCATAAATCAATTGAAACTGCAATCCAGTTGTGTTGGAACCAGCAAAGACGTTCAGGATTCAGGCTCCATAGAACAGCGTACGCATCAGAAAAAATCTTGGAACATCTTGGAACTACAGAACCTTCATGGATTGGCGTTTCCAATTTGGTGACCCCCCAAGAACCGAAGAACATGGAAGAACAATGAGATTAATACAGATCGGACATATCGATCTTAGGTTCTTCCCATGACCGAGTGACTCGTACAACGCCATAAAGTTTATCCTTGCGTCGTGATGATGCGTCTCCTGACCACAGGGCTGTGTGACCCATTGACCCGTTGTGCCAGACAAGTGGCAGGAAGTGTTGGTAAACGGTAGTCCCAATTCCCTTTGTGCAAAGTGTTGGTGGCAACGAACTTCTCCTGCCTTCTGTTCGATGTTTCCTTTTTCGATTGGTAAGATTCTTTCTTTCTCTCTCTATCCTGGGATTTGGCTTCAGCACTTCATCTGCAGCGTAGCAATGCGTAGCAACTGACCTTCAGCACCTCAAGCACCTACATTTTCAGCGGAGTATAATTTGGTTAAGGCAATAATAAACCATCCCCCAGTCATCACCATAAATGGGTGGTATATTTACCATTCCAATATATGGGCGGTTTATGATTATTACTCTTTATACCAGCTATGTTTACTGGTTTTTAACACCGATTTATGGTGATATTTTAACCACATTACCCTCTGGTAAACATACAAACAACTATGACCATTTTGAATGGGAAAACTCACTATTTCTATGGCCATGTTTGAACATGGCTATGTTATTTTAACTACATTAATATCCATTAATATCCATTATTAATATCCATTAATATCCATTAATATCCATTAATATCCATTAATATCCATTAGTATCCATTAATATCCTGTGATTAGTAACCACTGGTATCCATCAGCCCCGTGGTATTTTCGCCTCGCCTCAGCGACGATTTTGGCGTCGTCCAAGGTCTTGACGCTCAGCGTGGTCAGCACCGTCCAGGGGTATCTGCCCGCCGTGAGGTCCTGGTTAAATACCAGCGATACTTGGAAACCAAGAAGGATATATATATATACTATAATGGATATTGGGATATATTGGGATATATTCATGGAAACTATGAACATATATGGATATTAATTGGGATATTGATTGGGAAATATTGGGATATTAATGGATACTATTACATACTATTACATACTATTGTTGTTATTGACAATGAGGAACATGTATTAATGATAATGACTGATAATTATTATTGCTATTACTCTTATGATTGGGAGTATCACTCATATTTACTATATAAATGTGCTACTGATGATTTCTACCATTCTTTCGGATCAAGATGCCTATGGAAAATCTTGAGTTTCGGTTCTCAGGCGGCTGTGCGGCGATTTCACCAACAAGCTGGCCACAATAGCTGGGGTTGAACTTGTAACTAGGACGATGGGAAAAACCCACCGATGAAAGTGTTGAAATATGTTGAAATCCTGAACGCGGCAAAACTGAAGGCTTGGGAGGGTTAACCCTGAGCTTGTGGCTTTTCAGCAACACAAAATCACCTTGAAGATCATGATGCAAATTCAATCAGAGAACATCAAGGTATCCCATCAGCAGAAAAAATGTGGTATAATGTTCATCCATCGCGAGAATGGAAATACTATTGGGATACTATGGGATACTACTTCTTACCTACTGCCATTGGGCCACGTGCTCTGTCGCTGATCCGCCCTGTGCCTGATCCAAAAGATCCAAAAAGAGATCCTTCGCTGCGTGATTGATGTCCCTGGCAGCTGCGACAGTCGGCAACAGTCGGACACTTGAACTCTTGATTCACCGTCTCCGCAAAGGGCAGCCACAGAAATAGCGTGTGAAACTGATATCGACGATATGGATCCATCATGCGAGCATGATGCGAGGAAACCCCTGAGCGTGGCATTTTGTTGAGAACAGCGTCGAAAAGTTCCAAAGTTTGATCCAACCCCTGAATCTTCAAGCTATGTCGCTATGTCGCATCACACCCCGTGCCTATAGCCATAGACCACGCCGACACGTTTGAAGGAAAGAAATTTCATCAACTCGTAAATCGCCACAACGTTGTAAAACGTTGATGGGGCCATACCTTGGCTCCAATGATGACCAATGATGACAGCAACGTGGTTCAGACAAGTTGAACATGGGCAAAGGCATCCTAAACAATGGCCCTGTCTGAAATGTTCTCTGGGTTTGCTTCAAACCATGGGGAAACTGGTTTAATATTACTAAATTACTGTCACATGCTTTCACCATCTTTTTCTGGGTCGATTTTTCCGTAGATCAGCGATGGAAGATCCAACCCCCTCAACATCCTCAGCATCCTCAACATCCTCAGCGCCCCACGTGTGAAGAAGGGATAACGTTCGCTATCCCTTAGCCTGGCAGAAACACAGCCAGGCCCTACCTGCGTCGCAACGATCAAGGCGATCCATGGGGATCCAAGCAAGGGGATATCATGGAATTGTGGGAGATAGGCTTTGGAAACTTAAATGCCAACTTGTGGGCTGTTCAATACCACCTTGCTGTGCGGATAAATATCAATGCTATGAGTTAAAAAGAAGTACACTTTGGGATTTTGTGATAGCTACCAGTATTTTCTTGTTGCGGCTTACTCACTCAAGCGGATGAACATCAACTTGTGGCATGCGCTTATGCGGCAAATGCAAATGCAAACTGTTGTTTTCTGCCTGGATTTCCCTACCATTCTTGTCGTTAAAGCCAGCATTTTCCAACGATAAGATGATCGTCCCTGGCCATTGGCCGTTGTTGCTACAACGAGGAGGTAACGAGATAACACAAATAACAATACAACGGCCAATAGTTCTGATACCTTTGAAGTGGTTTTCGGCGAAAAAACGAATATCATTTAATCATGAACTGCGGAATGGTTTACAGTCAGTGCCAGAATTATAGAACGGAGCCAGGAGGACAAAAGTACGGTAAAATACCGTACCTTTGTCCTCCTCCGGGTTCCGATTCGGAGCGGAATCGGGAAATTTAATTATAGAACGGGGAGGAGGACAAAGGTACGGTATTTTACCGTACTTTTGTCCTCCTGGCTCCGTTCTATAATTTCTGGCACTGACATGATATTTACTGCATATTTGTACATATACAATCTATAAAATGAAGTAAAATGAAGATTTAATGAGGATTTAATGAGGATTTGATGAGGAAATGAAGATAAAATGCAGATAAAATGAAGATTTGATGAGGAAACGAGGATAAAATGAGGATAAAATGAGGATAAAATGAGGATAAAATGAGGATAAAATGAGGATTTAATGGGGATTTGATGAGGAAATGAGGATAAAATGAAGATTTAATGAGGATTTAATGAGGATTTGATAAGGAAATGAAGATAAAATGATGATAAAATGAGGATTTGATGAGATAACGAGGATAAAATGAGGATGCTGTAACATGAGGATAATGGGAAATGTGGGAAAAATGGGGGAAAACAGAATTATAGAACAATAGCGCTCCGACAAGAATTATAGAACGACGAGAAAAGCTAGGAGTAAATTCAGATACGTTTTTTTTCTACCTTCCGAGGAAAACAGAATTTAGAACAACAGGGTACGGTAAATAACCGTACCTTCGTACTCCTCAACTTCCGTTCTATAATTCTGTTTTCCCCCATTTTTCCCACATTTACCAGGTGATTTTCTTAGATTTCATGGTGATTTTATAAGATTTCATGGTAATTTTATGGGATTTCATGGTAATTTTATGGGATTTCACGGTGATTTTCTTAGATTTCATGGTGATTTTATAGGATTTCTGGGTTCTATAATTCTATAATTGATTTTTCCGTTCTATAATTAATTTTTCCGTTCGACGGAAAAATTAATTATAGAACGGGGCCCGGGGAAAATTAATTATAGAACGAAAATGGGAAATGTGAGAAAAATGGGGGAAAACAGAATTATAGAACAACAGCGCTCCGACAAGAATTATAGAACGACGAAAAAAAATTAGGAGGAAGATCAGATACATTTTTTTTTCATACCTTCCGAGGAAAACAGAATTATAGAACAACAGGGTACGGTAAATAACCGTACCTTCGTCCTCCTCAACTTCCGTTCTATAATTCCGGCACTGACCATATGCAATCCACTGCAACATTGGGTGTCTGGTTCAGTAAGTTCACCCCCCACAGCTAACCATCAATTCTTCTGCTGTGGTGCCTGCAAAATCTGAAAGAAGCGCGCGGCATCGTTTACCGCTGCGCAGGCTGCACTGCAAGAATCACTCAATAAAATGTGTTTCCTGGGCATTTGGAGTTGGGTTTTGATTGGACAAATTCAGGGCAGTAGCGCGTTTACCAACAAGAATGAGGGAAAACACATACATCAAATGGGATATAACTATGAATAGTTAGGATCCATGAATAGGAAATGTCTTAGCCTCTAGCCACGCGGGCTTTCAAATGGCTTGTCATTTGTAGTGCTTGAGCGTCCATCCGCTGCAAAGGTCCTTTTTTTGGGGGCCAAACCCAATGTACCCATGTCATATAATCTATATACAACATCCTCAAATGTCTATGCCCCGACCTTTTCCCAAAAAGGTGTGAAATCATTTATCCAATTCGCTCCACGGGGTCAATGTGAGCCATACTTATATCTTTCAAATTTATCTGTTCACCATTGTAGGAGTGGTGCAAGATCTTGATACCCCCAATACCCAGTGTACTTCATATTGCCTCATATGGGGGTTTCCTAAGTTGTGGGGGTACTCCCAGTTCTCATCCATTTTACATCATTTTGTTAAGATTTTCCATTATCAACCATCCATTTTGGGATACCCTCTGGTAATTTAACATAGCTAATGAACATACCCCATTTAGTTCGTTGATTTACCCATTAATAGCATGTTGATTTTCCATAGTTTTTGTATGTTTACCAGAGGGTAATCCCCATAAACCCCCCATAGATTCATCCGTAGCCCCCGTTGCAACAAGGCATCTGGGGCCCTGTGGAGCAGGTCGCTTGGGTTGCGAAGGTGGCATCGGACACCTCGGTGGAGATTTTGGTGGTGAATCTTTTGGTCATTTGATGTGTTTTTATATGTTGCTATAGAATTTAATGACCAAAAGATTTACCAAAAAGAATCTTTTGTCATCATTTTATATGTTGCTATAGAATTTAATGGCATGCAATCTTATGTTCTTCTTGGAAAAATGATCAAATTGGGATGGTCATCCGGATTTTGAAGAGAATTTTCGACCTTTGGAAGAATTTTGCACCGTTTCCCATGTTATCATCGATTGCCCGCTGAAAAAACATACCATGGATCACCATGGGAATGCAAGCGATACTTAGAGGTGCAGTTGAGGTCAACAACGCGTATTTTTTATTTATATATATTTATATCACCCTTGTTCTAAGATTAGATTCTAGGGGGTTATATAATAATGTATATATATACACTGAGGTAAAAGTAGATGGCTCAACTCAAAAACCAAAATACCCATAAGATGGCACAGCGCGCTGAGAAAGAAAACGGCGCTATTTTAGCTGGAACATAAAACGAGGTCCGCCAATTGAAGAAAAAATCGCCCTACTTTAAAATGAAAAGGTAGATGGCGCAACTGCCACTCCAGTAGATGGACATAAGGGTATTGTTAACTAAATTTACTACATTTCCTATCATTTTTGCTTGTATATACGGTGAAATTGCACAAATTTGTATTGTATAAAATGAGTTGCGCCATCTATGTCTCTTAAATCCCATTCAAACGCCAGAATCATTTTTTCGGTGAATTCAAAAATGAATTGCGCCATCTACGTCCCTTAAATCGCATTCAAATCTTTCAAACTTTCAGTGCCACGCCTTAAAAATGAACCACTGAAGGTTTTAAAACTGATTGTGGACAGAATTGATGGATGCAAATTTCATTGTTCAACATATTTTGACAAACATATATTGGAAAAACACTTTTAAAAATTCATTGCCATACCTTGAAAATGAGTTGCGCCATCTATGTCCCTTAAATCCCATTCAAACGCCAGAAATTTATTTTTCGATGGGTTCAAAAATGAGTTGCGCCATCTATGTCCCTTAAATCGCAGTCAAATCTTCGAACAAATTCATTGCAATACCTTGAAAATGAACCACTGAATGTTTTAAAACTCATTGTGGACAGAATTTTATGGACAGAAATGATAGAAATCTCATTTTTCAACATATTTTGACAAAAATATATTGAAAAAAAAATACAATTGCATTGCAATACCTTGAAAATGAGTTGCGCCATCTATGTCCCTTAAACCCCATTCAAACACCCGAAATTTCTTTTTCGATGGGTTCGAAAATGAATTGTACCATCTATGTCCCTTAAATTGCATTCAAATCTTCGAAAAAATCCATTGCAATACCTTGTAAATGAACCACTGAATATTTTAAAACTCATTGTGGACAGAACTTTATGGATAGAAATGATAAAAATATCATTTTTCAACATATTTTGACAAAAATATATCGAAAAAACTTTTACAATTTCATTGCAATACCTTGAAAATGAGTTGCGCCATCTATGTCCTTAAACCCCATCCAAACACCAGATTTTTTTTTTTTCGATGGGTTCAAAAATGAATTGTGCCATTTATGTCTCTTAAATTGCAGTCAAATCTTCGAACAAATCCATTGCAATACCTTGAAAATGAACCACTGAATGTTTTAAAACTGATTGTGGACAGAATTTTATGGATAGAAATGATAGAAATCTCATTTTTCAACATATTTTGACAAAAATATATTGAAAAAAAAATTACAATTGCATTGCAATACCTTGAAAATGAGTTGCGCCATCTATGTCCCTTAAATCCCATTCAAACGCCAGAAATTTATTTTTCGATGGGTTCAAAAATGAGTTGCGCCATCTATGTCAATTAAATCGCAGTCAAATTTTCGAACAAATTCATTGCAATACCTTGTAAATGAACCACTGAATGTTTTAAAACTCATTGTGGACAGAATTTTATGGATAGAAATGATAGAAATCTCATTTTTCAACATATTTTGACAAAAATATATTGAAAAAAAAATACAATTGCATTGCAATACCTTGAAAATGAGTTGCGCCATCTATGTCCCTTAAACCCCATTCAAACACCCGAAATTTCTTCTTCGATGGGTTCAAAAATGAATTGCGCCATCTATGTCCCTAAAAATGACATATTTTTTGCAATCTTCTGCACTGGTTTCTCCCCATTTTTTTTCTCAACATCAAGCTGCCTTTTTGGGACATAGATGGCGCAACTCCCACTCATTCGCCAAAATCAGAATGTCACATAGATGGCGCAACTCCCTCATATCTCCCGACATCCATCAACCAAATATGCCACATCGATCAGAGTTATCCCAAGACAGGAGGCAGTTGCGCCATCTATGTTCCAAAAAGGACAACTCTGATGTCTTTCCTGGTGGTTTTGCTTCCTGTCTTGGGATAACTCTGATCGATGTGGCATATTTTGGTTAGGTTGGTTGATGGATGTCGGGAGATATGAGGGAGTTGCGCCATCTATGTGGGCATTTGCAGCCTGATTTTGGCGCTATTTTTTGCAATCGTCTACGCTCTGGCAATTTGCCACTTTGCCACTTTGCTTGGCCCCGGAAAACGGACCCCACCAAGTCCCCCGAAAAAGAGTTTTTTCCTGAGTTTGCCAAAGGAAACTTGACACTTGGTGGGGGGTCCGTTTTCCGGGGCGAACCCAAGTGGAAAATTTGCACTGCGCTGGTTTCCCCCATTTTTTTCTCAACATCAAGCTGCCTTTTTGGGACATAGATGGCGCAACTCCCACTCGTTCGCCAAAATCAGGCTGGGAATGCCCACATAGATGGCGCAACTCCCTCATTTCTCCCGACATCCATCAACCAACCGAACCAAAATATGCCACATCGATCAGAGTTATCCCAAGACAGGAGGCAGTTGCGCCATCTATGTCCCAAAAAGGGACAACTCTGATGTCTTTCCTGGTGGTTTTGCTTCCTGTCTTGGGATAACTCTGATGTCTTTCCTGGTGGTTTTGCCTCCTGTCTTGGGACAACTCTGATGTCTTTCCTGGTTGTTTTGCCTTCTGCCTTGGGATAACTCTGATCGATGTGGCATATTTTGGTTAGGTTGGTTGATGGATGTCGGGAGATATGAGGGAGTTGCGCCATCTATGTGGGCATTTGCAGCCTGATTTTGGCGAATGAGTGGGAGTTGCGCCATCTATGTCCCTGAAAATGACCTATTTTTTGCAATCGTCGTCTACGCTCTGGCAATTTGCCACTTGTGCCACTTTGCTTGGCCCTGGAAAACGGACCCCACCAAGTCCCCCGAAAAGTCGCTTTTTCCTGAGTTTGCCAAAGGAAACTTGACACTTGGTGGGGTCCGTTTTCCGGGGCGAACCCAAGTGGAAAATTGGCACTGCGCTGGTTTCCCCCCATTTTTTTTCTCAACATCAAGCTGCCTTTTTGGGACATAGATGGCGCAACTCCAACTCGTTCGCCAAAATCAGGCTGCAAATGCCCACATAGATGGCGCAACTCCCTCATATCTCCCGACATCCATCAACCAACCTAACCAAAATATGCCACATCGATCAGAGTTATCCCAAGGCAGAAGGCAAAACCACCAGGAAAGACATCAGAGTTGTCCCAAGACAGGAGGCAAAACCACCAGGAAAGACATCAGAGTTGTCCCTTTTTGGGACATCGATGGCGCAACTTCCGTCATTTTGCCAGCAAAGGTCGAGACGCTTTAAAACCAAATCTTAACAAGTGACCTGAGGAACCGTTTCTTGACGGCAAAAACGGTTCCTCAGGTCACTTGTTAAAGTTGGGTTTTAAAGCGTCTCGACCTTTGCTGGCTCAAAACAACTTCCGTCATTTCGCCAAAATCAGGCTGGGAATGCCCACATAGATGGCGCAACCCCGGGAGTTGCGCCATCTATGTCCCAAAAAAGCAGCTTGATGTTGAGAAAAAAAAATGGGGAGAAACCAGCGCAGAAGATTGCAAAAAATATGTCATTTTTAGGGACATAGATGGCTCAACTGCCCTGTTTTAAAGGGAGTTGAGCCATCTATCCCCCATTTTTTTTTTGACATAGATGGCGCAACTCAAGATTCTGAGCCATCTACTTTTACCCCAGAGTATATATACATACATATCCAAACTTGTGTTGTAGATTGTTATAGGGGATGATATCCAGATAGAGATCATTGCCGTAATATGAACCCGCGCTCGACGCCAAGCTGCAGAGCATTTGGAGTCTACCAGGTGGACTTTCAGGCGATAGCCTGGCACATTCAACTCGTTGATTTACCCATGACACATGATGGTGATTTTCCAGTGATGATTCGTTATGATAGTTTAATGGAGGGTAGATGATGTAGATGGAAACCTGCGAAACCGCGCACCTTTGAGCTGTTTCTGTCAAGGACGAATTCAACTTTGGTCCATTCCCCATGAAAAAGAAACCGCAGATGACCAAAATCTGTGTGCATCCTCACGGATCCGATCATCCGATCATCGCACCTGGCAACAAATTGCTATTCTCGATATCCTGCGCCGATTTGGAGCGAAATTCTGGGATCTACTCACCGATTTTTTTTTCAAAGACCGGAATCTAGCTGCCTGTATGATTCATCCATCATCCAATGGGAACTTTTCCCTACGATTCAGGATCCAACCAGGAAAATCGTCATTGAACCATGAACATCATCATCGAACCGGGATAAAATCCATGAAGAATCAGTTAAAATAACCATCAACTTCCCAATCTATTGGACCATCCCATTCGAATCGATTAAACATCCCATTTCTCCCAGTTTTTTCATGGCCATAACATGGCCGTAACAATCGGCTATCGCTGGCGATCACCGGTTGATCAGCGCTTGCTTGCGCCTGTGTGGCCTGGGCGATGGAGGGTTCCACCATGGTCATCAAATCTCCGAGGCCTCCACTGTACCTGAGCCGATGCAACATATCGTTGGTGAATGGTTCATAGCAATCATGGAGATCACTTTTCAAGTTCATGATGTTTTTTTGGGAAAAAAACAATGGCCGATGCAACATGGTGAATGTCTCCATGTTGGTGGCGAATGGCGATGGAAATCTGAGGTGATGGCGAAGATCGAACTGGTGAAAAATTTATCAAAGGATTATCAGAGTTGCGTTTCACCGTTTGATTCATGAATAAAACCTGAAACTTGTGAAAGTCATGGTGGATCATCCCATATTGAACGCAAAACAACATGTTTGATAGCAACCAGGTATCTGTGAATAAGAGAGTACGTACAACGAACACAAAATTTGGTCGTTGGGGTCAACTTCCCACATGAAATCATAGATGGTAAGGGATACCATTCCAAAAAAAATCAAAGATGTGTCCAAACCTCAACAGATTCTTGTTTCGGGACCTTCCATCATAAACGACATGTTATCTCCATGTCTTCAGTTGGGAAAAGTTTTCCCCGCTCACGTCACAGTGGAAGCCCGCCTGAATTATTAGGCCGTGGTCACGTCGCTGCGTTGTTGTTACAATATTGCCAAACAATTATTAAGGGCCCGTGGGGATTCACAATAGCATGTGAATCATCATTCGTGGGCCTTGTTCGCAGCTGCTGGAAATGAGAGATCTGGACAAATTGCAATCTTATTTCCAAATCACAAGTCAGAACACAAACCATATTTTCGGGGTTGGAATCCCCCATATGGCCCCCAGTAACAACCAGAATATCTAGCAAACAGACGTTCCATCCCCAAAACTATGGACAAGTCTAGGTTTAAGCCATCCCCATATCATGCTGATGGAGATAGAATCCCATTTAATAAGCCATGACATAAAATATCAGAGTTCCATTAGGCTAACTTTTATACCCATTAATATTACTACCCATTGAATTCCATTCAGGTAACGATCCATCCCAAGCGTCGGGTTGATCGCAGCCACGTTGATGTCCACTAAATCCGTTCCGCGGTGGCTGCTGGCTGTGGGACTCACCACGCAGTTGTTGCTGTAGTATCCTTGGTGCTGGACCAAGGTGGCAATGGACTGGTGGTTTCAAACCAAAGAATCACGGTTTTGGGAACAACAATCTGGATGTTGGAATCAACAATGGTGGTTTTACCCATCAGAAATTCCGATTTCCAATCCAACATGGTGATTTTGCCATGTTTCAATCAAACAGGGTGGTTTATCCATTAACAATGGTGGTTTAATCATCAACAATCCTGATTTCACCATCGACAATGATGATTTTACAATAAGAAATGGTGGTTTACCGATCAAACATAGTGATTTTGCCATCAAAAAAAAAGTAAATAGTGGTGAACTACCTACCGATAACTGGTTGGTAGTGTCAATAACTGAAAACATGTGAAAGCCATGGGTGATTACCATCCAGAAAGATGGAAATAAGGACAAATCATGTTTGAAACCACCAGCTGAATAAGGATGCAAGTACCGATTCCGGATTCCATTTCAGTAATTCCCAAAACGAGATTGAGACATCCATACAAACACCACTGAAACAGTGAAACAAGGGAAAACTACCAAAATTCGAACAAACGACTGCAGTTTTCTGCGCAGCATGACAACTGCGTCAGTTTCACAACCCTTGCAAGAATCACAGACAAACACAATATTTTTCAACGACAGTCAGAACTGCAACCGTTGATTGGGGCCTCAATGGATCAACCAGCCAGAGGAAGTATAATTCCAGGTTGATACTACCAGTAATTGCCGAGTAAATAGATCTCACTGTTCATTTTCCTAAACCTCGCAAGGTTGGCAAAATGATATTCCCAACATTTCAGCCACCCATATCAAAATATGTCCCCCGGCGATTCAAAAAAACATCGGTGCCACCCAAAATGCGACGATCTAAAATAGGGAAACTCCCCCCAAATCTGATGGTGTACAACAGTTTTGCGCATTGAAATCGCAATTTTGGTAAATTCGGAATCATTCTAGGCAACGCCAATATCCCCCCAGTATATGCTGGTGGTGCAGCCAGTGATCTGCAAGGCCATTCCGAGTTGTCGGCTGCTTTACCTCGATCGATTGCAGCGGCTGGGAAAGACCCGGCAAATTGGAATGGTATTACATAGATATACGTAACTATTCAGCATGTATATGTACAAATATGTGTCATGCACAGATATATATATATATAATATGTACTTACGTATAAAAATAAATAAATTAATACATGCATAAATGAACAAGTATATTATATACACACACACACACCTTTCGGCAAGCAAAATTGATAATGAAACATCCCCTTTAAAAGGTCTGGGAAATCCACAAATATTGTAAAACAGACTTCCTTTAGATTCAACTTGGCATCCCAGGAGGGAACGATGCTTCTGATTCCACCTAAACCTTTGGCCGTTTTTCCAGCACTGTTCTGGGAATCAAACAACTGTGCAACTGAAGCTGAGATGGATCAGAGTGGTTCCTGCCAAATCATCGAACGACCAAAAGCAAACACGATAAGGAGACATCTTTTTTTTTGACCTCAAAAAACAATCGAATCGAAACAAGAAGGCATGATATTATGAATTTTCCAATATTACCGGTTGGTTGGGTTAGGTTGGGTTGCTGGGTTGGGTTTCCACCGGGCAAACGTGCCACCCCCCCCCTGTGGCCATGCCACAGATTGCTGGACACAATGGCGTGGCTGCTCCCTGTGCTGCAAGCGCGGCAACGAAGAAACGCCGTGCCATGTCCGACGCGGCGGTTCGAAGGCAGCCATAATGCTAGACAAATTGCCGCGGATCAACATGAAATTGGAGGCTTTCATCAACATGGGAGGCTCTCATGGATCAACCAGCTCCCGGACTGCTGGGCATGATGGGCATGACGGGCATGCGAATTTCTTCAAACTTGGTCACTCAGGATTGTTTCTGGGTCAGTCATTGGGCTTGAAACTGCTGCAAACGGCAGCCTACCCAACGACGCAGCGGATCGACGAAGGCAACAAAGTGCTTCAAGAATTGAAAAACCAAAGACTTTGACCCACGAAGATTTCCATTGGAAGACAATGATAGCTGAGCAAAACCCGAACTTGCCACTGATCAAGTCTTGAGCTTCAATTTTCGAAGCACAATGGTTGGAGAGCTTTGCAGCCAACCGGAGTTGATGCAGCATAATTCACTAGTCAAAAGTTGGATTGACAAAATTTAAAGTCCAACAGAGAGAAGTGCGTGATATTGTTATATCAACTCATATCCCCGTATCACTTGGTCATAGTGGGTCTTTCTCCTTACATGCGGGTTAAACCGCATTTCCCTCACCTCTCTGAAAATCTGCCCTCAGTATCTGCGACCCCTGAAGGTCCAGGGCTTGGGGCCTGGACAAACATTGCAATCCCTGGGGTAGAAATGGAAATAAGGTAGGTATGGATGTCTTTTGAACCGTTGTTAGCCAATTGTGGAAGGCACCGGCATGTTCTCTTCTTCTATAGGAGCTAGCGCGTGGTCTGGTGATGTTAAATATGGGTGGCCTAGACAAATACATACATACATACATACATACATACATGCATGCATGCATGCATACATACAGACATACATATATACATGCATGCATGCATACATGCATACATACATACATACATACATACTGTAGCTGTTTAGTGCTCAGCACGTTCAATGTGCAGTGCACGACTGGCGTCATCAATTTTTTGAAATTCTTTGAGCCAATGCAGCAGACGGGTTCTTGTTCTCACGCCTTTCCGGGTTCAACTTCCTAAATCCGCCACCACTTGCCAGCGTCGCTGAAATGACCGTGGTTCGATTGCCAGCATTGGTTCTGCAGGTTGCCAATCCAAGTTCCCGCAGCCACTTTTTTTACCACCAACTGACAGGGAGCTGTCCCTTTGCTAGCCTCGGAAACATGTCATCCCAACCTACCCAGAAACAAAAGTATGGATGTGTACGTGTGTATGTATACATACATACATACATACATGCATACATACATACATACATACATACATAAATACATACATACATACATACATACATACATAAATACATGCATACATACAGACAGACAAACAGCCAGCCAGCCAGCCAGACATTACATACATTACATACATTACATACATTACATACATTACATACAGTACATACATTACATACATTACATACATACACATACATACACATACATACACATACATACACATACATACATACAGACAGACAGACAAACATACGTACTTACGTGCATACATACATGCATACGTACGTACATGTATACATACATGCATTCATTCATACAGACACACATACATACATACATACATACATGCATACATACATACATACATACATACATAAATATTTATGTATATATGGTCTCGTGTTCCATGTTCCTACCCCCCATCCCCCCCAATGGTATGGGTCCAGAGGAAGCACCCCCTTCCCTTCTATTTGCAAGCTGTTGGCAGCATTTCTGAGGTCCAGCCTCGTATTTGCTAGGTCTTTGCAGCATTTCTGACTACCAGCCTCGCATTTACTGGGTACATGCTACCTTTTAGACGACCTACGTAGCACACATACTCCCTCAAAGTACCTACGTGCTACCTATAGTCATATATACATGTGCTATGTATCTACTTCCTATTTACTACCTGTGTGCTCTCACAACACTACATGTGTTTAAGTACCTACCATGCATTTCAATGATGCCATACATACCATACATACCATACGAACTTTGACCATACATGCCATACCTATCATACCTATCATGCATACCACACATACCATACATATAAAACATAATGACCACACCTCCCATACATACAATACCAAACATACATGCCATACATACCATACCTACCTTACATAGAAAACATTCCATACCCATCATACTAACCATACAGACCATACAGACCAGACAGACCATACATACTGTCACATCAAACATACCATACCCAACAGACTTACCTACCATACCTACCATCCATACAATACCACACCCCCACCACACCACAGGGGGGGAGGGGGACAGTACCACACCCCGACCACACCACAGGGGGGGAGGGGGACAGTACTATGGCTGACCCATGACCATGGCCGGAGGGGGAGGGGGGTTGGAACGCTGGACCATATATATATATATGTATGTATACAATCTCATATATATATATATATGTGTGTGTGTGTAAATATGTACATATTGAGTTTGATGCTATTAACACCTATTAACGAAGGTAGTATTGAAATTACCAGGTACTATTTGGTGCGACAATTTGTATTTTGTGGTGAAGAGTGCTCATTATGGTGGGAAGTCGATGGGCTTTGGTGGTAGTTTTCCACTGGCGGGTCACATATGTTCCCCAGGGTCCTCACTGTCATCCTGCAAAAATATTTCACATGAATATCACACATATCATAAATATAAATACCCCAACACTGGGAAAACATCAACACCCAAGAAGTTCCAACGCCAAGAAGCGCATCTGGTCATGGCATTGACCCGAACTTCAGGTCCTCAACCGGACAAGGCAGGCCCTGGATTTGACATACGTTTTCTCCCCAAACCTTCCCGCAACTCCATGTGAATATGTGACATATGCGTAAATATTATGCAAATGCAAGTGCACGAAAAAGACTGAGAAGCATCTTTGACATCTATTGAAACAGCAAACATCATTCCGTTCCTGTCCTGTTGCGAGGCCATTTACATCCCCATGAGTTTTGGCAATATCGGTGTTGAAACATCTTCAGTCTCACCATTTCTATTGCTGATGCAAGCCCCATATCCACCCATATCCATCATGACCAGAGAAATGAAAACAACACAGCACGTCCTATAAGAAATTCCGCTTCTATCCCCAGTTTCTGTGCATTTTTAAAATTAGTTTTCAGACATCGACATCTCAGTTTTCTTCCAAACCCATTGTTCGATTTTCTGGGATCCACCCACCAGATCCCACCACTTCCTGTCTCCATCCCGCCCCATCCCCAGCCTTGCGCTTTTTGCTCGGCAGGCCACTCCTGATGGTTGTCGTATTGAAACTGATGAGAAAGGAATAACATATTTAAAGACCTTGATGGATACAAACATCTATGTGGAGATTTTGACTGTATGGTTGAGATGGTTGAAGATGGCAAACATACTGCTTAAAAACAGTAGTAATCACGCATGCTTTAGAACCAGTAGATACACAAACCAAATGCTTGCACTTGTTTAATAGTGTCAGTGCCCGCAGGCAGTTGATGAATGGTTTCAGGTAAATCAACGGAGTGCTGTTACAAAATCATAGCATTCACATGTATGATGCATAATATGAGAAGTTAAAAAAGTGCAAAAGTCTGTATTTTTCTGTAAAGACTGATGCCTTTTACGTTGCAAACAGGGATTCAAGAAGAGTAAGGAAGGTTCTGGATTCAAACACCAACACAGGTGGTTGGAGAGCAGACGGTAAGAATGTGACACGCTTTCTTGAAATCTATCCGTCGAAACACACTAAATACCCAAGATACCAGTTTACAAGAGTGAAAGACTCAATGTAGAGAATGAATGGGATACGGAGAGCGTATGCAAAAGAATAATCAAATTGAAACACAGCATGATAAGATCCAAGTATGTGTCAGCAACAGGCAAACACCTTCGAGAGATATCACAAACTCTCTTCATCGTGCCTCAAAATGATAGTGTGAGAAGCCACTACATTAAAGACCTTTGTCAGCATCCCTGCTCATAAGGGAGATATCTTGCCACAGTATGATCACCCTCAAGGTTTCATGCAGCCGTGTTTGATGAAATCCATATTTACCGTACATCTTGAACAAGATTAGGCAGGTGGTTAATGGAAGTCTAGGCCTGTCATAGAGGTAGGGCACAGGCTAACCATTCAGCTCACAACCTTCCGGTGAACCCCTGCCACATGGCTTTAGGTGGAAAGTCAAGCATGGCCTACTGATTGTGGTCAAGTCCAGCATCAAACCACGGAATATTTATTTGGAGATTTTGGAGCCACAATGCAAAAGGTGTTTGATTTGATCATCGTTTGATCCATAAAATCCGGCAGTACAATGTCTGGCTCAAAAGTGAAAATCAAGGCGTTTTGATGGAATTCTCAACGCAGAAAACCACGGCGACCAGAGGTCAGGACTCCATGTTCCTCCAACGGGAGCAGCTTCACACGTACAGGGATGGCCTACAGTCAAGACCCAAGGTTCAGAGCCAAGGTTTGATGTGTCTGATGTGTGTCATGGTATGGGCGTATGTACTGTATATATCTGTATATGTCAATGTGATGTATCGGTGGGTTTAAAAATACTATGTATGTTGGGATTTGGGATCAAATGCTAAGCATCTTTGAGATTTGAGTGTAAGTTGTCCCTCCGCGACGGCACGACTGCAATGTGATGAAGTTCTCAGGCGTCCCGCTGAGTCGTAGCACATTTTGCAAACGAAAGGGGCGGAGTGGTGTCGAGTGAAACGAACTTTCGGATCCGTCGAGTCTGCCGTCAGGTTCTTTGAACCTTCGGCGGCTTTGGAATCGGCTGCAGAGCCATCCAACAGGTTCGGTCGGTACCGCCAACTTCGGCCTGCCTCAGCTCCTAGAACTTTGGAAATGTTTTATGCAGGACATCCCATATATTTCACCAATAATTCCAAGTCGCCACGAATTTCCTTCCCTAAAATTCTCATATGTCTCTTCACACAAAACCTATCGAATTTCAAGACCTCTGCTGTGTGGATGGACCTCCAAGCCATGCTCGAAACATGGTGACAGGAGAATAGCCTTGGACGGCGGAATCTCCACTTTTCTGCTCCGACTTGGTCAGGGCCAACTCCCACAATCGACTCAGCGCGGCCGTGGCATGCGGAGGGTAGACAGTAGGAGAGATCTTGGAAAATCTTGGACATGAAACCCAACACGATCAACACATGCAAATATTCTGCAAGAAAATCTGCATGGAACCTCCTGCATCTGACTTCAAACGAGCCACTCTTCGTCCAGAGCGCTGCATCGGAACTTCGAATCCAACACCCGCACCTCTCCACTCCCAAGCCCCACGGCCAGCTGATGTCCAGTCCAACTAATGGACCACACTGCGGACGGCAGCACGATGATCTTCATCAAGGCCCAGTCCTGCGAAAACCACTTGGCAGTGACTCGGGAAATTCTTGCAGCAATGGGCAATGGGTGTTTTAAAAAGCATGGACACGATGCGGGAAAAAGGCGATGATAACATGTCACCGGCCCTCCTCCATGAGCGCACTGCAAGAAACACAACTGGGTTTGAAGTGCAACTTGTGGATCACATTTCGCTGTCTTCACCACAACCCCAGCAAGTCCCTGCTTCAGCGCAGCAGAGCCCCACTTCTACCCGAGTCGAGCTCCCCAGTCCTGCTGGGAGTCATACACCCGCAGTGTCTTGTCCTCACCACCAGCTGCCAACAGACCGCCGCTCCAAGCAATGCCAAGGATCGTTTTGGAAGCATCGCTGATCGTGTTCACCAGAGAAAACTCCTGAAACTTTGGGCATCGCAAAACACGATAAGTTGCATGACGTATCCCATGTAAATCTCTTGAAAAGAGTACGAATCTATGCAAATGCCATGAATCAAGGCATGGCAAAGTCCTATGGTAGGATGTGGTGGGAACAGCAAAATGCAAATACGACACAGTGTGGAAACGACTTGTTGCCGTAAGCCTGGGCATCCAGAAACATTCTGACCATAAGAAATCACCATACCCAAACTGCATGCATGCTGCAGCAATCCCTCACCACCTCGACGAGTCGGAAGTGCCTCCCTCTTGCCATGTGTGTCACCAGTGTGTGCCTGTGGGAAAGACTGATGGAAAAATGAAGGTATGGATCGGATTGGAACAGGGTCTTTTCGATTCAACCTCTGCACAAGAATTTGCCCCAAGCAAACCGGGTCTCAAAACAAAAGACATCCACCGGAGTCCGGCTCCCGAGTCCTGCCCGGCATCATAGACCCGCAGTTGTGTGTCGTTGCCGCCCACTGCCAGTAGGTTGGCACTCCAGGCGAGGGACCAGATTCGGGCAGTGGCATCCTGGAGGCCTTTGATCATCTGGAAGTCCTGCAGGCTCCGCAGAGAAAACACAAGCCATGAAAGGGGCAAAGGACAAAATCTGATGGAGTCAAGGCATATGTTATTCCCCGATCTGGATGTTGTGGACGTTGTGTGATCAAGGCCCAGCTCCGGGTCTCGGCTCCTTGGTGACATCGTAGATCCTGACCGTCTTGTCGTCACCAGCGGCCGCGAGAAGCTGTTGACCCCATGAGACGCAGTTGATCTCGTCCGACGCGTCATCGATAATTTTGAGAAGCGCAAACTCCTGCGAGGCTCGGCAAACGGATAAATCCTTGACGTGGCCTGTGGATTCTGTGGAGATCCAGAAACGGCACAAGCTCACTGAAAACGCTGCAAAGCTCAGCCAAATCCGCAAACCACCCTGAATCACTACACACAATTTGCATGCAATGTACATCTTTTCTCACCAGCTGAATGTTCGCACGCTTGCTGCCATGAGTGAAAATCTGCTGGGAGACTCCACCTTTTTACAGGGCAGCGCATATGCTCAAATCCTACAATCAGAAATAGTTGCGAATAATAAGGACCAAATAAATAATACTCGGTATGGGGGTATGGGTGTGGATTTGAAGGCTGCTTCCGCAATGCCAATTTTCTGAACAATGTTTTGCCCCAACAAATTCGAAGCGTGCACCCAAGAAAATTCAATATTGGGAATGATTCGGATGGTGTTTGAAGGAGACATTGGGGATCCAGTCGCATACACCAGGATGCTGTTAACAATCATATCAATATGGATCCATATTAATGGGGGCTTGTCGGGCTTGTTGTCAAAAAAACACTTTACAAGCAGCCACTTATCCGGGAAGTAACGAAAGATCATGTCAAATACAGCCTTTGGAAATATATAGGTCGAGAGAAACACATTGGAAACTTTGGCAAAAGGGCAAAACTCAAAAATTACCATCCTTGCCAACCGAAGTGCCAGAAAGCTACAGCTACTTCAAACTCAAACATCAAATAAATTGCAGCCAAGACAGACTTTGCTACAAACTCCAAACTCACTAACTCCCAGTTTTCCAGCAACAAAAAAGTGTGTGCCCAGCGCAACTTCGGCGTGTCTGGCTCCGTCCTTCGAGCTGTCATAAACCCACACCTTTTTGTCCCGGCCCCCCACTCCCAGGAGATGGGCATTCCACGCCAAGGAAAGGACCCGGCAATCATCATGGATGGTTTTCAGGACGACAAAGTCCTGGAGATTCACAAAAGGGACAAGTCGTGAAACACGTGAAACAGCATCAGTTCTCTGACAATCTCTGACATGACCAATACAATCACAAAGCAACCGTCACGAAAAACCACAAAAACCACACCAATCTACAGGAGGAGCTCCAAAGGCACAGAAATGGAACACACTTCCAAGCGCTAGCAAGAACACGTTGAAGAATGTTTGAAACCACAGCCACAAAGACGCCACACCGTTGGATCAATCCAAGTGACAGCTTGAATATCGATGAAAGTGACACAATCCAACTCCCTTCAACTCCTGGTGTTTTAGAAGATTTTTTTTTTGGAATTCCGCACGGGCACCTCACCCAGAGTCTCACCTCACGCTCCCGGTCCTGATCCGAGTCGTAGATGCGGACCGTCCTGTCGTACCCAGCAGTGGCCAATAGATTCTGGCTCCAAGCGGCTGCTCGAACGTAGTCTGAGGCCTCCTCCAGCACTCGGACTGCGGTGAACTCCTGGAGGCTCTGCGACGTGCCGCGCGTGTGAAGCCGACTCAGAAGCGTCGCAACTCCAAGGACAACTCACACTCCAAACGCGGACCATGAAAACACGCGCAAAGTGCGCAAACCCACCCTATAACGATACACCATGTACAACAAAGTCACGAAAAAAGAATTCGTGTTCATTCATTTTCCTCGAATGAAAGCATCCATTCCCCTTTTCCCAAATGTTTATGAGTTCATACTTACAGGCAGGTTAGAGCCACTGAAATGATGGGCCAAATACGTTCAAATATAGTGAATATCCACAGCGCCGCAAAGTCCAACACGCAGAGATCACCCGAGTCTGGCTCCCAAGTCCTGCTGCACGTCATAAATCCGAACTTTGGCGTCCGCGCAAGCTGCGGCGAGAAGGTGGCGACTCGAGGACACGGAGCGGATCGGCCCGGAAGCATCCGCCATCGTCTTGATCGCCGTGAAGTCCTGCAAACTTCAAAAAAGGGTCGCGGAACCCCACCAAAAAATGAAGCTTTTGGATGATTTTGGAAGAGAAAGTGGAGATTGCAGTGGCTGCAAACACTGCACTGTGTGGAGCATGTCTTAGGTCTCCAGGAGTTGGGTACAACTAAGTTAAAAACATATTAAAACTGTATGATTGAGACTGCCCACAATAAACACTTATAAAAACTTATTCCAATGGCCAAGCTTAGGGCTTCGCCAAGTTTGGAAGAACAATTCTAGATTTGCTTCTGGGAATCGTCAAGGCCGATGATGCTGCTTTCTCATGATTTCTCTGCTTGTCCTGCACTTAAAATATCACATTTATAGATAGATCTATTTAGATCTATTTCCCTCGTCACGCCGCAGGGAGCTGCGGCTGTCATTCCTGATGCTATCACTATCTATCACTATATGGATGGTCCTTGGAAGCTACTCAGTGAAGCATGCCTGAACTTCTCAAATGTTTGTTTTAATCCTGCAGTATGTCAAAATAGCATGCTGACAGGGAAGAAACTCGACGTCGATGTCTGCCTTTGTTTAAGATGCGACTGATCTTAGCCTTTTTCTCTTCAACTTCTATGTTCACTTCCTCCAGGAAACATCACTCTGATTCAAACAAAACCACACCAAACAACAAAAGAATTGCGCATTGCAAAAACGGAGGGGATAAAGTGGTCAAAATCCGTGTCCTCAACGGCGTACTTTTGCAGGAGTTCCTCTGAGGAGTCGAGCCGTCCGATCGCCCGAAGCTTTGTTGCCACTGCCTGTGCCGCGCTCGGGAGCGACTCCTGCAGGGCATGAACGCATCAACGTCAGGTCAATGGTATGCACTCTGGAAGTGGATCCATCATGATTCATCACGATTCGTCTAATATAAGTCAATCAGGCTGTACACTTCAAGAGCGTGTGGCTTGATGCTGCCGTCTACAAGCATGCATCCGGGGATAGGGTATGCTCCTCTAGCGAACCAGCCAGTGCGTGGCAAGCCACTGCTGCATGAAGCAGCGCATCGACACTTTGCGCGCCCTGGCTGTCGATAGCGAGTTCGACAAACCTCACCCAGTCGGTGACTTGCGCATCAGCTGGGCGTTTCTGGTCCTCCGGAAAAGTTCCAAACCCACAGGAGTTTCCAATGCAACGCATGCACAATATTCGGGGTGTGAACAACTGATGGCAATTGTCATGGCCATCTGTAGTCGTCTGTACAAGTTGAAGCGAAAGTCGCCAATCGGCTTTGCAACTCGATGGCACAAATCTGCAATTGACCCTTTTTGTTACAAATTTGTTACAAATTAATGCTGGAAGGCATCATCAGAAAAAAAAAAACCTGCACCACAGCAGCCTACTGTAAACCAAAAATCCCGTCAGACATCCCAGGCCCAGGCCCCGGGCCTCGTGGTAGATGCGAAGTTTTTTGTCGGCGCCTGCAGCAGCCAAGACCTGGCCCCGCCAGGAGACGGCAGTGACGGAGTCCGAGGCATCGCCCAGGGTCTGGATCAATGCGAAGTCCTGGGAGACTCGGCCGAACAAAAACAGCAGCATTCCATGGGAAGGCCTGGTACGGAGAACATAAACAGATGGGACTGACTTCACTTCCAAGTGCATCCCAATGTTTGATTTGTATATGAATGTGCATCGATATGAAAATCAAAGTCTGCACAGCCTTGAACCTCCTTCTGCAAAACGATCAGTGATTCTCCACCCCCTCGCCCATGATCCAAGAAGATAACGTAAAACATCACGATGTCAGCAGAGCCCAACTCGGCTTCGCTCAGCTGACCCCACTGGATGCGAGACTTCCCGAGTCCTGGCTGGCGCTGTAGAGCCTCACCTGCTTGTCAGCCCCAGCAGCTGCCAGGAGATGCCCAGACCAAGCGACAGAGCGGATCACTTTGGCCGCATCTCCCAGTGTTTGGATGAGCGCAAAATCCTGGCAGACTCGCTATGAAGGACATCGTCCAGGCACGAGGCAACTGGGGGAGAACCTATTGGCCTTGCGATGGTCGTGAATTTATGTAATCCACTCCAAACGAATGCCCAAAACATGTGCAGAATCGAAACACATGTTATTTCAAAACCGTACATGCCAAACAATCTCTAAAGAGGCCAAGTTTATCTCACATTGACCTTTCAGAAGGGCAGTTTCTAACTTTTGGAAAACAATATCAAAAGGAAACCGCGAAACATTAAGATGCCTTTCCCAAAGTCATGTTGCGCAAGGCAAAGGAATGTTCTGATTCAATTGCAAAGTACTCAAATTGCATCAGTTATGTCAGTTTCACGGTTTACTTAACTTATGACGACTGCACTTCTTGTGGCATCTACAACCAACAAATCGAACGCACTGGTGGCAGTTGCCGGCACATGCTGGAACCATTCCAGTATATGTGCCATGGAAGCAAACATCCTGGAAATGTTTGGTTGTTCTCATTCAGAATCGTCGTGACTCGTTCGTCATGTTGGCTCGCAAGGGGTTTTGAATGGAAGTGACACTCATTTGATACCATTTACAAGTTTAAATCCATATGCCATTCCAGGCGGCCTCTTATGAATCTTATGACATGGTCTGGCTTAAGTATGAAACGCCTCAGGTTCGTCGTCTAAAGTGCCAAATCTCTGCAGGGCGGACCTTCTCCGTGTGCCCTGAGCCCCAGCCCTTTCCGCCGTCCTTCGCAGCATCGTAGATGCGGACGTTTTTGTCGTCGCATCCTGATGCCAACAGTGGGCCATTCCAGGCCAGGGAGTTGATCATGCTAGTGGCATCCAGGATTTTGATCAGAAGGAACTCCTGCCGACTCGCAGAGAAGGCAAGTCACGAAAGACGGTGAAGAATTCGACACGGTTTTTATACTCCCTGATGTGGCCCAATGTTAGGTCTTATCAGATACAAAATGAAATAAATGGAGCACACTCCAGGCGCTGCTGGAACCATGACACTTTGGACTATGGACGCGACATCTGATGGGCGGCGATCTGTTTGCTGGTCATCCACCCACACGGAAACCCAAGGGACCCCCCCGATATCCCTAAGTTATGGCAACATGAAACCCATCTCTATGCAGGATCGATTATGGTGCATGCCAAACACTTGAGCTGATAAGCAGATATAAACAATACATAAGTATCCGCTGAGAATCAGAAACATGTGGTGACGTTTCCTGCCGGGTCCCCGCTTCACGCCCCGAAGTCACAACGACGCCGTGGCCCCGTCACCTCGGTGCCGTCGTAGACTCGGATTTTTTTGTCGGTACCACCGGCTGCCAGGAGTGGCCCGCCCCAGGACAGGGCACGGATCCTGTCCGAGGCATCGCCCAGGGTGGCCAGGAGGGCGAAGTCCTCGCGCGTGGCCCCGTCAACCGTGCAACAAATTCCAAGTGGAAAAACGATTTCTGAAAAATGGAAGAACTGCAAATCGTGCTCGGACTTTGAGGTATCCAACCCTGAAAGTCCAGGGACTCAAAAACTACGTCGTCATGAAAATCCGTAGAAAGCGGACCAAAAAGTACGTCGTATGATACAAATGATGTACCTTTCGAGGTGTCGTACCTCAAAAAGAACACTGCTATACTTGGTGGTTGCTTTTCGTTTAGGGCACTTGCATGTACCCCTTGCAACTAGGTTGCAACATGTTGCAAGTGCAGTAAGTAGGCTGTAGTTTAAAAGTGCAGTTACAGCACTTATAAGTCAAAAACACAATTTATATGATTTTCACCAGTGTTTTAAGTCATATTTGAAATCATAAAAAATACTTAAACTACTTGCAAATTACTTAGTTAATGAGCCAACTTAACTTTTTTCTTGCTTGAACTCATTTGGACAGGCATTTGGCACAATAAAGGAAGAGCGTCACAAACATTCATTTAGAAAATATCAAATGACATGTATTCAGCCATTCATGTACTAGCAAAGCCAGAAAGATTTTGTTTCTTTCTCAAAACTAAAAAAAAAAAGTTGGGCTTGGAAAGGGTCCGACCAATGTGCAAACTGGTTGAACCTTTTTTGGACCATGGCTCATCCATCAGAAAACGTGCTTGGTTGCAAACAACCATTTACAAACAGTGCATTGTTTACACATGTTCACAAAAAAGGTTCACAAGAATTGAACATGATTCTCTTTGGTCACAAGTAAACATATGTATTGGTTGCTTGCGAAGTTCTTACTGGAGGAAACTCCTATGTGATGATCTTTACATGTTCTAAAGTTCCTGCAAAGTTTACGCTCTCGTAAATAGTGAGGTGATAACTGTTGTATTGTATATCTATGACTGATAATTGTGTGTTTGGTTTGATTCTAGCTGCATGCAGACGGTAAGAATCTTATCGTCTGTGTCGAGTTCATTTGTCATGTATTCAATCACTTTACCATGTTTTACTTACGAAAAATGTTCAATTTTTTACAACATATATAAGGGTAAGCAAAAGAAAATAGTCAATATTCAACAATAGTCTCGAAATTGAAGTATCCAACAAATAAGCAAACAAATGAAGAAAACAATCCTTAGTATGAAAATCTAGGATACATGTAAAAATTTGGATTCCAGACCTAATCTACGTAAATATTTACGTAAATCTGGCCAAAATGGAAATTTATTAGTTTTCGAGACTCATCGCTTCTTGGTTTCTCAGTTTCACTGCGCAGTTGCACGTGTCGTCAGGGAAAAAAACAGATTGGCATTCAAGTCGAAAGTACATATGAGCCGCCTATCAAACTGCAACCACATTGGTTAGCTTCTTAACCTTTATATAAATATACTAAATATGTTTATCCAGCCTTCTGCATTCTCTTGCGGCCCATTGGGCCGCAAGCTGAAAAGAGACCGGGATGCTTCAAAAGATATGGGGATGTTTCAAAATGCAAGTTTAAAAACGAAAAACGGGACCAAACATGGCATTTTGGGGGTCAAGAAGGACACATTATGTCGATAAATACCCATATATGACACATAATCAAATCAGAAACTTGGTCGAAAATAAGATGAACTATAATTTCAAAATATTTCAAATATGTGTTGAATGGTTTAATTGGACTATTTATAGGTATGAGGTGCCAAACGTTGCGCCCCCTTTCCATCCCAGAGACTGGAAAACCTCATGCCATACAACTGGCGATCTCAGTTTTTTTTGGACATATGTAGCGGTGTGTATGCATGTGTAGGCATGTGTAAATGTTCAAACACAGAATTTACACATGTGTAAAACAAGAAAAACAGATTTAGACGTGTAAACAAAACCAAAACTGGAATTACACATGTGTAGATAATATTTAAAAAAAGCATGCTTCAGGCATTGAATCTCCATCGGAATATGTATATATTCTGGGTCTCGAAGATTAGTAAATCTACTTAGGCAAGATTTTACGTAGTTCTTTTTGTTTACTCTTGGCTCCATACCAAAAAAACACACTTTTTTTTCAAGCATGTACCAGTAAATGTGTTTTTAAACCATTAGCTAAATTCGATTCACTTATATATAACCATTTAATGCTTTTAAACATGATTTTCCGATGTTTTTAAAGCATAGTTTGATGTTTTTCTTTGCCATCATGAACATGTGGTGACTTTAAAATGAAACATGAGAATGTTGATTGTTCAGATCTATCTATATATATACGTGTGCAAAAACATGTGCAATTCATTTGTGTCATGCACACTTGCGAGATGTTCTTCCATGTGCTTGTGTGCATGCAATGGACATCTTGTGTGCATGCAATGGACATGCTTTGGATCGATCACCATTGTATTTTTACTTGTCTGCGCACCTGCAATTTACATGTGTTCTATACTTGTGCCTATTCACCTCTGTGTTTCACTTATTTGTGCGGTTGCAATGTACCTGAGTGGTGTATACTTGTGTCAATTCACCTCTGCGGAAATTGTAGCTTTCATATTCAGGTTTGTAGGCAAAGATGCCTATGTACCTGTGGTATAAGACAGCCATGTCGACTCTCGACGCTTGGCTGGATGGAAAAAAGTTGGACGCTAGCGCCTAGCGCAAACATGTTGTGGGTCACCTGTGACTTATTTACATTTACATGGTGTTACCTGGGATACTTTATCTACTACATGGGAAACCCACAAACATGAACATTACTACATGAGACCTATTGTTGTTTGTGAAGTTTTGTAATGGGAACTATGTTCACTGTCACCTGCGCTGCAATTTCAATCCTATTGCGGATTTAGTTCTGAAACCTTTTTGAGACATTGAATACTATGCAATCTCAAAACCCAAAGGATTAGATTCAACGGAAGATATAGCTGGCACATGTATGAATGCAAACATTCACTATATGAATCTTCCCAAGTAAGTTCAAGTTATATAATTGGCAAACTGTGAGGGTGATGAGTCAAGCCATCCCTATACAGATCACCTCATGTGTATTTCATCCAAACATCTTTAGTTGAGATTTACTGTTGAACCTTCGTTTGGCCCAAAAGGGCTTGTATGTTGAGATTTTGGGGCAAACCTTGCATTCTTGATATAATGTAGCTCTCTTTCTTTTTTGATTGAAACTAGATCCAAAGATTGGGTGTTTTTCGCCGGAGAATGATCAAAAATCAATACATTTTTAATATGCAGTTCTTTATGCAGTTTATGTGCAGTTTGTAAAACTACATGTGTTTCATCAAAACTGCATGTAGGGTACATGTAGTTTTTGGAAACTGCATACAGACTGCATAGAAACTAGAAGCCTTGATACAACCATAGAAAACATATTAAGAAATACTTGTATTCAGGCATTGATTGACTAGCAATTTGGTTTCTTTCTCAAAACTTTCAAAACAGTTGGGCGTGGAAAAGGTCCGACCAGTTTGCAAACTGGTTGGACCTTTTTTGGACCATGGTTCACTCATCAGAAAGCTATGCAAGATAGCCTGAAACTTTTTTGGGCCCCAACAACCATTTACAAACAGTGCGTTGTTTACAAATGTTTACAGAAAGATTCACAAGAATTGAACATGGTTCTCTTTGGTCACAAGTAAACTGTTTTTCTGATCCAAGAACATGATCCACACAAATGATCACATGTAGACCCCAAGCATGAATCTCAAGTAAATTGCCAGTGGGTATCAAGTGGTTTGACAGAAGTGCCAAATAGTTTGCAACAATCATATGTAGAAAGGGGGAAAAAAGTTCAAGACACACATAATTTGGGTTTTTCTATCCTGTGACATTGATCCTTCATAGGTCACAGTTCACGTTGATTGGCTGCAGTCACTGTTTGGCCCCAGTGACTCCAAATCTCAAAATCTTCCAAATTTCCTGTACATACGTGCTCATCTAGACAAAGATGCACTTTCCAATTGGTGGAAATGTAAAGGTTCCAGATATTCTTGTCACCATCCCGAAAACAATTGAGCTTCAAACACCTAAAAACAATAGATTTGTCACATCATTGATTTAACTTTTTCCCTTTTATCAAAAAAGAACAAATCCGATGTTTAGAAAAACCCAATTTTACTTTTATAAGTATGTTAAGTCCAACTTGCAAGTTCTATATTCCCAGCAAGTTCCACAAGTTGCTTGCAAGTACCATAAGTAAAAAGCAACCACCAAGTAACATCCTTGATGTACCTTTTGAGGTCCCGGACCCTGAAAATCGTGAGTAATCGTGAGTAATCGTGAGCAGGACCCTAAAAAGTACAGGGCCCTAAAAGGTACGAAAAGGCTTTGAAAGGTACACAGAGCGGCCAAAAAAAAAGTAAGAAATCGTGAGTAATCGTGAGTGAACCTCGGCCGCAGAATCATTGATATTGCTATAAACCCTCGCCCGTAAACACGCGGCATTGCTATGGTTTCTCGGCAAGGGCCCCCTCCTGTGCCACTTTTGCCAAGGACTCATTTAGTACGGCCTTAAGACTTTGGCATCCAACTTAAGACATCTTGTGGGCATTCGTGCGAGCCTTGGTTTGCTCTTTTTGAACCCTCGATAGGACTGCTTGATTAGTGGCTGTTGCAAATTGGTCCCAAAAACACGGCTAGCCTCGCTAGCTTCTCGCTGGGTTCAGTCTTTACCACAAAGTCGCAACTTCTGCACCTCGTTCCCACCCATTTTCCAGCAATTTTTGCCCAACTCCCCTGTCCTGGGCACCGTCATACACCCAGATTTTGCAATCATCACCAGCCGCAGCCAACAGCTGCTGGTCACTCCATGCGGTTGAGTTGATCTCGTCCGAGGCATCCTCCAACGATTTCGCGAGGAAAAAATCCTGGAGACGAAGGAGACGTCACCCGACGGGGCAAACGACAGGCCGCAACCGTGCCCGTTTTCCATAATCTGAAATGGCACAACTATATCCCATGTCTACAGGGAGGCGTGCAACCTCTCTGGAGGCACCCCAGCCTGGGCTATCAAATTTGAAACAGCAGTTTTTATACCGGACTTATTTCCAGCACTCGATATCCACAAAGAACTTGTCCCAAAATTCACTAAAGCACCCGGCTTCACTTCGGATGTCTTTGTGCCCAGCCCTGTGCCACCTGCTGCCTGGCTCCGTCCTGTGCGGCGTTGTAGACCCTCATTTTTTGGTCTCTACCGCCTGCGGCCAGCCATTGGCCGCACCAGGAGACCGAGTGGATCCAGTCGGAGGCATCGTGCAGGGTCCGGATCAGGGATGAGTCCTGGAGACTTGGCACGAAACAGTTGGGTAAGTACAGTATGCCTGATGCGGTGTGGAGAAATTCCTACACGGCCCATCAACATCATCAAAGTAATTTTTTATACATGAAACTCTGTGAGGCACGACATGATTCCGCACACATAAAAGGGAGTGGTGCGAAGTGTGCCCATGGAGGGCTTCCATGCAACTCGATATTTTTCAAAAGCCAACATGTTCATCAAGTATTCCCAATATATGACTTTGTGAGGATTTTCTGTGCCGTTTCTGGAAACGAAGTCCTTCTTGCCAAATTTCGAGGACTGGGAACTCACGGTCTCACCACCCCCTCACCTGAGCCCACGGCGCCCGGGGTCCTGGTGCAAATCGTAGATCCAGACTTTCCCTGCCTCGTCGCCGGCGGCCAAAAACTGCGGTGAGAAGGAGACGGACCGGATCTGATTCGAAGCGTCTTCGAAGGTCTTGCTGAGGATGACCTCCTGCAGATGGGCAAAATGGACACAACAGGCTACCGAGACCACCGCGAACCATCAACGCAGAACACTACTTTCGTGTCCTTGGCTCGGCAGTCTGCGCGAACGGCTGTACTCTCCCACTGGTGGCCGCGGCGCTCCAGCAGATTGGCCACGAGCTGAGCCACTTCGTCTTTCTTCTCCTGTGTCAAAAGTAAGGCAGTAAAACCCGCGAAATATTCGTTCGCACTAAGCCGACAAACAGGTATGTATAGATTGTATAGTTATTGTTACGTATTATAGGATTCCAACGGAACAACATATTTAACAACGTTTTCAGTCGGCACGCAGGCAACACATTTCCAGGTTTGCCGTGGCCGTCGTAGCACCCCCTTCGCTCAGTCCTCCAGTACGTCGCATTGCTTTGCTGCTTCGTGGCCATGAAAGAGCAAGAACTCCGGAAGACACCCCTGCACAGCAGTTGTTATGGGAAGCCCTACAACTTGGGGACACTGAAATAACATGGAACAAATAGAAACCCATGTTCCAAATCAACCCTTCAAGACAGTAGATGGACGGTGTCAGTATTGGCACAAGTTGGTTACTGGATGTTACTGGGACACAAGAGCCGCAATCTCGACCGAGCTCCTTCAACATCAACGAAATGTCAATCTTCAGCAACTCTCTGCCGCCAAAAGGTAGACAGGGCCAGGTGTTGAGGAAGTGGCAAGCCAACTCCTTACAGTAACTTTGAAAGGCGGTTGAACGGCGTGATGGACGTGTCCTTGTCATGCCAAAAAATATGCCTTATACTACACAAGCTGGTATGCCTGATGCAATCACCTAAACAAACACAAGTTCCATCTGTTGCGACCATAGGCAGGGCCAATGGCATTGCAAGAAATAAAAATAGAATGTATCAATTTTGGCCGTGACCAAACATCATTTTTAGGCAGACCTGAAAAAAAGCCAACGAATCCTTATGTCGTTCACCTGGTCAAGCGTCTTGTGGCTCGGTTTCTTGACTTTTCGCCGTCCACGGTGGCAAATACTTCCTGACGCATCTGTTCATGAAATGCGCACCGTGCCTCACGAGCTCTGCGATGCCAGTGGGTGCTCGTGGGCTGTAGCTTCTCAAAGCCACCTCCAAAGCCGTGCAGGTCTCATCCTCAAAAGACGTCGTTGCATCTGGGTTGGCTCGGAACTCCTGGGCGCGGAGCAGCGGAGCAGAAAAGACCGGTGTCGCCAAGCTGCTAAGACTAGTCGGCCAGTTGGCCAGTCGGAACACCTGTGCCTATGATGTAGAAATCTGATGAACATTGATGAACTATATGTAGAATGCTACCTCCACACAAATTTAAATGGAACCAAACTTCTGATCGCAAATGCCCAAACATGCTCAAAGTATGACAAAACAAGTCGTGAAGGTAGTGCCGTGTATCTACCAAGAGCTTCAGAAACGCTGAGGACCGTTCTTTTATTGCAGAACAAATAAGTTGTTCAATTTGAGCTATTTCGGGACAATGTCCAGCAGGCACCAAACTATACAACCAAAAAAAGATTCAAAGCATGTGTAATTTCCTGGAAGAAACAGGTGTCACAATAGAAGTGCACCCACCACAACCCAATATAGAAGCACCACAGAAACAAGCGCCCGCATATGTACTGCAAAAGGCTTCGCTGTGTGAAAATAAAGTTGTGGGTCCAAAGGTATCTTTCATTCCAACGCAGTTTTGGATCAGTATGTCTTCTTTTCGGCTGTCCAAACGGAGCACGGAGTCGGAAAACTCAGCATGAGAGTACAAAGCTAGTAGTTTCCCATGTCAATGTTCGAAAATGGTATATAATTCGGGAATACGCATAGTTTTACAAGGTCCTGAAAAAACAAATCATCACCTCGCTGAAGCATGAAACAAGCAAAAGCATGGAGGGGAATGCGTGGGATCTCTTATCGATACAATCCGACCGGGTCCAACATCAGCTTCTGCAAACTTCTGAAGACATTATCCTATGCAAATTCAAAACAAAATCGCAAAAAGACTCGCCCTGAAGTAGCCTGATGTTGGGACTTTGTGCAACTTTGCACTTTGCAATAAGGAGGTTCCAACGTGAAAAGAATATTTTTTAAAAAGGAGTGCTGTTGCCTGGATAACGGGATGTCATGTCATAGCAACGTCGCATTTTCCCAACAAGATCCACCAAAGGCAACTGTATACAACCGAAAAAGCACGGCTATTTTTTTCCAAAAGAGCAACAGATCTTGTGGAGTCCTTTATGCCAAAGATGCAGAAAGTTCCGTTTTACCACATCATACCACATCAAAATCATTCAAAATCCGAGGCTCCAGAACCCGTCCAAGGACCTTGGCCCTGTCTGGGTGGAAATCCCTCTGGCCACCATGAAGCGCCGCATGCACGACGTGAAGCCCATCGGCGACTGAATTGGGGTCGGCCCAATCCTGACACATGTCGATGTAAATTGAGAGATTCACACCATATTTAGCATTATCATGGCCGTTTCCAGCTACAAGCCTGAAAACAATGATTAATTAAAAATGCGAATAAATGTGAAAAATGTGTTCCAAAAATGCAATTTAAAGAAAAAAAATGTGAAAAAATGCATTTCAAAAATGTGAAAAATGTGAAAAAGAGTATTTTTTTAAGCAGTTTTGAAGTTTTGTTCTCTTATGTTTTGCTCCTAATCACATTTTTTCACATGTTTTTCATTGTTTTTTACATGTTTAATTCAAACTACTACAACCATCTACAACCCTTCTGTAGCTCAGTTGGCCTTGATAAATTTAGCACCATTCTCTCTTCAGATGTCTTGAGTCACTGATGCGCAACATTGCCAACTCCTGTGAATCAAATGCCTTCATGTGAAGATGTGTGAAGATGTGTGAAGAGTGTAACTTTGACTTGGTGATGACAAAGGACACCAATGCGTAAATTGAAGTTGGAATCTGCAAAACACTCTGGCCCCTTGAGTCCCTATAATCAGGCTGACAAAAAATGCGAAAGATTGCAAAAGTGGATCCAGAACCCCAAGATCATCCAAAATCACCCGAGATTCCCGCAGCAGGCGCTCGACTTTGTCGAAGTTGTTGTCTTTGCACGCCACGACCAACTCGGAACTCTGGATCAATCGGCTTCGTGCTAACGCCTCCAGGGCAGGCGACAGAATTCCAACAGTCTCCTGGGGTCTTAGTTTGACACTGCCTGTAACGCGTCCGAAATGATCTGAGCAAAAGTAATGTAATGCAACTGGCGTTGAAAGTTCGGGTTTTGCTGGATGCCCTCTATCACTCGGAAAATGGTGGAAGATGAGTATATTATATATATACTAGATTGTCAATGATTGTCAAGGAATCTCTTTCTTGCTGTGTAATTCCCTCCGATATCCCTAGCCTGGTGCCCTGCCTCCATCCTTTCTGCCAACTTCTCAAACTCAGATTTTTGACACAGCTGGGCCACGGTGGAGACAGCGCGGGCAATGCTCTCGTCTGATGGGTTCACGCGCAACTTGAGGAGTCCTCCAGCGCCCAAACAAAACAAGGACCCGAAGGACCCGAACACCCTGAGACAGTGGCAATACCCTCTCTGAATCTCTCACCAGAGGAGCACGAACCCCTCACGACGAGTCTACTTGCAGTTTTAATTCAAAGTCGAATTCTAATTCTCTCTCTCTCTCTCTCTCTTGTGGTTTCCTTTGTGGTCCAAACGTGACTTGTTACTTCAATTGGAACAAGATGGAACAAGTGTAGCAAATATTTAGCTGTTGTTGCCAAAACTGAAGTTGCCCGGACTCGCGGAAACGTCATCGTCAAAGTATTCAAAGTATTCTAAAGTCCGCCAGTTTATACCAGTTTCCTCCCATGTGCAGTGCCTTCCATCAAGGGTGTTATGCCCTGTTCGTCTGCAACAAAATCCGCTTTGGCGCAAATCAACGCCCATGCCTCATATCCACCGAGTTGGGCGCACCAGGTGAGGACATCATCTCTTCGAGCCATTCGGGGCTTGTTCAACCGAACTGTCTCAAGCCTTTGGAACTTTGATTAAGGTTGTACGTGTACCATCTTATACAGATATTGGGGCCAAACACCATCCACAAGAGTTCCATCTGTGAAATCTCGACTAAGTGGACTTGAAACAAGAGCCGAGCCAACACAACACGTCACGTCTTTCACCGCCCAAGGGGCAGCTCGTTCGAAGCCACCAGCCATGGCCTGAGAACAGAGACGGTCTTAGGCTCAGAAAGGATGTGGTCGCAATATGTCGCAATGACTAACTGACTATCTATGAGTCAAATGAGTCAAATAAGTCAAGGACATGGTGATTGGTTGGTGGTTGAAGCACCAACAGAAAGAAATGAACTGTTCCATGAGGATCTTTTTCCCCATCAACGATCGTATAGCTGAAACATGCGGAAACTACTGATGTCATCTGATGTCAACGAAATCACGATGAAGATTTCATCCGCGTGATCCGTTTCCAGAGCCTTATGCAAGGCGGTTTGTCCGTCACTGCTTCGAAGGTTAACGTCCGCCCCATGCTTCAGGAAGACGCTCCTTGACGCAACATGCCAGACCGACACCATCGCACGACGGTTTCGACCCAATGCCAGATCTTCATGCTTGAATCCTTCTCTCATTATTGCGATATTAGGCGATATAAATGAAAAACAAAAAACTGCAGGATCTTTGTAGTTCAGCCTGTTCAGCATCTTCTTCAATTAGTTGGTACCCGGCGCATAGACGGCCGTGGACCGAAATACATATTTTAGCAAAAGGGGGTTGGGTGGGGTGGGCGGGGAATATTAACGTTCATGTACCTTGCCTACATACGTGGATGCTACGCTGCTGCTACGTCACTGGGCATGGGTGGGGTGGGGGGGGATATTAACGTTCATGTACCTTGCCTACATACGTGGATGCTACGCTGCTGCTACGTCACTGGGCATGGGTGGGGTGGGGGGGATATTAACGTTCATGTACCTTGCCTACATACGTGGATGCTACGCTGCTGCTACGTCACTGGGCATGGGTGGGGTGGGGGGGATATTAACGTTCATGTACCTTGCCTACATACGTGGATGCTACGCTGCTGCTACGTCACTGGGCATGGGTGGGGTGGGGGGGATATTAACGTTCATGTACCTTGCCTACATACGTGGATGCTACGCTGCTGCTACGTCACTGGGCATGGGGGGGGTGGGGGGGATATTAACGTTCATGTACCTTGCCTACATACGTGGATGCTACGCTGTTGCTACGTCACTGGGCATGGTGGGGTCGGGGGGATATTAACGTTCATGTACCTTGCCTACATACGTGGATGCTACGCTGCTGCGAATTTTTGGAACACTTGGAAGACCTCCTGCCGCAGGATTGATGCTGTCAGATGAGGAAAAAAAGAAGCAAATCCTGGCATAGACAAAGTAGTTACGTCATTTCAAAAAAGCATTAAAATTATCGTTTCGCTGAGGCGAAAACGCCATATAGCTAACTTTCCAATGGAATTCAGCCACAAAAAGTGTATACACCTGAAACTTGAGAAATCCCCTTACAAACGCACAGAAAATCAATGCTGGATGATACTCAATCTTCATTTTGAGCCACGGCCGTCTATGCGCCGGGTTCCCAATTAGTTTCTGGGGTATCTTCTTGCAATTTTCAGGTCAAGGCACACAAGATCTGCATTACCAGTCTTTGCTGCCTGACCAAGTTGCGATCACATCTTCACACCATTCCAGGTGACTGACAAGGTCTTGCAACATTTAGATCTCAGATGATCTAATGATATCTAATGTACAGTATACGGCCACAACATGCCACAACCTTCGTTGAAAACTCTGCTGAAGTACTAAGTGACACTGGAACAGTAGCTCCTCAACAAACACATCATCCTTCTGCGATTTGGTTGTCCCTTGTTTCCTTCGCAATTTCTTCGAACTCCGCAGGGCTTGCCTCGTGCAAGACAGGCTTCTTGTCCTCATTGAGGATCTCCTGCCATGCTAACACACCGACAGCTGACAGAATCCGGGGTTGCCAGCGTTGCCAGCGTTGCCATCAAAATCAAAACAATCAAGCCATCAGCCAGTAGTCAAGCACCAGACACGATCAAGTTTGTGGAGTGAAAAACCGTTGAGAACTATACATATCTATACATCATGTTTTTCTCAAGAACATGTCGAGAACCACCACAATCTGATGATAGATAACCACCAATATTGGACCATGTTGGACCATGTTTGTTGACCACCGCTGACCACCGCTTGAGCCTGAATCGACTCGGCACCGAGCAAGCCCTCGCCCCAGCGCCTCAAGTGCTTTAGCTTTCCACCGACCGAAATTTCAGCACCTTTGGCCCCGACTTTCTCTCAAACTTTCCAACGCTTTGGGCCCGTATCTTGGACCCGTGGCCAACTGGGCCAAGTGACACATGGCTGTGGAGCTTAACAACCTGCCAACCAAAAAGATACTCCTTACGATACCCAGGAGGGGATCAATGCACCCCATTCTATAGATATAAAACATACAAAATCTGTACGGATGAAGTAGAGATGAAGGCCCATGACATGACAAAACACAAAACTTTGGGCAGACTCGTCACCAGGCAATGCTCGGCAATGGACCCCAGCGTATCTATTGAAAGTACCAGCAGAAAGCGGGACCTGCGTTATTTGGACCCTTCTGGACCCAATCCCAGCAAAAAAATGGGATGTAAACATATGGAAACATCATGTAAGGAAACATGTTGCCCACTCTCCTTCTCAATTCTATGAAGAAGGTGAGTGGGCAGTGTTGAGTCAGGTGATGGCATGATATGACATGAGAAACGACACGGAAATCTGCTCTCCGGTGCCAAGCCGCAGGATCTCATCGCAGCGATTCGAATTGGACTCTTTCACGGCAGCGATCAGCTCCCTGGAGACTTCGAAATTTCGATGACCAGCGTGTTCCTGGCAACGTCGATCCGGATCGACGTTTCGGGAGAAAGGGATCGGACATGATCGGACATCAATCGACTTTGAAGCAAGTGCCGGAAAAAAAACATTACAAACAGGTTTGAAACCTGATGGCACTGGTCCTTTGCAAACGACTTGCGTTTTTTTTTTTGTTTGGCACTGTTCCGACCTTCACGTAGGCCATGACTTTCGTGTTCAGTTGCAGTTCACAGATCATGGAGTCGATCTTCACCTTGGATACGATGGGCTCCAGTCTTGATATGTCTTGATCCTCGAGCTGGGAAAGTTTATGAAAGTTTTAAGATCTTTAAAGTAAAAGGAGAATTGATGAGAATTGGATGTTTTTTCGGTCCAAAACAATGTGCGTTTGACATTGTTTGACATGTTGAGCATGCTCGAACTGAAGAAAGCACAAAGAAACCAGAAGTAGACTTGGCTCGGCACCGAGAGTTGTAAATCTCGGTAGTTCCCAGGCATCGGTTTTTGATACCTCCACTGCAAGATTGGAACATGGAACGCCACGAGTTTGGGAAACTGAAGGGTTTTACTTCTGTCATGGGACGCTCCAAGATCTGAAAGTGATCCAAACAGTTCCGAAGGCGCCACGGTGGTGTTTTCAACATGTCGCCCCAACGCCCCAACGGCTCTGGCACCGATCGTTGAACTCGATGATTTCCAATTCCTCCGCCTGAAGCCAGGCAAAACCAGAGAATTTCAGAAGTGGAGTAGGAAAAGGTCCACATCACATCAGGATTCATTACATTTATAACAATATAATACATGTAACATGTATCTATAGTGCATTTATAGTACATTTATAGCATGTATAGTACATTTATAGATATTTGTAGATGTTAAATAGATTTTGTGGCCACCATTCGGGATAGATCTTTCTGCACAAACCACAGCTTCTGATGTCCTCGTGAAGCTTTTCAAGGACTTCGAGGCCGTCGTACATGCTTGTCAAGTCATCGTATAAAATCGTGGCTCGCACAATATCCGTACAACGATGCCTCAGACCATCTCAGACCGCTCTGATCAAATTTCATCAAATTTCGGCATTCTTCAATGTTTCCAGTAGCAGTAGCATGAAAGAAATGCACCAAGTTGCCAGGATGTTCCTGTTGCATCAGTATATTTAAAGGCGGCCTTCGACTCACATCCTTGGCAGATATTTGCGCGAACGCAACGTCACGATGACATGAGAATCGTTTGAGAATCAATTCGAGCAACTGAAATCGCTGCCAAGACTTGAGAGCAGGCGGAGGCGGACGAAAGGTAGTATAGTGGGAGAGGAGTGGTGTCAAAATGCTGCGCCCCTAAGATGATACAGCAACGTTTTTGCGCAGCCTAAGATGATTTTATCCAGAGCATGGCTGCATGATACGGTGTCTTGTGCAGCGTGAAATGATGCACGAAAAGGGGTTTATTAAAAACCCCTTTTTAAGACCCCTTGCAGCAACTGTTATTGAGGCTGAAGCAAACCAATTATGCTGGACTACATCTCCCTCATGGAGAGTGTGCCTCTACTGTGGAGGACCGTGACCGCGTCACCCGTGGGAATTGAACCCATGACTTATAATTGGTATCTAATACACAACGTCGAGAATTCTACGTTTTGCACGGGCTGGCCCCCCAATACCCCCTATGATTGTGCTGAAGCACGGAGAACTCAGGTAGCTGACGCTACCTTTCCTGATCTCCCGCGGACAGCACGACTACAAGTCACTCCGAAATAAGCCAAGCATCTTGGACGGCCTTTCATACGAGGGATGATTGCCTTGGCAATGTTTTTTTTTCTGAAGCTGTTGCTTTTCAAAGCATCCCAGCGTCTCTGCATGTCTCTGCTCCCAGATTTCATCCATTGCAAGTCCTCTTCTCCATATTTCTCCGTTCCCCTGAGGCCTGAACCTTTCCCTCGGTTTCTTCAGCCACATACTTCACTTTCTCATCCTTAGCTTTCGATCCAAGACCAAACATGACCAAACAATGTCGTAGAAATTTCCGGTACCCAGCCGTGACAGGTTCGTCTCCCATTTGCCTTGCCAATATATCACGGATGTCTCAAAGATCAGCCCAGCGTCAAACTTCGGCTTTCTCTCTTTGCAGAAGGCCATCAGTCCATCCAGGTCTCTATGAAAGGGCTGGTAATTCAACTGGCGGCATCGTTGGGCAGCGGTGGCCACAGGCCACAAGGCACAGAAACCCGTGTCGAGACCCAGTGTGGTCATCTGACGAGTCTGACGAACTGAAAATTCATGAACATGTACGGGTCTTTCTGTTTCCATGCGAGTTCCGGTTTGCAGAATGACAAAGGAGTGCACATGGCACCTTCACGGAACTTCCCAGCCGCTCCAAAGTGTCAGAATACAGACGGGGTAAGAATCCTTGGACCTTGGTCAAGAAGCAAAAACGATTGCGCCGAGGAATTTGAAGTCTGCAACATCTAAACATGGCCCAGATCCCCAATGAAAAATGAAAGCAAAGACATACAGACAAACATGAAACACATGAAAAAGCAAGTGACTTGTTTGTCGACGTCGTGGTTCTGTTGGATCTCTGCACCTTGGTCAAAAACAAGTCCGCAGGTAGCTATCCTGGTTACCTGTGCCAACTTGGCAGGACTGACCTTCAAACAAGCGTTGCAACGGGAAACAAAATTCTGTCTCAATGAGAATTTCAGACATGTCACAAGGTTGGTGAACAGTACTTACGTTCTACCCGTCACAGCGAAACACCGCAACGTTTTCATGTCTTTCATTGCGGGCCAGGGTGCTTCGACTGGCAAACTTGGACAAGTCGTTGATCTCTCCGGCTCTGGTAAGAACCTGTTGATTTACTGGAAGTACCAGATCATCAAGATCTATAGTGAAAATTCATGAACTCCGTTAAAGAAAACTGTCCAATGGCGGGGAGTGACTTCTTGAGATTCAGAGAGTTTTTGTTCGGCAAAGGCTGTCTTTCTCTTTTTTCTGCATGGGGTCTGTCCCTGTTAAAGTGCATGTTCCGTCGCGGTTCTCGAAGGCTTCGTTGTAGTCCTTCAAGTTGCCCCAAGCCTCAAAACTGGGCCAAGGCGAAACAACACGGATGACAGCGAGGTCTCCTACATCCCATCTCAGAATTTCAGGTCCTGGCCTCTCGGTCCTTCAGCTCTTCCTGACAAAAGGCTCAAACTCCGGGAGATTCTCAGGTCTTTGCACCCAAAAGATATGCATCCAAGATGGTATCACCTATCAGCCTATAACCGCTCACGGAATACCAGTGGTATTATAGATGCTACTAGTATGACAATATATGACAATACAGAATTCGTTGAATCATTGCCTTGGATTGTTCTTCAATGCCGCAAGGTGACCAGCTACAATGCCTTCGTCTTGGGAATTCGATTTAATTCGGGGTAAATTTTGCGCATTTCTGATGCGCTGAGAACGATTGGCAAACTCTCCACGTCTTCAGCAGTCCGCCTCGGTCCATTGCTTCTCGGTCTTTGCCTCCTGGATAGCACCAGGCAGCACACGATGGAAATTACTCTGGCCAACAACATCTAAAGTCTCCCTTGTGGGGGCAATCGAAGCAAAACTTTCAAGACTTTTGAAGAACGAGGTCACATGCCGGATGACTCTGCACATCGAAAGTAAAGGTTCATAGATTCACAAAGACTTCGAGATGTCTCGTGAGTTGAGCAGGTGAATCTGAAAAGTTGGCTCCTTGTTCTCTGGTTGGCCTTCCTCTTTAGTCTCTTCCTGGCCGCCAAATAGCATTCAGCATCGCTCTGAGCACCAGCGCAGTCTTTCAATCAGCAGAATGACCGTTGCCTTGGCTTTGGAAGCCACCAATGCCCGCAATTCCGCCATTTGTTCTTTAAGTTGGTCGATCTCCGCCTGTAGCAAGCAAAAGCAGCATGCAGCATCCAGATCTGAAATCAGCTGGCAGTGCTGCCTGTGTCATGGAATCTCACTACAATGCAAAATTTTCAAGCCTCAAGAACCCGAATGAACAAATTACTGTACTCCCAAAAAAAACATGTGTGCTTGATGACTTTGCCAAAGACTCATAGATTCAAAAAACCTTTGAAGATCCTTCAAGATGTCTCATGAGTCGAGCAGGTGAATCTGAAAAGTTGGCTCCTTGTTCTCTGGTTGGCCTTCCTCTTTAGTCTCTTCCTGGCTGTTCGGAAGCTTAAAACTTGTGAAGATCATGCAAAACCGTGCAAAACCCACTTCCGTTTTGCCATGGCTGCAGTCTGTCAACGCTTGGCACAGGCCCAACCGGAAAATCAACAAAGCAATGCTCAACTCATTTGGATTGGTGGTTTGGGCTGTTCGAATACCAGAATCCCACCTCTTGACACCACAAAGCGTCAGGTTTGCTAGAAACATTGCTAAAAACATGAAGAAACTTTCAGGAAAAAGCGGGTGCCAAATAGCATTCAACATCACCGACCTTAGCACCAGCACAGGCTTTCAATCACCAGAATGACCGTTGCCTTGGCTTGGGAAGCCACCAATGCCCGCAATTCCGCCATTTGTTCTTTAAGTTGTTCGATCTCGACCTATAGGGAGCAAAAGCAGCATGCAGCATCCAGATCTGAAATCAGCTGGTGTTTTTTTTCGCATCAACTTTTCCCCTTGCCCAGTTGGCTTATTCCATCGAAGATGAATGCCATTCCCGGCCGAAAAGCAAGAAACAGGACAGATCAACAGCGCAAGAGCAAATATAAACATGAGCCTGCGCAGCAGCTTGCGCAACAGCTTGTGCAGTGTTTGCCTGCGAGCAGCACGTTCAGGGGCTCTGTCTCTACCAGCAATGATCAGCAATGTGACGCATGTTCATCAGATGCGCTAGAAATGCAAAGAAAAACTATGAAAAACTGCACAATTCTTTCCGGCGCCAGAAATTGGGACTTGATACCACTGGCACCCGTTGGTCCGAACGTCCCCATGTCGCATCATCCGGCGCCCCTCCCCACGTCCCCGCCATGCCCCGCCTCCTGCATCTTCTCCTGCACATCCACAAATCGTTCTTGGCTCAGCCGGAGCAAACAAACCATTCCGGCCTGTCACAAGCTCAGATTTCTGCAGTCATCTACAGTCGATAAAAAGTATCTAAGGCATGTCTAAGGGATGTCTAAGTAAAGATGTTTAAGGCACATTGACAAAGCACACGCACGTTGAAACGAATCGCTCAGAACCGTCAACGAACTCACAGTGACAACTCGTCAAGTCCTTGACCAAAGTCAGCTACACCTGGTCTCTGAAAATATCCACAGTTATCATTCAGTTATCCACATGTTCTCTGCAAAACACTTTGATTCACCTGGTCTCTGCGCGCCCAGAGCCGTAAGCACTCCTGACGGTCAGAAGGCATGCACATATTATGCAAATATACCAGTGGCACCGCACAAGGCGCTGGCGGAAGTTTCAAAAATAGGAAACCTATAGGAGAGGTGAGTTGTTGTGAGTCACGGATGGCAGAGCGAACCGATTGATGGACCGAAAGGTGGTTGGAATGTCGATCGATCTATCTATCTATCTATCTATCCATCAATCTTTCTATCTATCCATCTATCTATCTATCTATAAATCTATCTATCTATCTATCTCTCTATCCATCAATCTTTCTATCTATCCATCCATCCATCTGTCTGTCTATCTGCCCATCTGTCTATTTATTTCCTTATTTATTAATTTATCTATCTACCTATCCCTCTAGTTGTCTGTCTACTTCTTTGTCTGTCTATCTACCTATCCATCTATCTGCCTTTCCATCCACCTCCTTACCTCTCTCTCTCTCTCTCTCTCTCCATGCAGCCGTTTATCCATCAAACTGCCTGTCTATGTGTCTATCTGTCTACCTATTGAGAGCAAGGCAGCCTACGACATCGTCAGTCGGACCGGTGTAGGGTTGCAGAAACACACCAAGTTTTTCTACTGGGAAATGAACCGAGTCAGAAAAGACACAGTCGGCTGCTTTCACCTGTGTTCAGGCCCTCTTCCTCGCGTCTGCCTCTGCATTCACATAATAATTCCACCAATAATAACAAACAGAAGACACACAACCAACAGCAACATCCACACCTACACTACAATCACGTTGACTGACATGTCTGTCCCCCCGTACATCACCGGTTACATCAACAATTCCAAGGCATAGACTCCCCAAACTTCTGCTTGCAAGTTCCTGTGACATGTGGAAGTGTAATTGAGACACCGTCAAAAACGAAGCAATTCTGCGAAACTTGCTCACTTTCTAAACATGACAACATCGAAAACGCTGCAATCCTAAAAGCTTTCCTTCATGTTTTAACTTCACAACATCGAAAACGAAGCAATTCTCCGAGATGTCTTCAATGTTTCAACTCGACAACGTCAAAAGCGAAGCAAGTCTGCGAGACTTCCTTCAAAAATGGAAAGCTGAGTGCAGAGCTGACAGCCTCATACCAATGCGTTTTGCGATTTTTACAGCCCACCTGTCGAAACTACTGCGCCTGCCACGAAAAAGTGATGCCAGGTCATACCAAGTGCCAGCAAACCTGAAGATCTGATGCTCCAAAATGCAACCCCTCTCAGGAAATCAGCGCCCTCACCTCCTAACAGCTCCGATGAAGATGTCTCTTGTACTGCGCCTGCCACGGAAAATGCATCTTTGTAGATCCTCTTCAAATGCCCCACGCCTGCCATCGTTTTTGGAAATGCTACAAAACCCTCACGTTTTCCGGCCAGCTGGCAAGGTGCAGAACCCCTTGGCAAGGTGCAGCACCCCTTGGCAAGGTGCAGCACCCCTTGCGCCTGCCCCTCCAAAATCACATCTGAACCTTCAAAAGTGGTCCGAGCCTCTGAGCATGTAGTGTTTGTAACATTTTGACTTGGACATGTGCTTCGCGCCACAACAACGTGCACTTTTTCGACATCTCAACTTCCAAAAGTGCTCCGAGAATGGTGTGCTTTGCACATTTTGACATCGAAATGTGCTTCGCGCCACGACGGCGTGCACTTTTTTCGACAGCTCAACTTCTAAAAGTGTTCCGAACGTGCGGTGTTTTAGCTTTTTCACTTGCAAATAATATAATCTGCTCCGCGCCACAAAGGCGTGCAACTTCTCATCTCTCATCTGGCCAGATGGCTCCGCACCTGCCGCTTTAGCAACTTTAGCGAGCCTACTTTTCGACCCTCCGGAGCCACAAATCAGTGGAAAAAACCGAGTGTTTCGCAACTTTCCTTCCTTTTCGCGCACCTGCATCTTCTTTCTTCTCACTCTTTCTCTTCTCTGATCTTCTCTCTTCTGCTCTTCTCCTCTCTGACTCTTCCCACCTCTGCTTTTCCATCTGTCCATATTGTCCAAAGTTTGACTTCTCGATGATGAGGAAAGGAGATGCATCACAAATCATGAATCGTTAAACCAAAAATATCAAAAATACAATAACTCTCGGCGAAACCTTGAACAAAGTTAGAGATTGGCTCCGGCTGCTGGATTCCCTTGTACTTGGGACTATTCAAATTGAAATCCCTGCTGCCAATTCTGATAATTCTGCCAAATGGTGGTCCGATGCAATCCTCCCCAGCAATAAAAACGGCTTCGGGGTCGTAAGAACCAGAAGCGTCGGCCATGCCATCCACGACGCTGGTGACCTCCAGGCGCATGGGTTTCCGAGCGCACTGATCCTGAAAATTCATGACACATGTTGGTCAGAAAATGTCAAGAAATGTTCCGTCTCAGCCACGCCACACACAGGGACTCTGAATTTGTAGGAAAACAGCGCAAGGCTGTCACTGGAGAACTCACAGGAACTGCAACTTCCGCTGGCCCTGTGAACGGAGCGCCTCTTGGAGGGATACATCGGCAGAAACTAGGGCAAGGCTGTGGACGACCCGCGCTATTAGCTCCTGGGCAGCACGTCCGGGCTGCATACCCTGGAACCATGGCATGGAAAGGATCGAAAACCGAAACCCCCCTCCAAAAAGGAACCTCGAGGGCCGGAGGGTCATTTCACGCTGAGGCCCGTACCAGATTTTGGGGGCTCGAGCATCAATTTTGAACAAGATTTTCCTGATTCGTATGTTTTTCTTCTTCGTCAAGAAATTGTTGGTTCCACAACAGCTGTTGGGTTTTAAAACAACGCTTGGGGAAGCTGATATGTTTTTGTATTCGTATGCTTTTTGGTAAAGAAAATATCAGTTCGTGGAAATATGTCGTAGAGTCGTCCAGGTACAAGTGGTCTTGGAGCATCGCAACCCCTCAGCATCTGCCATCCCGGGCCATCCCGTGCCATCCCGTGCCTTGCGGGTGAGGTTCCTGCAGAGAAACGGCCAACGGGGAAACTTTGGATCCAAGAACACGTGCACGACGTGCACGACGTGCACGTGGTGCACGACATGGAATGCCCAGAAAATCAAACCCAAAAACATGAGACCTGACATGACCTGACTATGGGCAGGTCAAAAAACGATGACATACCGATGAAACAATTGTCAGAAGTCCCATCAATCAAGGCATTCCCAAGATTTCCAATCGATCGAAATCAGAACCTGAACTTGACAACTTGACAACTTGACCACCTTCAACTTCAACATCTTCAACCTGCTTCACCCTGCTTCAACCTGCTTTGTCTACAAACCTGTGTCCCAGATCCTCTGAGCAGATCCGGCCGATGCCATGGCAGACTGGAAAACGTGGCTGGGCAAAGGCAGGCGGCAGGTGTGGATCACAGGTGCAGGTCACAGGGAGATCTCCAGCTGCAGTCGAGCCGAGACGAGTCCAGAATGCGTTCGTCCACTGCTCGGACTCGAGGTGGGTTTTCGGAAGTTGACATCGATGCAGAAAAACATGACTCATCCAAAATGACCTTCCAAAAACATCCAAAAACCCAACATTTGTCCAACATGTGTCCAAATGTATTCAACATGATATCCAACATTCTCAAGAATCACCCAGATCTTTGGGTCTATTGGCACTCCATCGAACCACGTCGCAAACACCATCCGACCCTGGCGCACCTGGCAGAGGGGCCTCGGACTTCACCTTCGGAAACCCGCCAAAAGCGGATTCTCCACCGGTTCTGGGGTGGTGTTCTGACGCCAGCTGGCCATACTTCTTTAATCGCGTGTTTGTATGTAATTTTTAAGTCCTGAAAATCTTTGCCTGGGAAATCGAGCGTCTTGTATTCTTTGATTTGCTCTCCCCCGTTTCCACAGCCACCCTTGTCCACTTTGAAGCCTGCAGTCAGCCTGCTGCCTGCAGCATCACAACAGCCAAAGGTTTTTGATGTGCAGGTCCCCACGCTTTCACGGTACAAGACAGCAGAAGTCATGGCAAAGGGAAGACTGGCAGACTCACCATATACTCCGCTGATGCCCTGCAATTCCTTCGCAAGTCGACTTTGGGCCAGGTCTGGTTTTGTATTGAAAGCTTGTTGCCCACCATGTGCGCGACAGTGCTCATACATCTTTAAGGACGCCTGATAATACTGTTTGGCCCTGTTTCGCATGAAGCATAGTCTGGCTCAATTGTCATCAATTCCGGATAGACAAATGCAACTGGGCTGCTGGGCCGAGGACACACAATGCAGTGCCAGCATTCTCTGCCCCAATCCTGGCTGTGCTATCCGGGTTGGTGATGACGGATCTCTGAGCGCATGGCCATTTGGGACTGCATTGTCACCAGGAGAAACGAACACAACATTCCACGTCCTCAAGGCGGCCATCAGGTCGACTTGTTGCAGATCCCGATAGTTAACTTGGTTAACTCCTTAACATCCTCCATCACCTTCGAAACTTCTCAAGCTTGTTATCAGCCTGGCCAGGGAAGACATCATCAATGAAGGCCATGAGGAAGCCGGAGAAGATGGCCACTCCAGGATTGTAGGCGCTTACACCAAGAATTAACAGAGGGAGACCACCTTTCCAGGCAGCTCCCAACCAGTCTTTCCAAGCATTTGGACTCACCTGTCCATCTGCCAAGTTGACCACATGGCCGGCAAAGGTCCCGAGCGCACTTGCTGCCGAGTCATACACCTAGGTATCCCCGACTGTACAGACCTGGTGGGGTAGGGGTCCTGAAAAATTTTGGGGCGGCCCAACCTTTTCTGTATCCTAGGCACATCGTTTTGTGAGTTTTTCTCAAATCAAGTCCGAAGGAAATTGCATTTCTTCTCACTCCCGACAGAATAGATCCCTGGACAGCAAAGGGTTTCGCCAACAAGGTGGACAAGCTGCAAAAGAGCAAACAGCACGCACGAGCGACCTGGCAGCCCAATAGGCCAAAAGACAAGCAGGACAGCAAGCAGGATCCACAAGACCCACAGGGAGAACTCTCTGAGAAGGACCCCCATCAAGGTTCGATCCTATCAAAGCAAAGAACCCCTTGAGAAACCCCTGGTCTTTCAGTGAAAGAAAAGTATTCCACCTTTCTCAAAAAAGTCAAACAAGGCACTGCACCCAGGTCTGGCTCATCTGCAAGTTTCTTCTCGAGCGCTTCGGTGGTCGGCTCTGCTTCACTCCTTGCAAAGTTGATGAAGTTACCCGTCTTGGTGTCATTCAGTTCCATCAAGGAGTTATGCAAAATGGTCAGTTGCTCTTGGTGATGAGGCTTCACTTTCATTCCAGCATCAGCAGCACCTGCCATAACAGCATTTGGGTCCTGCCACAATAGGAAAAAAAAACACTTCCCAGTCGAGGAAAGGATCGAAGTCCTGGTCACCTCGCAACCGTCGCAACCGTGCTGACCCACCAATGGGCTGGTCGTGTTAGATGTTCAGCATCCAGTTTTGTCGCGTAGCCCAACATAGCCAAATTATATAACAGTCAACTATGGTATCATTATTATAACCTATTATAGCCCAACATAGCCCAACATAGCCCAACATAACCAACAGTCAAATAGGTTATTATATTTGTTATAACCAACTTGGTTCAACCTTTCCAAGTTCAGCAGCTCTGAATCTGGCCTGCAACATGGCAGAGGAGGAGCGTCCTGGAGGCTCAGTACAGCTTTCCTCCGGACCTTGTGCCAACAAACGCAATAGGATTTCCACGGTGTAGATGAAAAGGAAAGACCTCTCAATGGAAATCATCCACGGAAATGGAAGACCATTGATGTATAGGTCCGCTGCAATGCCAACCATGACTAAGTTCACCACAATCACCAAGCTTGAGCAAACCTCAAAAGCTGGGGAGTTGACAGTGTTCCGGATCACTTTGCGCCATTCGTGCCTCTTGTCCACCAAAGCGTCCAAAGTCATCTGTGCACGCCAACCAACTTTCTCTTTGTCAGCTAGCAATTTGTCCACCCGCATGGATTTCCGGTTCTGACTGACTTGTTTCTCAGTAGAAGTTGAACCAGTTGAAGCAACTTTTTCTGGTGAAATTGGAGCATTTACCTGCATTTTTTGGAAGATCCACATCTGCCTTAAAACCTGCGTCAGCTGGTTTCTCCCATTCGGGATTGAGATGCGATACAAGTTGGCTCACCGTCTTTTGCAAGTTCTCATGGTTGGTCTGCAAGAGCTGCAGTCTTTTCACGAAGGCAGCCTGCTGCTGTTGGATTTGACGCACAGCAGCTTGAACCGCATTGCTGGCCATGGTGAAACTAGGGCGGGGGCCTGACAAACACGTTCTGCGCTGCGGGCCATTGAACCCATGGAGAAAAACAATCGGTTTCATGATGCTTGGTGCGTCGAGACTGAACATGTGGATTTGCCAACTGAGGCGCCTTCGGCGTCGGGTCTCTTCAGGCGTCGGGGTGTCTTCGGCCTCTGCGGCGTGGCCCGAATTTGGGGCACCTCTGCATACCTCTGCCATCGCAGTTCATCACTCCAATCATTCAAATGTGTTGCTATCGGTCGCACACATGTCAGCCTTGGTATTGGCCTAAGGGAAAACTCAAAGATTTGATCAAGCTCCAAGCTCCAGCCTGGAGTATAGGGGCTGCAAACGCTGTAAAAACATGTTGTTAACGATAGTTGGTTACAGCACTGTGTTCAATACCACTGCTGCCTACAATGCCTACAATGAAAAATGGTAAGGTAAACACTGCAGTAGTGCCATGTTTTTTGCCAAGTAAAATGCCGCATGGCAACTCCATATCATGGCTGAAGCAATCTCATCTAATATCTCATCTGAGGGATTGTTGCAAAATGTTGCAAAACAAAGATAACAAAGTCCTGCAATGCTATGCTGCTATGCCTATATAGCTAATGCCATATAGATGCAGACGTGACCGTGGCTTGCTGTGCCGGCTCAGCCCGCTGCTCCAAGGACCCAACCATGTTCGGCAGTGGACTTGAGGGACTTGGTGTGCCATGGTGTGCCTCAAATTGTGGCAGACTCCGTTCAGCGAGGCTCAGAAAGGCTACAGTGCAAATTGCTGCAAGCAGTACAGAAGCAGTGAAGTGACCATGACAAGGCGGTCTGGGAGACAAACGAGCTGCAATCCCAAGGAAAGCTCAGCCTTGGTGTACGATCTGCAAGGCTGAGAACATCATGAACAGGGACGGACAACTCAAGTGAAAATGGGAACGGAACTGATCAAAAATGTCCTGACTAGAAAGGCAATTCCGAAGGTAGTGCAATTGAAATCCGGAGCCAATCTAGAGGTATTCCAAAAAAAAAGGTAAACCCCAAAAAAAGAAGGCCTTGTTGAAGGGTTCTTTACGTATCATCAATCCTCGCTAGGGGGATTTACCCAATATTTACCCAGATTTACCCGTGATTTTGGCCGTAGAATTCAAACTCCAAACGCTACTGTTGAGGCAGAAGCGGGCTCACCATGAAATCGGCCTGCGAGAAGCAAACATTAAAGTTGTACTACTGCAATCGCAGCCATGAAGTCTGTTTTCAAGCAAAAAGTGATGTTGTTTCACAGCATTTATTCATTATATTGACATAATTCATGTTGCGGTCCTTTTGGTCAGCTTCAAACAGGACTTGTGACTTATGACTTGTGACTGTCCCGACCTGAAGCAGAGCCTGCATCTGCGCCTTGAGCAAGCATTCAACGCACCTGCCTTCCCCTAAAATTACATGGGCGTGCCTGAAATGGCCATTGTGTCTATATTCAAAGGTAGCTGACTGAATCACCAAACTGGAGATCAAAGGTTATCATGAAAAAACATATCAAAAGGATTATATAACAAATGATCACTAAATGGCTATTCATCTCAAAATGGTTTAGTATGTTATCCATCAGCCCCTTTAGCACAGGCCGGAGTTCAAGCCACTCCAATGACGTCCTGCTTGGAACTGTGCATGCCCGACCATTTTCCCTTCCTATTGCACAACACCAACAAATCAGATCCAGATTTGGCATCAAAAGGTTTACTTTTCAGCCGCTCAATTTCGGCATTGTTCTGGTCATGGTTGGGTACAGCACCGCAAAACCCCATGTGGTATCATCATGTTGTTGGCTAATGCATCTTCATATCCATATTTTCTTGGAGTTAATCACAGTTTTTCCCATCAAATACAAAAAAATGACCAGTATCTCCACGAATTGCAGGGTAAATCCCCCATTTCAGTTGATTAATGCCCCAATTTTTCAAGACAAGATCTCTTCCTGGGGATGATAAATCACCCATTCTCCCCAGCCCCAAGACATGTTCCGCGCACAAACGAAGCCACAGATGCTTCCGAAGGTGGCGAAAGCGGGGAATTGTCATGGACAGGGCAGCGGAGCGGTGGCGACAGCAAGTGCCTTAGCCAACCAAGTGACAGCCTGTAACAACTCCCAAAGAGATGCAGAAATCGTTGCATTTATCATTATTTTAATGGCATGTGTTCTATCTTTTTGGGGGTTGCGACATAAAACAACTAATTTAGTTGTTTCAGCCGTATGAGATTCCACTCGGGATCAATCCAGCCAGAGTGTCAGAATGCTTCATCCAACATCTGGAGACATTATCATCGATACGTTGAATTGGGACAGGTCAACATGCAGGAGAATTTTTTACCGATTTACCTGATGTTTTTTTTGAATATACAGTTTGTCGAACAAGTTTTACCTAATGTCTTCGGAAAAACGTTCCTAACCTGTTTTGGCACACAATGTACAGGCAGGTGCTGATGTGCGATGACAGGCGATGACGGAAACAAACACGCCAAGGTGAAAAATCAACTGCCCCTGATCCTTAGCACAATGCTACGGCTCATAGGTTCTGAGTTTCATACTCTTCCGGGCCGAAACATCGGTCTATCGATACACGCCATGGGGGCATGGCAACATTGGTCGCTGGCAACTCTTGTCAAACACATTAAATCAATGAATCCAAGACCAAATGCGTAAAAACGTGTGCTCGGCATTCTGTCCACCCACATGTTCAGAAACCAAATGTTGAAGTGGCAAGTCATCTCAAGGGTGACCAACCCATAAACATCCATAAACAACAAACTGCAGCGGTTGCGATCAACGCAGCAAAGAGTGCAGTCCAAAGCAAATGCATGCGAATGGGTCGGCGATATTTATCATTGCACAAAAAAACGTCGGAAAACCGCGGAATCCAATAGTCGTGTTCCCCATTAAATGGAGTTGAATCCCCAGTTTTTGGACAAATACCATGCAGACAAAGCGCTTCAATACACTGATTTTCTTGCTGGTACATCCACGCATTAGTGACTCAGTAGTTTAGCTTATTTCTTGCCACTGGCTGTGCGTTGCATGAGTCACTAAAACTAATTGACATGCCGGCTTAAGCAACCTGGCATGGTTTCGGATGATCTTCGGAAATAAAGAAAGCTGAAAGCTTTGTTTGGTGCAAGTTGCAGTCAAAGGCTGTGAACAAAGGAGAACAACGGAGTTGTTTAATGTTATTTATATATATATGTATGTAGTATATATGATATGTTGTTGGATGTGCTCTATAGTCCGCCACACATCAATCAAAATTTTGGCTGCACATCGCATCATATTTCTGGCATAAGATGCAACAAGTGGGTGGCACGTGTCCCTCTCAAAGGATATGGTGAATGTCAATTGGCCTTCAAACCAAGATCTTTAGGATATCAATTGAAAATTGTAGATCTATTTGGAAACAAAAGCCAGAGTTTCCCGGAAATTTTCCATTGCGCACCATGGCGCATGACCATCTTGCATCATGTGACACCTCTGTGTCAACAATTCCATCCACGCTACGGCGCAGACGGCCCCGAATTCTGCCACTACCCACATCGATGGGCCCCCCCAGCAGTTGAAATTGAATGAAATGGAATGAAAATTATGTAATGGGTCAACAATGCACATGTGCAAACCTGTGAAACCTGTGCATGCATATCCAGCAACATATTGTAATATTTCTGAATATCTAAATGATTTTGTAGCAACAAATTAAAGGACCGGATAACCCCACAAGGCAACTTCTTCCAATAATGAGCACCAAATGTTGTAGCGGGGAAGGGGAAGAAAGGAAAGACAAAGGAGGTGGTGGAGAATCGAGAAGTAAAACAAATTTGTGTGTGTGTGTGACGAAGCTGTATGGGAAAGATGGTGTGTGTGTGACAAAGTTGTGTGTGAAAGAGAGCGTGTGACAAAGCTGTGTGTGAAAGATGGTGTGTGACACAGTGGTGTGTGAAAGGTGGTGTGGCGAAAGATGGTGGGTGACAAAGTGGTGTGTGCAAGATGGTGTGGTGAAAGATGGTGTGTGACAAAGTTGTGTGTGAAAGATGGTGTGCGAAAGATGGGTCTGTGACGGTGTGTGAAAAATGGTGTGAAAGAGGGTGTGTCAAAGATGGTGTGTGAAAGATGGTGTGTGGCAAAGTGATGTGTCAAAGATGGTGTGTGACAAAGTTATGTGTGAAAAATGGTGCGTCAAAGATGGTGGGTGACAAAGTGGTGTGTGAAAGATGGTGTGTGAAAGAAGGTAGATGTCACCAAGCGCCACACCTGCCACGCAAAACGAAGGTAGATGTCACCAAGTGCCACGCCTGCCACGCAAAGAGCCGCGGCGTCCACGGCGTCATTTGGGAACCCGGTGCGCCACCAGAGCCGGCCCAGTGCCGTAAGCGCCACGCTTGCCACGGCCACGCAAAGTGAGAGTCGATGTCACCAAGTGCCACAAGTTGTGTTTGAGCAAGTTGTGTGCGAGGACAAGTTGTGTGAGGACAAGTTGTGTGAGTGCAAGTTGTGTGATGACAAGATGTGTGAGGACAAGTTGTGTGTGAGCAAGTTGTGTGAGGACAAGTTGGTGAGGACAAGATGTGTGAGGACAAGTTGTGCGTGGACAAGTTGTGGGTGGACAAGCTGAGCAAGTGGTGTGATGACAAGTTGTGTGAGGACAAGTTGGTGAGGACAAGATGTGTGAGGACAGGTTGTGCGTGGACAAGTTGTGGGTGGACAAGTTGAGCAAGTGGTGTGATGACAAGTTGTGTCGACGACGGGAGGCGGACCACGGGCCGACGACGGCAGGCGGACGGCAGCGGGATACAGAATCAAAACCAAGAACCCCACACAAAGATGTGGTGAAAAAACCTTTGCGCATGCCAATAAAGCCTGTTTGAAACTGAAATGGAACCTGGAGATCACTTCGCCTTTCCAACTGCCAGGGTGGCCCATCTGTCTGGCCCGCGGGGGTTGGTTGACCCTTTTCTATCTTCTTTGGGGGCATGCTATAGATGTATGTGTATATATAATATTATATATATATACATATGTATATCAGTAAATCCTGATGTTTGCCATATTTGGGGATCAACATCTATAACTACTAGCTGTTTTGGTGTAAATTACAGGGTACTCTGTTACAAGACGCTGCTTGTTCTTCAGTGGTTTTGTCCAAAATGGTGGGTACACCAATAGTATGCCATTCTTATGTCAAACGTTGTGATTCACCAGTGGATTCAGTGGGCCTTATATATGTTAGGTACCTCCAATGAATCGGTTCCGGAAATGGCCATTGATGGATATTTCAGAACCAAGGACAAACAATCATCAATCTTCAAGGGCTCAAAGCTTCACCAAGGTACCACCAGTTCCAAGATGTCCTAAGTGAGGTTACGCTTCAGTTCCGGGTTGCTTGTAATTGACTACCCACATACGTGACCAGAGTATGCCAGAGTTATGGATGTTCAAACCGATTGATTTCAGCAGCGGGTCATTTGTCTTCAAGCTGGTTTCTCTACAAAATTCTCTACAAAATGTGAGATTTGGGCCAGGAGGTTGGATTGAAACCAGCAACCAGGTGCCATTTTGTATACGCTTTAGTTTTCTGAAACCTTGGGCAACGTGTCAAAATTGGATTGAGCATGTGGAAGATGCATCCATAGCCAGGGTTTCTGGCAGGTTACATCCACTGGATTCTACTGGAAATCAACGTGACATATTTTGCGCAGCTATAATTTGGGCGGTTTTTTGGGTCAACCGCGAGAAAGATCCAACAAGGGCCCTTGTGAAATTCTTCGATCGCTGGAGGAGCTAAAGCATGAAGTCCATGGCAGAGCAACCGGCGCATCCGCAGGATCCACCTCGCAATCGTGCGGGCAGAATGGAAGATGTCCAGTTTCCTTGAAAAAACAGATGTAATGGCTATATAATGGCCATGTAACGGCTGATATATAATGTCTATATCAGGCATAGAATGACAATACAATGAGATGTTTTTTGGGGATACTAAATAATGACCACTAACCGAAGAAGTTTAGAAGTCAAACTTCCGACAATATGGACAAATGAAAAGCAGAGCTGGGCAGAGGCAGAGAGAAGAGGAGAGTAGAAGAGAGAAGATCAGAGAAGAGAAAGAGTCAGAAGAGAGAAGCTGCAGATGCGCAAAAGGTAGGAAAGTCGCGAAACACTGTGTTTCTCCAATGATTTGTGGCTCCGGAGGGTCGAAAAGTAGGCTCGCTAAAGCGGCGGGTGCGGAGCCAGCTGGCCAGATCAGACATGGAAAAGTGCACGCCGTTGTGGCGTGAATCAAATTTCGAAGTCAAAATGTACAAAACACACCACGTTCGGACCACTTTTGGAAGTTGCGATGTCCAAAAATTGCACGCCGTTGTGGCGCGAAGCACATTTCCAAGTCAAAATGTACAAAACACACCATGGTCGGACCACTTTTGGAAGTTGAGATGTCGAAAAAGTGCACGCCGTTGTGGCGCGAAGCACATTTCGAAGTCAAAATGTACAAAACACCAGGGTTCGGACCACTTTTGGAAGTCCAGATGTTGAAAAAGTGCACGCTGTTGTGGCGCGAAGCACATTTTGAAGTCAAAATGTACAAAACACCTCAGCTTCGTTCGCGCCATTTTGAAGTCAAAATGTACAAAGCACCTCAGCTTCGGACCACTTTTGGAAGTTGAGATGTCGAAAAAGTGCACGCAGCTGTGGCGCGAAGCACATTTCCAAGTCAAAATGTTAAAAACACTAGGGGTTCGGACCACTTTTGGACGTTCAGATGTCGAAAAAGTGCACGCCGTTGTGGCGCGAAGCACATTTCGAAGTCAAAATGTTAAAAACACGAGGGGTTCGGACCACTGTTGGAGGTTCAGATGTTGCTTCGCGCGGCAGGCGCAAGGGATTGTGCACCTTGTCAAATGTGAGCAAAACGTCAGGGTTTTGTTGCATTTTCAACTACAACCACCACTACCCCACACTGCACTCCAACACACTACAACTACAACTACAGCTTCACTACATTCCACTACACTACGCTCCACTACACTCCACTACACTACACTACACTCAAGTACACTCAATTACAGTCAATTACATTCAATTACACTACACTACATTACACTACACTACACTCCACTACACTACATTACACTACACTACACTACCTTCCACTACACTACATTACACTACACTACATTACACTACACTACACTCCACTACACTACACTTCACTACATTGCACTACACTACACTACCTTCCACTACACTACATTACACTACACTACATTCCACTACACTACAACTACAACTACACAACTACACTCCACTACAATAAATTACATCACACTATGCTACACTATAGTACATTACACTACACTACATTCCACAACCACCACTACACCACACTACACTCCAACACACTACATTACACTACACTACAACTACAAGTACAACTACACCTTCACTACATTCCACTACACTACACTCCACTACACTACACTACACTCAAGTATACTCAATTACACTCAATTACATTCAATTACGCTACACTACATTACACTACACTACACTCCACTACACTACATTACACTACACTACCTTCCACTATACTACATTACACTACACTACTTTCCACTACACTAGACTCCACTACACTACCCTACATGACACTACACTACCTTCCACTACACTACATTACACTACACTACACCCCACCTCGAGAAGCCTTGACTATTTCTACACCTCGTGCTAACACGAGTGATGGTTCAAATTTGATAACGTCTATCACCAGACTTTCATTCGCAAATACAGTGTATCGATGTTTTTTTACACACTGCCCCCTGTAACCTGCTTAGCACCCTGACCATCTCAGGATCCGGAGGTACTTTAAGAAGAAGACCAAGGAATCACATACTGAAGACTTCTACTGCATGGCTCTATGTGGTTGTCACCCTCACGCAGGCTTTGTGTGCTCGTGTCAGCGAAGTGTTGAAATTAAGAGCTAGTGACTTCCACTGGTCTGGGAAGACTGTGACTATTGCGGCGCTCAAACGTCAACCACAGGCCAGATTGAAAAAAACAAGTATGTTTGTCATGCACCTTGGAAGTTTCAACTTTTGCAAGAGTATCTAGGTGGTTTGAACTTAAGTGAAGCGTAACTCATGATGTTCTCAATTTGAAATTGTGTTTTTCCCATGGCCCATGGACCCCGCTGCTAGAAAAGCACCACCCTTCAGGTCAACAAAGTGCTTTTGAACCATGTTCTTCCTACGCTTCGCCGCTTGAGGAAGAAGGGGAAATCCCTTGTGCGTAAGAGACGTTGCGGCGTGCGCGGCACAGTGTCTTTCAAAGACTCCTGGAGTTGGCCTACAGGGCAAAATTATGTGTTTCCAGATCGGACGGGAAAATCCCATATCAAAAAGGACATCGTGTGTCACGCGATTCAAAAAGCTAGGTGTTCGTTTAAGGCGGCAATGAATTCACACAAGATAACGAGTCAATCAAGAAGACATACTATGATCAATACTTTGAAATCCCAAAATGTGCCGGCAGACGCCGGAATGAGTTTTGCAAGAATCTTTCACACATGTACATATGATCTTCATGGCCAGCTAAATCAGTTGCAAGCAAGCAACGCTTTGAACTCTAACAAACGTTTGAAAAGGACGCTGAAAGCTGTCTATGGCTGACTATAGCTGACTTCATTGCTTGGCTCAAAAAAGGAATGGGGGCTGTGAAGCGGATATGGCTGTATATAGATCTGACCAATAATATTTCTCAAGGATCTTATGGATTGCTGGCAGCAGCGGCTCTCTTGCGGGGTGCCATGGTCTATCACAAATTCAGTTGAGCTAAGTGACAGATTCGCAACAGTTTCAGGAAGGAGTCCTAGGACTAAGGTCTCCACAGAAATACTACAGGACAACAGGTTGTAGGCAAAAACAAGTGTGTGCAGCCCAGCGCATGCGCAGTGGCTTATTTCAGAGCCGGGCGCCCGGCTCTGAATGAGAAAGTTAGAGATTTCAAACCGTCTGTTTCTTTCTACGCAAGATATGTAGCAAGTTCTGATTAAATCATCGCTTTTGACACCTCAATTTCGTTATTTCACAGCCGGGCGCCCGGCTCTGAAATAAGCCACTGCGCATGCGCTGGGCTGCACACACCTGTTTTTGCCTACAACCTGTTGTCCTGTAGTATTTCTGTGGAGACCTTAGTCCTAGGACTCCTTCCTGAAACTGTTGCGAATCTGTCACTTAGCTCAACTGAATTTGTGATAGACCATGGCACCCCGCAAGAGAGCCGCTGCTGCCAGCAATCCATAAGATCCTTGAGAAATATTATTGGTCAGATCTATATACAGCCATATCCGCTTCACAGCCCCCATTCCTTTTTTGAGCCAAGCAATGAAGTCAGCTATAGTCAGCCATAGACAGCTTTCAGCGTCCTTTTCAAACGTTTGTTAGAGTTCAAAGCGTTGCTTGCTTGCAACTGATTTAGCTGGCCATGAAGATCATATGTACATGTGTGAAAGATTCTTGCAAAACTCATTCCGGTGTCTGCCGGCACATTTTGGGATTTCAAAGTATTGATCATAGTATGTCTTCTTGATTGACCCGTTATCTTGTGTGAATTCATTGCCGCCTTAAACGAACACCTAGCTTTTTGAATCGCGTGACACACGATGTCCTTTTTGATATGGGATTTTCCCGTCCGATCTGGAAACACATAATTTTGCCCTGTAGGCCAACTCCAGGAGTCTTTGAAAGACACTGTGCCGCGCACGCCGCAACGTCTCTTACGCACAAGGGATTTCCCCTTCTTCCTCAAGCGGCGAAGCGTAGGAAGAACATGGTTCAAAAGCACTTTGTTGACCTGAAGGGTGGTGCTTTTCTAGCAGCAGGGTCCATGGGCCATGGGAAAAACACAATTTCAAATTGAGAACATCATGAGTTACGCTTCACTTAAGTTCAAACCACCTAGATACTCTTGCAAAAGTTGAAACTTCCAAGGTGCATGACAAACATACTTGTTTTTTTCAATCTGGCCTGTGGTTGACGTTTGAGCGCCGCAATAGTCACAGTCTTCCCAGACCAGTGGAAGTCACTAGCTCTTAATTTCAACACTTCGCTGACACGAGCACACAAAGCCTGCGTGAGGGTGACAACCACATAGAGCCATGTAGTAGAAGTCTTCAGTATGTGATTCCTCCATTGCGTCCACATCTTTCCTGACAGCACGGCCGCCTGGCCAAGTTTTCCTGACCATGTGATGTAACTTCTAGTTCTTATCGAGCTTGTTTTGAGCCTAACTGCGGGAAGTCGCTTTTCATCATCCCAGTGCAAGACATACACACAAATAGAGAGTGATGCCTTGGCCCACAATGTTTTTTAACATTGTAGTTGTTGTTTTGTGCTTTTTGCAGGCATTTTATTGGAAAGTCGCCTACCGGGCATTAGGCGATGTCCCAAACACAAAAAAACACTTAAGTAAATTTCTTAGGGGTCAAAAAAGGCGATGTCCCAAACAGAACCAGCATCAACAGCAACAACAACAACAACAACAAGAACAACAAGGCCCAAGAACAACAACACCCACGGTACCAAGATCAACAGCAACACCAGCAGCAACAGCAACAGCATCAACAGCAGCAACAACAACAACAACCACAACCACAACCACAACCACCAACCACCAACCACCAGCCACCAGCCACCAACCACCAACCACCAACCACCAACCACCACCACAACAGCAACAACAACCACCACCACGACAACAACAACAACAACAACCAACAACAACCAACAACAACCAACAACAACAACAACAACAACAACAACAACCATCACCACCACCACAACAACAACAACAGCAACAACAACAACAACAACCATCACCACCACAACAACAACAACAGCAACAACAGCAGCAAACAACAGCAGCAACACCACCCGCACCAGAACCACCACCGCCACCACCACCACCACCACCCGCACCAGCACCAGATCCAGCACCGCCACCACCGTCAGCACCAGCAACAGCCACCAAAAACATCGAAAACAACAAGACAAAATAGAAGAAGAAGGAGAAGGAAAAAAGGGAAAAACGAGAGGCCACCTTTCAAAGGTGATAAGAAGAAAGCAGCTCAGAAAATGTTCATTTAATTTAGAAATTTCACAAGAGTAACTCAGAAGTTTCTCACTGGGAAGATGTGTTGTCCCATGGCCCCCGCTGCTAAGAAAAACCAAGTGAGACGTTGACCACTCCATTCCGGGCAAACCCTCAGTCCTGCCCAGCGCCTCGTATTGGGTAAGGATTCTGCAGCGCAAGGTGCGTGATGCGCCTTAGAAAAAAAGGACCAGTGGCCAGTGACCGACTCATGACTAGGGAGTGCAACCTGCTCCCCAGCTTCGATTTTGTGTACATCCCAACTTTGTTGATGGAATCAAACACCCCATGTTTTGTTTATGAAAGCTTTAGTTGGTGCTGAAACCTACAGTTGTGTCGATTCTTCCTTTCGTTTCCCTCCCTAGTCCTGAGTCGTCCGACTTGGCGCCACGTTCTGGAAACGCTTCACGCACCCCTCCTTCCAAGGGCTTTGGCCCGCCAAGTTGCTACTTGTGTTTTGTTATCATGTTTAACCTTTACGGATGGGCAATCAAATGAAGCATGTAATTATCCCAAGTCGCAGTCCAGCACCTCGAGATTGTCCAAGCTGTAAGCTGTTACACTGTAAGCTGTGAAAAAAAACAAAGGGCTCACCTCACTCACCTCAGGCCCCTGGCAATTGATGCAACGACCCCAACACCGGACCATTCCAGGGGCTCCGAGTCGCTGTCGGAGTCGCTTTCACGGCCTTGAAGACCTGTGCCATGCTGAAGAATTGACTCAATGCAGCTTCAACGATCCCAAGAGCCCACATCCCATGCAGTTTAATTGAACACCTTTTCTGACAGGATTTTAAGGCGATTTTTTGGGGTTACACTATGTTACAGTAACAACCATCAACCCTGGTTGTTGTCAACGTGTTTCATGTGTTTTTACGGCGAAATCACCAACCTCTCGCTCCACGGGCCGCCGCCGCTGCAGCCGCCAGGCGCTTCGCATCCGGCGCCTCCTCTTCCGACTTAGCCTACCGCAGGGATTCGGACTGTCTGGAAGAAACATGAACACAATTAACAAATATTAACAAACTAGTCCAAACTTATCTCTATACTATGTATAAGTATAGTACTCAAATGTACTAAGCGTGTATATATATATACATATATAGCATGTGTTGTGTTGTTTGAAGTAGGGGAAACTGATAGTCAATGAAAGATAATGAAAGTCATTGGAGTTGATTTCCTTGAGATCATCCAATGACGATAGACGTCAAGATTGAAACCAGCAAAAGAATGGCCGACACAATTGACATTGAATATCAACAAATGAGATCAAAGTTGAACCATCATTCCATACCGAAAAAGATGAAAAAAGCTTCGGGAATTATCAGGGATTCATGATTTGTCCCAATACAATGACATAAGTTTCATTCACACATCGGAAGAGCCCACCTCATTGGCTACAGGCTCCGGCATGGGAACCACCTGTGACATCTGTGACCGACAAAGCTGTGTCTGACAATAGACCGACTTGGCCGGGTGTCGCACATCCTGGCTTGTTAACTTGAGACATCAACTTGAGATCAACCCCAAGTTAATTAGTTCGTGATCATCTGAATCATCTACCATCCATCCATCATCCATCATTCATCATCTGCTATTTATCGTCGTTTAAAATGGACCCACCCCCCCCCCAAAAAAAAAACTACCAGGAGTCGAGTTGATTGAAACATCCGAGCTGAGCTCCGGGCTGGAAGAGCCATTTGCGCAGGCTCCTCTCTCGCTGCCTCTCTCCTGATTCTATCCCAAAGGCACGCTGCAAGATCTGATGAAAACTATGGAAATCGGGCCATCCACCAGCCCATTTCCATCACACCCAAAATCCTTGAAAATTGATAGTAGCACATATTATAGACAAACATGTATAAACATGTTACAACATCATAAAACATAGTCATCCTTAGAAACAAACACCGCAAAAAATATGGTTCATGGCGTCCTGGTGGCCGCCAAAGAAGCATCCAAGGCTTGTCTCATCTGCTCTCCTGGATTGAGGTGATCTTTGGCGACCCAACTTTGGAACAACCATTGATGAAACATCCAGAAAAAAAAAACATGAAAAACACACGGCAATAAACAGCATCCACAAGAGGCAAAGTGACATCACTATCATCACTAGTGACATCTTCATGAATAACTTTAAAATTCCAGCCAGCACAGCGGAGCCATGACAGTCCTAGCTTGGCATCCTGATCACGTTGCACTGTAACATCCAACAAGCACAGCAACAGAGTGTCGACCGTGCTCTTCAAAGTGGATGATTTGCGAGCATCTACAATCATCTAAAGAGAGAACATCCGCAAAATCGCATGATGTGTGATCTTGATTAATGTTGGATAGTTCGGTATGTAACATTTCTGGTGGATGAAAGCTTCGGAGCAGATGGGACCTGGCCTCATCCATGTCTCCTGCATCTCGACCATTAACGCCTTAATTACATTGATGTATAATGGCATGTCAGCGCCCAAAAACGGAAGGGCTCAAGCCGGAGTGATGACTAGATACTAGTTATTAGATATGGTTAGTGACTTTCAGTGGTAGACCCCAAGCTTGAACTATTGAGACTGGTAATTAGGAAGGATCGTGAAATCAGGCCGTAAGGTAGCAGGACATAGAACTGGGTGCAAGGACTCACCACCACCACTTCATCATCGTCTGAAACCGGACGACCTAAGTATGGGCTGCTGCTCAGGTACAAGTGGAATGGTCGGTAAAACGCTAAGAAGGAACTAACAACTCCTGTGCAAACTCCAACATAAACAGTGCCAAGTTGTACTACTCCAAGTTGTACGTGAGGGGCAAATTGGGGTCTCTCTACTCCTACTAGATTTATCCAATCAATGCATTGCCATCCAAGCTGATCATCATTACCAGCAGCCTGAACCGCAAAGATTCACCTGTGCCCTCGCACGTCTTGGATCCGTGGCAGGTGGAGCATTAGCCTGGAAAAGCGTTGAGAGGAGAAACATAGTCCTAAGTCCTAACAGTCTGGAAAATAAAAGTATTACCTATTCAGCGCGCACAGTACCATGGGCACTCATGTTTCTAATACAGTAGCTGTCTCCTTCCTAGTCCTCCAAGCCATGTGGCACATGTATATGCAGAAAAGAACAGAATTCATCAGAGTCTCGCATTCAAACAAACTACGAATATTCTTCCTCTTTGTCTATGCCGTCTCATTCATGATTCATACTGTGAATACATGCGAATCTGTTTCCTACCATTTACCGATCA